CTCGTTTGCTTTACAGCGGTATCATTCCACATATTCTGCAAACGGGAGCCTACTGCCAAAGACCATGATCATGATTACATCAATTCCAATTTAGCGGCCACCCCATCAAATACGAGTAGTATAAGATTCCGTAATATCGCGCGTTTGATATGCATTGATTCGGATTTGAGACTATTTCCTGCAACGGCTCCTCGACCGTTATTTTTGTAGTGAATTGGACTTCATATTTGGACTATATACGAATCATGTGTGAGGCTGGATTAACAGACATAAAAAAGAGCACAAATTAATAATGGGGAAGCCTTTTTTGAAAGATACAAGCTCTGTTTGAAGAGGGCACCTTTTCCTTCATTTAGCCCCCCCCCCCCATCCCCTAAATATTCCACTTGGTGCAAACCTAGGTCTTCCGTGCTTGCCTCTCGATGGACTGAACGCCATTTGAACGTGTGATGAATCAATGAAAAGGCAAAAGGCACAAATAAATAAACAAAAAGACTTGTCATAATAGTGTGACAACGAGAATAACGTGTTTGATTTGTCAGTCAGGATTATTAGACTTCATTATGAACTTTTCTTTCTGTCCCGAGAGTTTGACTATTAAAGTAGTCATCTTTATCGCAACAAGCAAGCAGATATAAAACAAAACCCTTTTCTGCTTGGTATCCTAAAGTCGGCTTTCATCTTCAAGAACACAATGACAACGAATGGACTGACGATTCTTATTGTTCAAAGTGTTTGGAACAAGCCTGCCAATTAACGGACCGAATCGAATGACATCCTAATATACCAGTTTTGCGTCCATTGTGATTAAGGTCTTTGTGGTTGCGTGACATGACAAAGTACAACAGGATGAGTGTGTGGGACCAAAGTAGGATTCACCGGCCACCGACGATAATCAATAAGTGTTTTTCGCCTTTTTTAATCCTCAAGTCGAAAGGTAAATGAACTCCACTGTCCCTAGGTTTTTATTTACAAACATGACTCGAATTTGAATGAAACAGTATCAACTGTTGTGATAATGGAAAGTAGTTATGCGTTTTGAAATGTTTGCAAATGTATCAGTTGCAGTGGTCAATCCAAAGTATGTGTGTGGGGGGGGGGGGGGGCGATCCCCAGGTCAAATCTTGTTGTATTTTCTACATGCACTATTGCGCTCCTACCTTCTTAATGCACTTTGAAACTTGTTATTTTAACAAGATTTTGTTTCCTTTTGGCAGGTATTTCTTTCCCAGGGCTGTTTATGCCTATTGTTGAAAACATTTATATCTTTTCCTTTGTTCTTCTTCACCTTGGTGCGATTATGCTGTGGAATGATAATCGAGTCTGTAGAGTACGCTTTCCTTGCAGGAGTGCAGGCATTCGAGTCATATATTAAATCATGAAGCCTTCGAGAATGATGATAATGGTCACAAAACTCATGAGTATAGGCTATGGTCAGTTAGAACGGTTTCATGAGAAAGTGGACAATTTGATGACACAGCGTTGATCTTGACCGGCTATGATTCGATTCGGTCAAGAATGGACATAATTTCAAACCTACATGACGGACATTAGACATTAGTCTTATCTATCATGAATCATGCAAGGTGTACAAGGTTATCATGACATGTCCAATCTTTTCCCCTTAGAGGACGCTCCTTCCCCAAGTGCCCGACATTTTGCAGTCACCTGCATTCAATGCAGTGATAAAAACTGCATTAACGACTGAAATCATATTAATCTATGTACATCTTTCAAGCAAAGCGATTGATCTTTCTTTTCATTAAACTTTAAACACTTTCATAAAATGGGTATAAATATGCAACAGAGATTGGAAAAAAACAAGTCTCGAAAATTAGTTTGTAACAAATTCATTTTGCTGCTCTAATGTTATTAGGCAATGCTCATCAACTTTATCGATGTGTTATTTGTTTATTGGAAGGAATTGATTATTGTGACTAAAATACACAATCTAACATTTCTGCAATGCGCTATCACTCATTCGAAAACGATCTCAATCAACCGTGTTACATTTACAGATTGATGCAATTTGTAAACATTTTTATGATGGATTGACTGCCTCCTTCACACATTATCTCGTAAAAAAAAAAAAATTACAACCTCGAAAGCTCTGAAAAATACAATTTATTCATGGGAGATTTTTGTATACAAATCTGTATAATTCACCCCCGAATAATGTCAATTCTTTGTATTTTTCAGCTTCTCGCCACCAACCCTTTCCTAAATAAAGTTGTTTGCATTTTTGCTTGGAGGGGGGGGGGGGGGGGGGGGGGGGGTATCAGAAATTTTCATTCACATGGTACATGAATGTTTTGTTTTACAATATATAGGCATAAGAATTACTAGTATTACAAATATTAAGAAAAAAAAAATCATTTGGAAGATACATGGAAACAATATTATTAATCAAACTATGTATTATTTATGCATTACTTTATATTTTGATTAGATAATTAATCACCTTTGGATATAAGAAGGAAACGACTCAACAAGATCATACATCTCATAAATGCACCATCTCTTATTTGATAACTTCTTTTCAATCAACCGTCTTATGTCTTCCAAACTCATATTAATTTAAAAACATTCTTATAATGGCTTGTCAGCCTCCATTCCTAAAAATATAAATACTTTTGAGGAAAATTGGAGGCCCTGAAACTTCGTTCTTCTCTTGTTTTACTCTTCTTTGAACTCAATTTTTTTTTTTAATGTCGGATAATGTATCGTTTCTGTTTTGCGCTTCGGGCGTATACAAAAATTGGACGGAATATAGTTTGATCGAAGAGATGCCACCTACAGCATCATTCTTGTCCGATTTTGCGAGACAAAATGTTCTCTCTAATGAAAATCAACTTAGTAACCTAAATCTTTTTGACACGAGGATTTTTGCATTTGCTATATTTTTCTGATGATACAACATCTTCTACTCGCAAAGCTTTTTATTTTTATTTTAAAAGACATTAGGGGACTATTTCATCTTTTTATTCATCCAATTATCTATGAAATATGTTCAAGGAAATTGAAACAAAAATTGCATTCTGACAAAGATAATTTATACCCAATGAAGAAACAGTAAAGATCAAAAACACTTTGAAACATCATTTCACTAGTGTACAACTTATTTTTATGTTATTGCCCCTGTTTGCTTGTGATTTAAAAATACTTTCTATTTTCTTTTACCCTGTTGTCGTTAACATTTTACAGCTTAGTGCCAATATTTCCCTCTCAAACCTTTTCAATTATAATACAAGTTTGGTAAAATACCCTTTTGCATGCAGTGCCTTCCGCGACAGTTTTTCTTTCCTTTTTATCATCACATAATAGTCACCTCGTATAAACAAGATAATGAGCTCACACTCACTAAATCCTAATTCTTAGAATAAATTTAGGAGCACTTTCAAAGGAAAATTGGTGTTATCTAAAATCATAACAATTCACCCATGATGCCCCGAGCTACTCGAACACTGCAACAATTTCACTCGCTCCCCGCAAGCATACTTTCGTGTGTGTGTTTTTTCGTTTGCCCTTATAATCCGGTCAGAAATATTTCTTTAATTTCTTTAAATTTTCTTGACACACTTCCCGACAAAATGGACAAATTTTTACGATGGTGAAAAATGATGTATGAAAGAGACCATACCCTTCAGGCGTATATAGGATAAGACGCGATCAATTTGCTTGTGCTCAAATCTCGTTCTTCCGGTCACTGAATCTTTTAAGAATGGTTCAAGTTAGGTCAAACGTGTAATTTTCTTCCAATCTCTGTTGCATATTCATACCCATTTTATGAGAGCGTTTGAAGTTTAATGAAAATAAAGAATCGCATTGCTTGATAAATCAATCATTTTAATATATGCCACGAATCATGAATATCATGTATATACACTTTTATTGGTGATGATTTTTTATATCACTATTTTCAATAACACACATTAATCAGTCATATTTGGTTCAACATTATTCAATTTGAAGTTAAGTAATAAATTGGTCTCTTAGTAATAATAAGTAATCAGTCATATTTGGTTTTACATTATCTATTTTTGAATTACCACAACATAGCTGAGATTTGTCACTATTCTACTAATTCTGTTGTAATTGCAGGTCAGTTACTCACACTATTGTTCCTGCAGATCAGTGACGAATCATGATAAACTACCTGTCATTTAATAGTAAACATATATTTTTGAATGGTTTTCATTTTGGTTTCAGTTATCCGCCTTTATACAGAGGAATATATGATTAATACTCGATGCCTCTCTCGCATAACCACTCCTTCGGAAAGCGACCCTCTCGACCCTTGCTCGTGAGAGCATCTATTCATTCCTACACACGACCACATCACTCTACAATACCCCCGCTGCGGCATAGAAATAATTTTCATCGAATTCTCTTTCACAAGCAGAGACCTTCCACGATCTTCTATACACCCATTACACCGCCTAGGGGCAGCATTGTGGTTAACTCAAACTGAACTCCACAAGAAATAATGGTTCACCACCCCTATAGTAGTGATCGGCGAACCTTTAAATATTTGATTGATATTATAGCGAGGCTTTAATCATAAAGACTCATTAGAATATAAGCTTATTTAGTTTGCTTTGAGACGGTGGTCGGCGGTGATCGTGGAAATTGCACTAATTAAAAGTCGTTTTCACCAGCGAGAATAAATATTTGAGCTCATGGTGATTAATATCTTGCCGCATTCTGCAGCATGAATTTCATTTCCTATAACAATCTATTTATTAGATTTAAAAAACACTGAGGAATTGATTGTAATACGCATGTCTTTTTTTGCCTGCAGTTACGCTTTGCTTGTATTCTGCATTGTAATAAATAACTACTTCATAGATTCATATTCATACATGAGTATTTTATCCCCCCCCCCCTCTCTCTAAGATTTGAACGCTACAGACGAGGAGTATATATTCCTGGAAGAAGTGACCATTTTGTGGACTTCCATGCGTAGACTAATTTTGTTCTTCTCTCTTTCACCCTCTCAGGTGTATACCGCAATCTTCTAACGGAAGGAATATATTTGGACACCAGGCGAGAGGTTTATATACCTGGATAGATCATCATGACGTCACCAACTAACACATTCTGTATACTTTGTATCACGTTTCTCTTCGCAACATTCCACTCTGCAACCCCGACCAGTACACGTAAGTTATCCCTTCTCTAGGCAATTCTTTGTACTAATATGAATAGAACATTCTAAATTGCATTTTCAATAATAACAGGAAAAGGAAAGTTTCTTGCACTTTTAAGCAACGAACGAGCTTAATTAAATTCGCTTCCTTAAATTCAATCGAGAAGCGAACGTTTGTCATTATAGAATTCACGCGTAGACAATTTCCTTTTGGAATTGAATTAGTCTGTTGGTGACAAGTTAAACACACTTTTACTTCTTCTCAGTTGACTAGTCTGTCTCCACCATTGGTTCTCAAAACAAAGACTCAAGATATCAAGACTTTTCTCTCTTACACCTCTTTGTAGTATTACCATTTTTACCACATATTTGTAACCTTATTACCTCTGGTTGTTCATCTTATCTTTTCTGCTATTAAATTATATATTAAGTGCAATAATATGCCCGTCTCACTATTCAATACTGACATCATAGCTAAAAGAAAGTATGTCTGTGAGCATATTCTTACTCAAGACAGGACTATAAGCGACTTGCACTGTGTGTGAACTTTTGTTCGAAATATTCAGTAACAATGTCGTATTGAAATTATTATAACAATTGAATTAAATTAAATTTGAATCGAATATACAATTCGCTATCTGTTCGTGTGACATAGGTATCTTAATTAATCAAACGATTGTTCTTTCTCTTATATTTTCATCCCAAATTTATTCATTAACTATGTCATATCTGTTTATTTTCAATTCGAACAACTTTTACGAAACTCTGCACCATGCTATATGAGTGTGTACGAAATCAAAGTGTACGAAATCAAAATCCTTAAGTTTGGTTTCTTTGTTAAGTCTTCATCCCAAATTGATTGATTTGTTTTCATGAATTCCTTCTGATTTTTGTTCCTTACAGCTGCGGCTGCCCTAACGACATGTGCGAGCCATCCGTGTGAAAATGGAGGTACTTGTATTGAATACACCGCTGCATTCCAATGTAGATGTACCAACGACTTTACAGGACTTCGGTGTGAAGTACCGGTCTCGAGTACAGGTAAATGATATCAAATTTGTATTGCTCGTTCATTGGCTTAACAGTGTATAATTTTACAACTTATCCATCGTGTTGACGCAAAAACCTTCAAGTCACAAATAATCTCATGTTTTTTATGATTTTTTATGAGCGTTCAGAAGAAAAAAATGTCGTACGGAAAATATGTATTATAATGCAGAAACATTATTCTCACAAAAAGCCGCGGATTATCTTATTTGATTTGGGGGGCGGGTGGGGGGGGGGGGGGACAGTAGGACCTAGATAACACGCTCCGTAAAATACGCAGTTCATTCTGATTTTGTTTCCGTGTGTGTGGAAATGCAACATGCCTCCAACAAAAAACAATGACTTAATTCAAGGGTCATCTTGAAAAAAAGTTAAAATACTTGTTATGTCTGTGATGCAGTGATTATGCAATCTGATACCTCTGTCCTTAATCCGATTGTTAATATTCTAGATTTGTTTATTTTATTAGTCAACCTTTAACAGCCTACTAAGGCAGGTTACCAAAATGTAACATTCTAAAAACTGCTCCCTTTTGATTTCCTTCATCAGCATCGCTATGCGATGACAACCCATGCGCTCATGGCGCCTGTGTGAGTTCAGCTTCCGATCGTTTCACCTGCATGTGCCCTGGAGAATGGAGGGGAACGGCGTGTGAGATAGACGTGAACGAGTGCATCGGAGAGAGGGGTCCGAACCCCTGCACCGCCAACGGAACAGTCTGTGTCAACGAGGATGGGGGATACCGGTGTGAAGGTATGATTGAACTTGATGGGCCGGCCAGTCCTTTATTTAAGTTAAACATGCAGTTCATCAGTATAGCCATGCATTGATTTTAGGAGGGTCACTAAACGTATCTTGGCGACCCTCTTTGAAGTTAGCTCCAAGGTTGTAGGATTCCCCTGGCGTAGGATTCCCCTGGCGTAGGCCTCTATTAACGCACCTCTGCACTAGTTTGGCTAGGAGGGATTGGACCTCCGTGCATGGTCACTGAAAGGTGGTTATCTCATCAAGTCAACTCTCAACTAACATAAGAAAAAGGGGACCATGGGGGACCAACGGTCACCGATTATCCATCCGATTAGGCATTGTTTGCTATATAGAGGGCGCAAGTAGCTATAAGTATTGCAATTTGGCTGTAAGCCGTATTTTGCAATTCAAGTTTTACTGAAGACCAACTGCTACCAAAAATATTGTATGAATAAAATAAGAGTATCGTCTATACCACTTGACTGTTAAAATATATTACCGGGTATTAAAACTGTAGAAAGAACACAGAACAATATGTCTGTAAATTTGTTCATTACAGTGTACAGTGTATTCATAATATTTTATGCGAAAAATAACCACAAAAACAAATAAATTAGTAAAACTTATGAATTACAAGGATTCGTACAAATAACGTTGCCAGCTCAAGTATAATATTTGAAGTTATCTGTCATTTACTTACCACACAAATGACGTTTTGAAATTGTTTTCTCTTCCTATAACCATCACAGCTCCATGCGCCAGCCCTAGCCCCTGTCACAATGGAGGTACATGCTCGACGAAAAATAAAGAACCCTACTACACATGCGAGTGCCCGCCGAACTACGAAGGAGATACTTGTGATGTTGTAGTTGAAAGTAAGTCAATAACCATGATTATTCCAAGGTTTATATACTTGTATCTTATATACTGGCAATGGTACGAGTCCCTTTATATTTTTGTCCACCAACTTTTGGATATATGATACTATATTCATGTAGCTCTTCAAAAGTGTAGTTGTAGTTGACATTATTCATCTTTGAGCATTACACATTTATATACGTATACAAATATAAATAAATATATATATTTTCCTGTTTTTTTGTATTTGATGTTAGCAAAATACACTACAACAAATTACCGAGATGTAAACAAACTCGCTCGTTTTAACAGACAGGATTTTTCTACTAAAATGTCATTTACTTGGGTCTAGGGAAAGACTGAGTTTTTATGAAGAGAGGAACAATACTATGTTGATTTGTTGTATTGCATTTTTTAGTGTAGTTCGCTTTTAGAGGTTCACTTGCACCAACTTGTGCTTTGTGTTACCAGTTAGAATTGCAGTAAAGACGTATGCACTTTGCCACTTTTGTCAATATTCCCTCATAATCATGTTACACCTTTGTGCTACGTAGTGTGAAGTATTTGATGTTTAGTGCTGATATATTTGACATGTTAATTACCAGTTTATGCCGCTTTTGATTAGTGTTGTTTGCATGTTAGCTGTTTAGATACAAAAGAAATTGTACTCAAAAGTAGAGAATTGAATATGCTTTACCCCTCCTTCAAAAGTCCCTCTCACATATTATTACCGAACTGAGTTCAGAGTTGGACCCGCGCTGGTTCGGGGCAATTCGTAGAAAGCTCGGGAGGTAGCTTGGGGTGGGTCGTCACAATTCGTAGTAACTCGTACTGACTCACGCGTCCAAAATACACGTGCTATGAAATGCAAGTAGTGCTGAGCTATCCAGAGTTGATTACACCGAGTAACCAGAGACTCCTCGGAGTATGAACATTTTTCGACATCGTGATAATCCTGATCGTTTGAACTTCGGAGTTCATTCCGAAGAGTGTACAAATATTGAACATGTCTAAAGCGCACGTATTTTGATACGAGTAACTACGACTTATCTCGAGATTTCTAGAGCTTTCTACGTGTGACTAGAAACAATCTTTGGGTAATAATTATATCAAGTTAAAAGTACTCGTGAATCAATTCATGTAACTTTAAGGAGGCCTACGAATTATTCCGAGTTCTAAAGGTTTCTACGAGTAAAGGCGAGCACGCACTGGGTCCAGCTCGGAACATACACCTCAGCAGAAAATTGTGAGAGGGGCTTTCTTGTTCCCTATTTTACCCCACTCCTCCGCGCTTTTCCCCCCTCTATTACCTCATGTAATGTCATTCGCCATCAACCCAGGAGACGATCCATGCCGATCGGTTGCGAACATGTGTCTGAATGGAGGCACGTGCTTTTCGTTCGGAGGGGCAGCTCTCTGCTATTGCTTGCCTGGATTCCAAGGCCAGCACTGTGAGATCGACACAGGTAAGAGGCTTGCTTGATGATGACGTCACATGCCTGGCTCAAACAAACCTAGTGCTAACGTACGTTAGATGTGGTAGATTAGAGTGCAGGCTGTTGCATGGATGAATGGTTTAGATGGTTGTAGGAACTAACACCTTGCACGTGGATGTAAATCTGCCTTACTGACTCCTGTCAGAGGCGTCGCTAGATCGTTTCGAATGAGGAGGGGGCGGGGCACGTGCACCCAATTTTGAAAATTGTACAAGTTGAAAAAATCGTACATTTTTATAATTTGACATAGACCAAAAAGTTCTTTGAGCTTAGAATTTGCTATGAAAACAAAAAAATTATGAAGTTTAAATTTTGAGTTGGGTACCGGTGATGTCCCCCCCCCCCCCCCCCTCCCCCCCACCCTCCCTCTCCTCTAAGTCGAAACATAGTGACGTCTCTGACTGAAATATATTCACACTCCAATTAACCTACGTGACTTCCTACTTATCTGTCTCCATCTCAATGTTGATCCTCGGGTAACTAACATTGAACTTAATGTTTTATATCGTGATGATAGAAACATGATGTATGAATTTAGCCTGATAAATATGTGGTATATAGACCCCACAATGAACTGGTAATATAAGTTAATAAATAATGTTGTGTTAGATAATGATGCAGATGATGATGATGAACGTTCCAACTCGACATTGCTTGTTTAAAGATCTCAATAGAGGTACTTTAATCTCTTAGAATAATAATATTGAAAGATATTGTAACTTTTCTATAGTATTCATGAAATCTATGTTAAGTTGTGTCAAAATTGTGTACGAATAGAAATTAATCAAAAGCATAATTTATCTCGTATACACCTTGGAGACAATATTACCAATATTCGGTTCTTGAATTGACAAATAGAATACAACTGGAAATCGTGGACATGCACGTGACAATAAATACGTCAGTCGAAAGTAATAATCGTTTCTATCAATGAATACTTAATGAAAATTTGCTGTTGTCACATAGTTGCATCTTATTGCTGTTACTGTTGTTATTATTATTGTTATTTTTATTACAGATATTATTTTTCCTGTTACTATTATTAATATTAACAACTTAGTCTTTAAGATCGCAAACACAACTTAATAAGACAATTTAATTAGATTTTGCTTTTCACCTATTGAAATGTACGAAGATTGCAATAGGCCATCGAAAATCTTTATGGTCGTTTTATATATAATTATATAATTATGTAATACATATATATACATATTAATACTTATTGATCACATGTTGATAAGAGCAATAGGGATATATCCAGCTCCACATACTGCTTTTAAATACTATGTTCTTAATGTTCTAACTAAGCTCCTTTATCTAATATCTTTTGTGGGATACAGATGTATGTCAGACCATTACGTGCCAAAATGGCGGCACTTGTGAGAAGTCACGTGATCAAACAGCATCATGCATATGTCCGCCCTTATATAGCGGTTTGCAATGTGACATATCGTTGTTAAGTAAGTTAGATATCAAATCAATCATATCAATTAATTTGTCCGTCATATATATACAAGAAATTGCTATGGCGAAGATGTATCTTTTGCAATGTTTTGGAACTAGCCTATTGCATTTTCTTTGCATTTTGTTCTTGCTATTCTTTTACGGAGGTCCCGTAATCACTCTCCGCTTGACCGAGTATTATTCTTTGCAGTAAACGGGGAGCGCTTCGTTCTTATTTTCAAATTTGTTTTGTCTTATGATGACATAGCCTATGCTTTTTAATATTTAGCGATACACTTGAACTTAATAAAGTTTTCTGCTTTGATTACTTTCATATTTAACATCTGGCGACGTTCTTATTATGTGCGCTACACAACTATAACAGTTTCTTTTGCCGAGTGCATGTAATGTTAATGCGGGGAATACTAGATTTCCTCGAAGACTTTATGAACACTAAATGATTATATAATAAGATTTTGAAAAAAATGACTGTTTACAAAATCAAAAAAACTTTGTTTAAAACTCCATTCTGTTTTGATGTGATAGTCGTTATTTATTTTTGTTGTCTCCAGTATATAGTTATATGTATACAATGGTCTTCATATCCTTCCAATCAATACTCCATTCATGTCAACCATATTTCTAAATTTAGGAATTGTGAATGACTTAATGGTGTAACCTTTAATCTTATCAGCATGCTTTAAAGCATGTCCTATTCATTTTCATGCAAAAGTTTATTATATTTACCTAATTACTTAACTTCTTTGAGCATACCTTTGTTGAATCAGAAGTGTATCTATAAATCTTGCACTAATATTTTGTGTGATTGAAAACGGCAGTGGACAAATAAATGAACGAGTGAATGGGTGAATGAATGAATGAAGTAATATTGAAATGTGTTCTAACAACAATCTTTGCTCTTCTTGTGCCTGCCCTTTTCAGCTATTTGTGATAGTTCGCCTTGTAATACATCTGCTACTTGTATTGAAGATTTAACACTGGATGCTGGTTTCTTATGCATGCGTGAGTTTGGTACACTAACCCTGTTTGGACATATCCATAATAAATTGCAAATGACCCCCTTTGTCACGATCCTTCTCGTTCCATTAACATAATACCGCGATACCACAAATCCATCGCTATTAATAGGTAATTTTTAAAGAACATATTCATGTTGGCGAATCAATGGGCTGGCTGAAACATACGCACAAACACAAAATCAATATTCAGAACTATGTGTTAAAGATTCCGCTGAATTTTCATTTATTGTGGATATGCCCTCTTGCTTTTTTTAACATCGGTTCTGGGATATATTGCGATATGTTTTTCACATTATTATGTTATTGCTAATTGAATATTTATCTTTATTTCTAGGATGTAATTTATGGATTTTGATCGTAATAATTATATTATGCAGTGCATATATAAATACTTATATGTATATGTTCAATTATTAAAATATTGATTATCCGTTGATAATATCATAATGTCCTGAAATCCATATATCTGCATTCTAAATGATATATATATATATATATATGCAATGCTATACTCAATCATTGCTTTTGCTTCGTTCTTATATTTGGTAAAGAGTGCCAATGAAGGGGCACTATATCCGACAAACTTTGTCCATTTTCATGCCAAACTGGGTAATACTTCGTCACATAGTTCTATAGCACAGATCGGGTGAATATTACTTACTTCGGCATGAAATTATACTTAGATTCAGTTTGCTCTACAATGAAGCCACAACAACATTTTAATTGGATATTTTAAATGTATGTAAACAATACAAATTTAGTATAGAAGATAACGAAAATTAAAAATTTAAATGAATCCCTTAGTATACACATGTATCAAATCATTTGATACCATGTGTTTTAAAAGTTTTTCGTAACTAATCCATTATGCTGTCATCCATTATGTTATTGGAACGACAAAAAACATTTTCAGGTGACCTGAAAAGTTTAATGAACCTTTAATAGTTGTTGTTCATTATAATCAGAGGGAAACTAACATCATTATTGCTTGTCACAATAGGAAGCACGGTCTTATAATCTTACTGATCCACGTGCCCTAATTAATCATAAGTAATTATCATACGCTTGGTGTAATTATCCCATCACCTATTTAACCGGTATCACAGGAAGAAATTATATTGCAACTAAATCGATCTTATCTAGGTCGCTTCCGTTTTATATAAAATGTTGCACGCAGTGGGAAAATACCTGCATTGAAATTCCTCTCAAGAAATTATCATAGCTCTTGCGAATGATTGTGGATTAAATTCTGTAAATTTGTTACCGTGTGATGCTTAAGATTTATTACTATTGTGTTATTAAGGATACGAAAATACAGTAAACTATAACGGGATTTTATTGTAGGAAAACGCAGGCATTGGGAAGGTGAAAGTTTGCCCGTTTGTTTTCTGGTCGGACGAAATCTTCACGATTTAAAAACATGATAATGGATGATTTATTAGTCATTCAAGGGGATAATACATTGAGCCAAGTGAAAGTGTATGTTAAACTTCAGACCGTTTAATAATTAACCGTAACCAATTAATCACGTGATTGAAACAAAGCACCATGTCCCCTCGAAAATCAGCAATGTATGTGAATAATTTAGGACTGTAGACCATCTTGTCGCTTATAAAGTGACAAATTTATTTCGTATCTTTTACTATTTTAATAAACTTAACAATCTTTCTCTTGTAAAGTTCTGTGTATTGAATACCTATATAGTTCGACATAATAATAATCTAACCGTCTTACCCCCAATGTAGCGCCGTGTGTGAAAGACCCTTGTCAGCATGGAGGGACCTGCACGAACAACCAGAGCGCCCCTCTCGGTTTTTACTGTGAATGCGCTGAAGACTACCAGGGTCTTCTGTGCGAAAATATGATACGTAAGTTTCTAATGGATGGTAGATGTATTTTGGTTAAGCCCTCTTTTTTCTAACGTCCCATACTCTCTATGATAAAAGTGATATTGATTCAACCCAACCTTTGAAGAAAGAAAATATTGAAAATGAGCCCAAAGATTATCAAAATCAACACTATAATCATAAATGATGAGGGTAATATGTAATTTTTTTGGAATAAGTGTACCCATATATTTTTGATGATAATTCTTTTAGAGATATCCTTCCCAGGTACGAATAGAATTTTAACTTGTTTTCTTGTAAGAAACTTAACATTAAATTTTTTGTCCCGTACTAAATGCGGTCTTTTTTTTCTTAAAACCTTCCATTCTGGCAAAAAAATTGCGGTTAAAATTTGCATACACTTAGTGTATGAGATCTCTTTTATGAATATACCTGACAACTCTATGTTATAAGGAACCGTGTCTCGATGGTTGTAGTAGTGAACCTGACGAAAGAGCATTCACAGGTTACCTACACACTAAAAAATAAGGGTGTAATCGTGTGCAGATTTGCATCCGCCTAGTACGCGTATTTTGCAGAGGTTGATTTTACCTTCACTTCTTGATGTGTACAGTTAATAACAAAATTATTTATGCCCTTACAAAATTGTGTAATTCGAAGTATGTACAAAATTAATTTGTCAAGATTTATGTTTTTGAGAATGTGACATATTAAAGCTTACATCTAAAACATTCAACAAAGGCCCTAATTTGTCCAGTCCATCTTTTACTCTTGAGTTACGACAAATATCAAATTTACAAGGAGTATGAATAATTCACTATGCGATAGATAAAGTACAAGACGTATATACGTGAAAACAATGGAAACAAACAAAAAGAGCTTACAATCTTCATCCGACCAGTGTAGTACTAATCATCTCCTCTGTATTTCTTCCACAGCTCCATGTTCCAAGGAACCCTGTCTCAATGGTGGTACATGCCAACCTGATGAAACAGCACCTACGGGTTACCAATGCCTATGCGATCGAGGCTTTGAAGGACCAATCTGTGAAGTAGCTATAATCTGTAAGTCAATGTTGTCCTTTTTTGTCATTCTATGTACTCTCTCAAACTTTATCTAGATTTATTGACAATATTAGTGAATTATTTGTGAATCGTAGTATTAAATCTCATAAGCACGCTTGTAACGAGCAATAGATCAATGCTTCTGGATATGCTAATTCCGCCCATTAAATCAGCCTTCAAGCATATATGTTTCAAATATAGAAAATGATACACGTGGTTCTTCTTTTTTCTTCATTGCAGTTAAAAGGAGATTGAGATTTCTTCCTCTCATGTTTAAAAACTATTGTTCTTGTTTTCCGCCCTTTTCTCCCTCGCCTTCCTTCTCTGACAGTCTCTCTCTCCCTCTCACACTTATACTTTTTAGCATTTCTTCCTTATTACCCTGTCAGAATTCCCAGCTCCCTTTCTCTCTCCGGCCCTCTCCCCCTCTCCCTTTATTTGCTTCAATTTGCCTATGTTTTCATTATAAAAAGTCACAATGATCATTTCTATTTCTCTCTCACAATGTAGCACCATGCACCAGCAACCCCTGTGAGAATGGAGGCACATGTGAGGCTGTAGGTGGCGCTCTTACAGAATTTAGTTGCATCTGCCAGCAAGGTTATAGAGGAACGCAGTGTGAAATAATTCTTCATGGTAAGTCTTCTTTTCTATGTTCTTGGGGATTTTAAAAAAAAAGGCAAAACGACTTTCAATTGCAAAGATGCCTCATACGTAGGCGTTGTAATTTCAACTAAAAGAATCAGATACAACTTACTTTATTTCATATTGTTCAATTCCAAACAAATTTGGGGTGGGTTTGCCAATTCATTCTTCATTTACACCAATGCAGATCATCTATTATTTATGAATACAAGACATATGAGTAAATCAATTAAACCCATTCCAAAGCTAACAGATGTTTGATCTATTGACTTATGATGACTAATTTAACCAAACAAGTAGTGTAGTTTTATCACAATACAAATCATAACCAAATAAAATGCACTGTAACTAGCCTAGCAATTGTCTCTCCTTGGCCAGGGAGAAGTATCCAGTTGATGTATTCATTATAATGTACTAGGTACTGATAGAGACTGCAAGAGCTAATTTCAAGATTTTTTTTACGGCACATATTATGTTGAATAAGTTATAAGTTATGCACTACACAAGAAAAAGTCAAATCATTTTGCTCTTCATTCTTTTGCAGCAGTCTGTACTTTCCAAGGTGTTACATTTCAAGAAGGCAGCGAAAGAAAAGAGGATTGCAATATGTGGTAAGCATATCTCACTGAACTTCACTCAGAGAATTGTCAAACCATATAATAGAATAAAATTAATTAATTATTAACTAATTTTGTATTTTGTATTTGTATTTATTAACATTTATTCTTTCTCAACAGTACAATATGAAACACAATGTCTATATAAATTATATATGTAACAATGATTTCAACATAGAGTATACAGTAAATAATTCAGATAACAGAAGGAGACGAAAACCCGAAGATATGTGCTGTGTTAAAAAAAGAAGATATATAAGACCATAAAATGGACATTTCGAATTCATAGAACATTGCTAATATCATTTTGACCTGTTCTGACAAAAACAAGAAACAGCATTTTCAAACAATGGGCATTTTGCTACAACAAAATAAAAAAAGAGCTAAAACTATCATAAGAACACCCCATAGAAATTATATGTAAGTTCAATGTTTATTTGTGTTTGTGTAACAAACTATCATATCACTTCATTATGTAAATAGAAGACTCATTATATTTGTTTTATTCTTCAACTTGCAGCCATTGCCAACAAGGGTCATGGCACTGCACAGATAAATTTTGTGGGTATGTACAACTTTGTATCATTTTCAAGTTGTTTTCCTAAAAAACAAAGTTTTAACGAGCTTTAGTCTTAGTTATTATTATTGACAAGATGTTTAATTGTTAATCAGACATTGCTCAGTACAAAGTATTCCTAATACTTAAAATGATATCATATTCTAAAATTAATCATTTAAAAGTATAAACACATGTAAATGATTTGTATTTTTAAAATCTACCCTCGAAAGATTGAGAAACAATGAGAAGAAATATATATATATATATATATATCAATTAATGTGTTGATGACGAATTTGGTTCTTTTGTCATTCTTTCTTTTTATGAAAGTATCGATCACAACTTTATGTTATAATTATCCCCAACTATTTCCTAATGATCTCAATGACATACAAATTTCATTTTTTTAAATGTTTTTTTTTTGTCTATCGATTTTTACCTTGGTAATATTAACTTATGTATTTGTTTTCTCTTGCAGTGAATTCATGGTATCGTTTGCCTTTCTCGATACTAATTCAAATGAAAATGATGATGATGATGAAGAATTTTCAAAGTAAGTATATTTTTTTGGGGGTCATTTATTTTATTACTCTTCTTTATCCATAATGATTTAAAAGAATTGAATATTTCTTTTTGCATTTAACCCCAAATTATTTCCATTGCTAAGAATTTTAGAGGTAAAGACTTTCTCGTACATTAATAAAAAAACACTTCTTTGATTAGAAGATGCTCAGGATTTCTGAGTAACTTTATATACTTGAGAGATGATGAGCAATTTATATGCATTCTTGGTCGTCAATAAGGTTATACATTGAGAGAATAGTGAATTTTAACGTCATAATAATAATAATAATAATAATAATAACAATTGGGTCATATTTACCAAAAATAACCATATCAGTATTAATACTGCTCTTCCTAAGGGCCCTGCATTATTATTACCCCAGCAATTGCCAGATATCCATTTACACCTGGGTGGAGAGTGGCAAATGTGGATTAATGCCTTGCCAAAAGATGTTAGTGCCGGGCTGAGATTGGAACCCTCAACTCTGGGATTGAGAGTCAAGTGAATGAACCACTATACTACGACACATCTTGCATGTACACAATTTTGGAGCATTATATTTCAGATACAAATTATTTCTAACACTCATGTCAGAATTGTAGGGAAATCACTGTCTACATTTTAAGTATACAAGTTCAAGTAAATGAAATTCACAATGATCTCCTTTTAACTTTACAGTACACTCAAAGAAGACATCGCTGATTACTTTGCCATCAATGCTAACATGATACAAGTACTTACAGTAAGTACAATGGCATCAGTTATTTCGTAGTTTTACATTATCAAACCTTATTACCTTTTCATTAAAGCCCTTCTCACATTAGAATCACGCCAAATGAACATTCAGTAGGTGAAAGCATGGAAGCTTGAGACTATCAGTCATATTTTATTATTTTTTATCATGCTCCATGGATTTTCATCATGTAGCTCTTACAAAGAAATTAATGTAAGAGCTCTCCAGCTTAACATAAACGATGATAATGGATATTTTTATTTGTCCATAATAATAATTCCAGCTTATATAATTATCTTCACCATGCTAAATGATCCCATGTCGGCGTCGTTATTACATCAAGCCCTTAAAGGCTCTTTTCCCTGACTAGTAGATATCATTGCCTATCTGTCGATAATTTTTCTCGCTTAAAAGAGCATATATTTTTCGTTCATATAAATCATTGGCGTTAATTTGAACCGACGGATCCGTACAGTAATATATATTACGGATTCAGTGGTTCATTATAACGCCGACTAAAAAGAAATCCCTTTTTTTACGGGTATCTTTAGGTCTGTGGCTTTATGATTTAAATGCTTTAACTGATTATCGAGGACTAAAATGAAGCAACCTCTTTTGAAATAAAAACCTTTTTTCCAGGTATCTGGTAGTCCAGCCGAGGTACAATTCCAGTTACAAGATACAATTGACTCTGAGGTTGATATAGAAAATGTTGCTGCAGATATGCTAAGACAGGTAAGAGAAATGTACATATTTTTTATATGAAGCTATTAACATAAAACTTTAATTATGCCAAAAGAAATAAAGAAAATTAAGTAAGATATAAACAAGAAGAATAGTACAAATAATGATGAAGTTATCTGAATCGTATAAGTTGGGCGAGCTGTACATGGTAAAAAGTTTCTATTGAGACGTCATCATTTTCCGAAATTTTGCAATTTTCCATACCGATCGTAAGACTTAACGTTCAGTTTTAATGATAACAATATATTGCATTGATACAGCGTATTACAGGAATACTCCAATGAAAGTTTTTTCCTTATCACCTTGGAAAACTTTCAGTTCGTATTCTTCTTCCATGTACCCACCTCTTTCCCTCCTGTCATTTTCTTGTCCACTACTAAAAATAATCCGCGATAGTGCTAGGGCGGGATGTCAGACCCACTTTCATCTCTTAGCCTGTGTGCTCTTAGACTGTGTGCTACTTCGATACAATTGCAAGCAACTTGGTCACGGCAAAATTGTTCAAGTTACAAACATAATTCTAATCAGTTAGAGTACTTATTTCCAGAATATATTAATCCAGAAATGCTAGGACACATGTTATTCTCATTCGATAGATGGTTGAACAAAATAAAGAATTGTCATTTATTTATTTTCTCTGTTTTATAATTAATTAGTTTGTGACAGGCACATATGCATTCCACTACAACCAAGCCTCGTATTCCATCAACTCTCGGACCGTGGTCATCGAACGTCGGGACATCGACAACGAAGCCAACAATATCACTCATAACGATGACGGGCAACGGTTCATCAGTACGACGTTGCTCATTGTGTGCGTTGTCGTGAGCACGATACTGGTCTCTGGGGTTCTCTTCGGCATCGCAATAATAGTGGTAAATAAAATGATTTGTCTTATTCCAGAGATGAACCGGTTTCTTTGCTATAGATCATGACAATATTTTGAAAATACAAAATATTGCATAAAATCTAAACTTTTACTTGCTTTAGAATTTTTAACAGCCTTGATAATTTAATTTGCTTTATCAAAGTTACGTTATTTTATCAATTAATTTAATAAAAATCAACATTTTCATTTCGCCTTCATAGGTCTACAAAAGGAGATCGAGGAAAGAACAGATCTACTGCAGAAAAGACAAGAATACAAATGCGGTAGGTATCATAGTAATAAATCATAATATTAGTGTTTTAGATCCTGTTCTTAATGTGGACTTTAATATGAATTAGGTTTTACAAAATGAACAATACATATATTTTGAAAGGAATAGGAACTCGGATCAAAATGCTCTTAACATAGTTACGATATAATACATGTTACCAGTCGCAAAATCGGTATTCATCAAATATTTTTGAAGCAGATTTTTCGTCACAATATTAATGTCTAGTATGACCAAATCGTCACGATGATGTGATCCTTCATATAATTATTCAATAATAACACCCTTCTCCTTTTTGTCTTTTCTTTCATGATCCATGCAGTCAAACAACGTAGCAGGAGGTGCAATAAAATACCATAAGAACGTGTATAACCCCGTCCCTCCCTGCTCACCAGGACGCGGCGATGTACCGCTAGAAGTCGCCGAAATCAGATTGCAAAATGGCGCCGGAAAACCCGACGTGAATATCAACATGGAGGCCCGAGTGTAGAACACGGAGGACCAAAAGGTCTTCATGATCATGACCGTTCCTGGACTACCTCTTATAGAGACAATTGGGTCTAGTCCAAGGAACTTGATTAGGAACAATTTGTATTCGCGAATCTCTTGCCCTAGCTGCACATAATGGACCTAAACGCTGCAGTTTATCTCATTTGAAGGACGTTGTTTTGTTTTTCTCTCGTGGACATAGAAGATGGATTTTAAAAAAATTTAAGAAAGAAAAAATGCATGTACATATTGGACCAAGATGTGACGTATTTTTTGTGGTTAACAATCATTATTTTACTATATAAACCTATCATTTGATGCAATGCACTTATTGATATAAAACGTTACATTAAATGGCTTGAAATAAACTCGTCGACAACATCGCCCCGTTTTTTGGCTTATCGGGGCATTTTTTTTTCTTCATAGTGGTAACGTTGACTTTTCTTCAAGATCATGGGTCATTGTATTATCTAATCGGAGGCTGCTTCTTCATTTCGGATGAAATTATGGAGTCCAACCCCCTTCCCTCTGTATCAACTTCCCCGTTTCTTCTGTAAACTAAATATGAACAACCGACCATTGTTTCCCAGTTCTACGTTGAGGAGCGCTTTTACTTACCATTTATCATCTGTGTATCGAAAAATGTTTACAACCTTCATTCCGAGATATTTGGGACCAGTTCATCGCCACGTCATTACAACAACGGCTGCACAACGACCAAAGGGTTTTCCTGCACAAAAGAACACAATGTTTTGCCGTTTAGAGGCACAACGAATATTAAAGAAGGACCGACAAGGGATGATTTGATTGCAATAAACTAAAAAACTGGATGTCAGATGGATATTCAAACTTAACTTTACGTTTAATTGACTATCGTGGCAGTGTTTCTATCTTAACATTTGTAAAATAGCTAAGAGACTAATTTTGTTTACACCTTTAAGCTGAACAGTTGAAAATAATGATGATTATCCAACTCAAACTCAACTCAAATTTATGTGAGATGATACATCCTAACGTCTATCGTTTTCCAGCATTATTATCATCATCATCCATTATTATTTACGTATCATTTCACTCAAATTATTAATGATACATGTATAGAAATTGAAATGGATAGTAAGTTTTGCTAATGAATATCATTATAGATAATACTTTTAATTGATCCACTTACGATTATTCTTGCCAACATTCCAGATTGCTTTTCAACGTAAACAGCATAAGAAAGAGGAGGAGTTGATTCTTATGCGCTCTTGATCTTTTCATTTTGTGAAAACCATATAATTTATTTAGTCGTTATGATAATGTCAATTTTTGGTGATTATATCAGGTTTCATAATTGTGTGCGCCAGTAGCGCAGTATATGGTACACAAATATACATGATGCGAGTTTGACATTCGAGGCAATTTTGTTTATTCCCTTTTAAATATATATTTGATATATGAAAATTGATGCAAATGTTCGATTTAAAAACCAACACTGTGTAAACTGTCATTTTATTAGATATTGAACCATTCTCTCAACTCGTAAAAACATAGTTGTCTTTTTCTCGGAAAATTTACCAAAATCTGATTTAAAAGTTTTGTAAAAAAAAGTGTAGGAATGTGCCTGAAAATATCAAATTCATGTCTTTTAATGTCTGCTTTTGTTTAAATTTGTCAAGACTGTTGTTGAGCAAATTGAATAGGTGTACAGAATATTTATCATAAATAATAGATAGTAATTGTTCCAGCGTCTAATACAGGGGCAGTCTGGCCATGGAGAAGGTGGGGAGTTTTCCTCACGGGCCGCTTTTTATTTTGACCTCAGTGCCGGTCAATTTGTGGTCTGAGGGCCGGTTGAAAGGATGTGTTTCGTATAGATCGAGTGGGCCGGTCGCACTGAAATTCCATAACCGAATTTCAATCCTGGTCCGCGTCTGGTTTGATTTCACGCGTGTTTTCGATTGGAACATAAATGCGAGTGTATTGTGAAAAAATGCAATATCATTGCGTTAATGTTTTGGAATACCGCTGGTATTATACATAATAATAATAAAACAAAACAATGATTTTATCTGGGCATTAGGAAGTTGGATGGAAAGGTAGAATGAAATATCAAATTTCACATTGAATCTATAAGCTGTAATGTATCGCAAATAATGACAAAATGCGCCTGCGAGCAATAGACGTTAAAGCATGCACAAAGTCTGAATGTCGTATTTTGTAAATCTGTATGATTTGGAAAAAAAGTTATGATTGTGGAACTTCGCAACGTCCTCTTTTGTTGTGTAAATCTTGAGTGAGGGTATAAATTTGCGCTGGTGCTTGTCTATTAACACTTTGTAAGCTCTCTCTCGAAAAATGAAAATGAAATGTGCAATTCACTAGTTGTAATTTTTGTACAACGCTACTGTTTTATACTATTCTCATGCATCTAAAATGTGTTTTAGAGTCGTGTAAATTATTGAAGTGTGTTTGTATAAATCTTTAAGGATTTCATCAATAAACAGATATATTTTGCATTTCCTGTGATTGTTTTTACAATATAATATACAGGAACATAATTGTGGTTAGATGTAGCCGCATATCATTGAAGCGGATCGTAATGTAGGAAAACTTTTGAAGAAAAAAGTCACTTTTATAAATTGATTTTCTTTATCTTTTGTCAGTTAGTAACGAAGAAAATAACAAAATAAGTATTCTCTATTCATATTGCATTTTGTATTCCCTCGCCATCCGTAATGCCTACTGATTAAGTCGAATGAGAAATCAAAATTGTAATTATTTCGCTCGCTGTGTATAAAATGATACCTGCAAAATGGACTTAAGAAGAGTGATATGAAATGTACAAATTGTATTTAATTATGAGATCTTCCAATTATGAAGTTTACACGTTAATCTGTATATTTGGGTACCTGTCCGAAATAATTTGAATAAATTCTGTTTTATACGAAAGAAATTTAATGTGCTTCATATCATGATTGGTTTATGAAACTTGAGTTTAAAATTGTTAACAGTTGATTTAATTGAAGATCACTGGATAACAGTTGGCACAACGAAATTATAAAAAGAAAGGATAAACAAAACAAAGAAATAAGAAGGATGATGAAGAAGAAGAAGAAAGAGAAGATTAAGAAAATAAGATGACGGGGAGGAGGAGAAATAAAGGACAAATAAAGAGAAAGAGAAATGAGCGAGACGGAAAAGATGTATATGTATAAAAGTATATTAAAATGAAGCATCTTAAAATGAGAGAACGATCTCCCAGTGTCGCTACGCTCCATGACTGATGTTTAAAAGAGCACTGAAAACTCGCCTCTTTGATGAATGCTTCGAGTAATTACTAAGAACATACATTGTACATTTGCGCTTTGAGAGGGCCTTCGGTCCTGAAATGCGCTATAAAAGAACGAACTAATAATGTGTGGTGTTATGTGTACAGAAAGTGGAAGGGAGAGAGTATGAAGTATTAAAGGGAGTGAGCGATAATGGGATAATGGGATAATGGAAAACAAATTATTATGTAGCTGTAGAATTGAAACATAAAATAAAGAGAGAGAGAGAGAGGGGGGAGGGGTGGTCCTTATTTATGGGCGGATCTATATAGGAGTGTCCAAAGAGGAGGGGAAGTTCCATTAGTAAATTAGTAAATTTCTCCACAATCTTGGGGATTCTCCCTTTTTCTATTCAGGCTCTCTTTGGAGTCGGACAGGGGGGCGGACGCATTGGGAGCAAGATATTTCTTTATCGATCACGCCCCCCCCCCCCGTAATTACTTTCTTAGCGGGCATCCCATCGGCCCTCCGAAGGTTTCTGAAATGAGAGAAGAAACATGTTCCTTGTAGACCCGTGTTCTTATGTCACTCACGAGGGCGACCGTTTTAGCCACCAGGATTAAACCTAAACGTCAAAGTTTTCTAATCTCTCTCTCTCTCTCTCTCTCTCTCTCTCTCTCTCTCTCTCTCTCTCTCTCTCTCTCTCTTTCCCTCGCTAAGTGAAGCCCCAGTGAAAGATGTACCACGGATGTCTTTGAAGTTGAAAGTTCCTATTTTGACTAGGGCGCCATCTCTTTACAAATTATTTCACTGCTAACAACGTCTGCTAAGAAAAAAAATCTTAGTCATTCAGCAGAACGTTATTCGTGCGTGCGTGTGTGGGTGTCAGGGGCGGATCTAGCTTTTTGCCGAGGGGGGGGGGGGGGGGGTTGACCCTGTGGCGGATCCAGGATTTTTCAAAAATTGCGCCGTTTTCCTTTCTCTTCTTCTTTTTTTTCTTCTTTTTTCTTCTTTTTTTCTTCTTCTTGTTTTCCTTTTTTTTGGCTCACTTGGCCGCCCAAGGGGGGGGGGGGGGGTGTTTACCCGCCGAGCCCCCCCCCCATAGACCCGCCCCTGCGTGTTGTTTGTGCTTATGTTTGAGGGTGTGGGAGTATAGGTTTAACACGTACCTCAGCAAAAGTTCATTCTTCTATAAACATTTACAAATACCCTCAGAAAAGAAGCAAATGCAAGTGATAATTATTGTTCTTCTGACGTGCTCAAACGATAAAATTTGAGGATAAGCTTATAATACACAGGCCTACTTTTTAGAAAGTTTCAAATGGAGTTTTAAAACTGTATTTGACATGCCAAAGGTAACTAAAAATCTCAGAAGCAGGCATCAGAACAATGTAATATAACCGATGAAATATAATCTAACAGGAAAATAAATGCTCTCTTTAATTATGAAAAACAAACATTATCTTATAATAAGAATTCTGAGTTTGATATGAAATTCTTTAAAATGTCAGGGAAATAATAACAAGGGAGAAAAAAAAAGTTTTCATATCCCTATGTACGGGAGAGAGTGCTTTAGTGTCTTTTTTTTGGGGGGGGGGTAAAGTTAAAAATAGCTCCTGGGCTCCTAAACTTCTTTACATAAGTTATTGAGATGATTCTGATTTCAGTGGCAAACGCTTTTTGTGGAACCGAACGATAAACGACTTTGACTTACAGACATCTTAGGCAAGATATAATCAATAAGTTGAATTTTGAGGAGTGGGCTCTAAAAATAAAGCCGAAACACGAATGGGCAGAAACGTTTCCTCCTTTTTGCAGCAGCTAGCTTAAAATCCCTTTTCAATCACAGACTTCAATGGACATTGTTTACACAGCTCGGTAACCATAGAGCGTCGTATACAAGTGCAGGGGTGCACTCATGTACACATGCGGAGCGAGCGAGCGTGCATGAAAGCGGGCCCCTACGGATTCGCCAGCTTGTATACAACAACGCCGCAAACTATAGAAACTTTCTATACAGCGCGCGGAGGATAATATTCGCTCATCAATAATCGTGATAATAGTCCTTGAAGTTGTTCCTGGTGTCTTTTGAAAAGTTCCTCGCAGATAATGGAAACATATTGATTAAGACTGAAGTGTTAAACCCTTCAGTGCTTCAGAGTGGAAGATTGCGTAAGGATTTGACGTCAATATCGGAACAAATCGAAGACAGATAAGATAAGTCCTACCAGTGGTTTGGGATGTTCTTCATCTCCGCATAAAGTTGGTATCACAAGTAAACGCGATCGGCTGAAGACCCACTGTGCGTGTCGGCTTGTATGTTATGCATACATCTATTGAACACATTGGACTAGGGAGATCAAAATTGTCTCATTTATTGAGTATCGAGGAATTTGGAAGTACTGGTGCCTTACTCCAAATTGGATGGATGTCGAAGTTTCCTTGATCGACATGTGTTTAGTAATAATGTAAACATATTTTGAACCTCCAAGGCTCCAACACACGTACATTTGGAATAAATTGATTGTTAATTGATTAATGTTAACGGCACAAAAGTCAAAAGTAGAAAGAATTATTGCTGCAAAGACAAATTTAAGCGGAGCTGCCTGTATGACAAATTGACAAGATGTCTACTGGAAGTAGTTTTTCTAGCGCCAACAATGTCCTCCAGAAGCGATGGAATCAGAAGACTTATCAGATGCATGTCGCAAAGGTAAGTAAACAGAAAATGTGAAAACGATTTATAAAATGGCCAAGGAGTGAATAAAACTGGTTTGTATTACATCAACATGATCACGTATGATTTATAAATTGTATAGTAATATTCCCATGCAATCATTACTTGGAAAATGTTGTCTTTTTTGTATTGTAACATAATTTCATTTTGTGGGTGTGTGTGACAAATGTTGAAAACTGCCATTGTTTTAGATATAGCAAATTCTAAAATGAATATTGTTTGATGTTATTATTCAATAGACTAGAATGGTACATTAATGAATGGTATGAAATATAACACATTTTAAGAGAAACAGGAACCAAAGATACAACAAATGCTTCAGTAAAAATAGAGTCCAAACTATATACGTGTAACTGTATATATCTTCATGTAATACATGTATATATATATATGTAAAAGAAATGCATGAATTGATCTTACTTGTCATGGTTAATTGATCAAATTGATGACCTCATAGAAAAACTTAATGGAATATGAATATAAGTGCATTTGAAAAGTATGAAAAGAACAAAAAAAGAAATATCTGAATAAAGTTATGAAATTATTATATCATATCATATTTTAAAATTGTCAAAATGTATATGTATTTCATGTTACTGAATACATGACAAATTGTGTGCAGGGATTTTAAAGGCCCTTGACTTTTAAGATCCACCTTATGCTATGGTCACATTACCCAAAAGTTGCCTGCTCGGCGGCCGAGCGGCGAGTTTTTAACAAATTCTGCCCGGCGGCTGCCCGGCCACCGAGCGGCGGCCGCCCAGGCATCGCTCGTTTTTAGGGCATCGCTCGGTCGCCGCTGAAGTTTTAGCGCGGAGTTAAAATTTGGGCGGCGCCTGCTCACTTTTCACTCGCCACCTAAAATACGCTCGGTGCCTGGGTGGTCGCCGCCCGGCACCGACCTAATTGCTGGGCGATGCCTAAATTCCAGCAGCGACCGAGCAGGCTACTGATCGGTCGGTCGCTGCTCAGATTTGTGACCATAGCATTACACTCTTCATTATGAATGAGAACGAGTGCATGACATCACCATGACTCCCTCATCATGTTTTCAGTTTATCATAAAATTTCCTGACAATTGTCTGCTTGGGAATTGTCATATTTGGTTACTGGTAGTTCATCCATAAGTGTGTGTGTGTGTACACAGGTATATGATGGGGCTGGATTCCATCATTCTGTAGTTTAATGTTGGAACCTTTGAAAAAGTGAGAATCCAGGGGGTACAGGGGGTATGTGCCCCCCCCCCCATATATAAACTTTAGGAAGGCTCTAGCGGATCCCAAGGGCACAGGGAGCATGCACCCTGCCTCCTCAAGTGTAGGAATTTTCATGAAGATAATGTTGGATCGGGGGCATAAGGGGTACATATAGGGCTCATGCATACATACTATAAAAAGTATGATCCGGACCCCCTTCCAAATAGTGTGGAACCCTGGGCACATGGCCCCTCCTCTACATTTACATGTACCTACGAACCTGTAAAGGAGGTGGAAGATATAGGGTGGGGGAGGGGGGGTACAGGCCAGTGGCATGTGTGCCCCCTCCCCTCGCCACCTGTTTGTCCAGACCAAACCTGCTGTACCTTTAATATACACTTGACTAACCTGACTAGAAACATATTCAAACCTCCAAATGTGTCAAACAATTCTGCTTCATCTGCAGGAAGTACACAACAACACATGGTGGACATAAAATTGTTAGACAATAAGCTATACACCTGCAGGTCCATCTCCATAAACACCAGCGTTCATCAGATCAATGACTAAATGCTATAGAATGGAATTATTGTTGTAGGCTAGCATTATACATGTAAATCATTGGGGAAATTTTTGTGTGAAATGTACATATAAAGTTTACGGTTCCACCATGTGAGAGAGGGGGAGGATTGGGTAGTCCTGAAAAGGACTGTTGGTAATTTTTATTGAGCTTATAGTTCTAAAGAGAACTGCAGTGTATAGCGCCAGTTGTTGAGGATGGGTAGTACATTGTAGGAGGGCTCAACGTTTTGAACAGGTTGACTATCCGTCATCAGGAATGAGTTATAAAGGATAAAGTTTTACATTTTTCGAGGAACGCCATGGCACTAATGTCCTTTGGCAAGACATTAACCAACATTAGTCACTTTCCACCCAGGTGAAGTAGATACATGAACATGTAGATACCCAGTAGGAAGAAATTCCTTAAACGCTTTAGCGTCTTATTGTGGTACAGCTACAGCTGGGTAATAATGATACTTTGCATGAAGCACAGTTGAGTATAATATACAGTACATGTATATATGTACATGTACAGTATTGCTTGAAGCAAAGTAGACAGAGTCACACCAAAGTCTATGGAATAGTATATGCAGTCACCTGTGACACAGCTCAGGAGGGTCTTTATATTAAGATGACTTATAAGAACATCTATCCACGATATATTTTGACACAGCAAATGGGAGTGTTGTCTGTGACAACGTCACAACACAATGAGATTCGCATTGCTTTAGTGATTCAATTTTTCAAACATTAATATCTTTTTCATTATTACATCTGATTCATTTCAAATTTCACCATTCCCTTTATTCTATTATTCTGCTTTCATACAAATAAATTTACTATAAAGGTTGGGGTACTCTTGTAAATGATACAAGTCAATACTTTTCTGGCTCCGTGCAAACAGACAAAATTCTAAAAGCATGTTTTTGGCCCTATCATGGGAGCAAGTACAGTATATATAATACACTGTATCATCGATTGCTGGACCAAAACTGATAAAGATCAGTATTCATGTGCATTGTACTAAATTTATTATGGATTGCTAAATCAGATTCAATCAAACTGGACACACAAGCAAACAGTTTTGTGCAGTCCCCAAGCAGATACAAGCAGGTGCTCAAACTTTCAATTTCAATTTCATTGACACAAAATCAGATAATATCTTTGAAAATCAATACTAAAATCAATAGGGCACAAGTGGGAGGTACATGTGTGGCATGCTGAGAGCCAGAAGGTTGTTAACTCTTTGTAAGAAGCTATAGTAAGTTCATCCTACTGGCTTCTAACAGATGATTTCATCTGGTTGGAGACAGAAAGGCATTAATTCTTTCATTGTAAAAAAACCAAGTTAATGCCCTTCTGGCTCTCAAAAATGATTACATAAAATTTTTATTCCATTTCAGCAAAATTGCTATAACACTCTATATTGTCTGTTTAGAGCCAGAAGGATATTAACTCTCTGTGAAAGTACATGTAGATGATGTTATTTTCATTTTTGTTATTATTATTATTATTATTATGATATTTGTTGTTTGTTTGTTTATATATTTATACAGTATACATATAGTTTTCCCCTGATAGCTTCCAGAAGTCTGTGGGAAATGCCCAAGGGTCATATGAGTTCCATATTACTTGACACTGAAAGCCCTTTAAAAGAAGCAGCGACCTGATGTCCCCACAAAAGAGTAGAATCAATATCTATCATGACATTATGATTGATTTGCCGAACCACTTGAGTAAAGCAAAGAGCTCGTCTGTGTGCACTTTGTACAGGAGAAAAGAAATATAAGGATGCTTAACTTTGAAAGTGAGGTGGATGGAATATTTTGCACCCTTGCTCCAGTTGCTAAGAGGCACATGTTTGGTCATGAAGACTCATCGAGTACGTGTATGTGTGTACCCTTTTCAAATATTAACGTCAATTTGATTTTAATATTCGAAATGGGTACACACATATAGTCAAGTATAGACAGAAATTAGGACACTTTTCTTAGCCTTAGATAAAGGAGAAAGATGCTAAAGATGGAGAGAAAGAAAAAATTCTATTATCGTTGTCTTTCTTACTTGACCTGTGAACTGAGCAGTAAATTTAAAGTAAAATATAATGCAGCTTAGCTCACTTTTTATGGATAGATTTTTCAGTTTCATAGAGATATTATTATTATGCACACTGGATAAATGGTATACATACGTGTACATGCACACTGAAATGTATGTGTACATTCACATGAGAGTACCATATAAATATGCATGTAGACCTTTAATTTAATATAACACCTTCATAATCAGATTTTTATAAATCAAATAATCTTCAACCATACCCATATACCCGGTGATCTAATTCCATGTGTGGTATCCAGGGCTAGATTTCTTTTTGAAATGTAATGCTCTGCTTGGAGCAATAGAGTACCAAAGCTGTGACATCATACAAATCTATTTTGAGAATTTCTCAATTTTGTCTTCATTTTCCAAAAGAGCATCAAAAATAATGTCTGAATTAAAAAAAAACAATTGAATATGTTAAGTATTGGCTGAAATATGACCATCTGAATGAATATATGTCCCATGGGAACTCAGTGTTATAGTGCCCTGGTTCCTCATGTTATGAGGCAGGGTATCGGAACATAAAATAAAATTAAAAACAGGGAAGGAATCTTCTCTGATTATGGCATTGTGTGTGCCTTAATTTTTATATATTGATCAGCTTTCGCTTACACTTTTTTATATACTTGTTTGATTTATTTATCAAAGTGTATTCATGAACATAAGGCAAATTTTGTTTAATCTCTTTCATTTGAAGGAACATGTATTAAGATCCAAGAGATAAGAAGAAGTTTTAAGTAGTTTGAATAAACAAAATGTCCTTTCTTCAAATATCTCAAATGTCAACTGTACCACATGTCGAACAAAGGGCCCCCATTTGCACCAACACTCAAACTCCTTTCTGCCGTTCCTGAGCAACTACTTGTACGTGTCAGTTGCCTAGCAACAGTGACTAGTTGATTTCACTTTGGCCGTTGTTCTTATGAATTATTCTACCAAATTATGACAATAAAACTGCCAAAGTCTGAAGCTTGCTTACACATTTTTAATGAGGAATTGTAATTCGGAAAGAAGTATAATGTCATGCTCATATGTAGGGAAGGCTCTTGTACTAAACTGTACATGCAGCATATATTGCAAGTTGTCTAATATGCTGAATTAGAATCATTTCCTTTGTTGGTATACATGTACATTGTACTTGTACGTTAAGAAAGAAAGACTACATGTATTTCACCAATACATCAACACTTCAAGTGCACTACAGTATTTCATTAGGTAAAAAATAGAAAACAAAAGCTGTGATTTCTATTGTACATGTATGTCACTAGTCTCAGAATAATTCAGTGTTAAGAAATATTATTACATTTATATAAACAAAGGTGATAAAAATGAAAAGATATTTGTCCCTATATGTTTTATTGGTATCATATTCATAATCCTTTTCTATCAAATCATGATTTTTGTGTACCTCGAATCCATGGATTAGTTGAAAAAGCAAGCTGGTAATCATACAATACATGTAGTTTTGTTTACACATGTAGTTCCATGTTTTAATGATTTTTTAATTAGATTCTGAATCTGTAGACTATTTCATGAATTTTGATCATCGATCAATCTCCTTTTCAGAAAAATGGAATGAGGACCAAGGTGGATGCCTCCTCACCCAAGGTGTACCCTCATCTTCAGGTCAACATGAAGAAGCTACAGGTGAGAATTCAAACTATCAGGTAAAAAATACACGGGGGCTCAGAGCGAGTTAGCCCTCCGAAATGCCAAAAGAGCCCCTGAAAGTCATAAAAGAGCCCAAAATTTTGTGCATAGAGTTCAATGCAAAACAATTTAAAGAGTGTTATTTTCATGCAAGCAAGCTTGAAAAGTAGCCCCCCAAATTTTTTAAATATTTTTTTCCCTGAAAAATATTCAAATTTTATCTTGGTGCAGACACGTATTTTTTATGCCTCCGCTACAAAGTAGCCGGAGGCATTATGTTTTCGGGTTGTCCATCCGTCCGTACGTCCCATTCTCGTGATCGCATTATCTCAAGAACCAATTGATGGATTCCCGCCAAACTTGGGTCATGTATGTATCATGCAGAGCCAATGAAGTGATTAGATTTTGGGGTTGCGAGATCCAAGGTCAAAGGTCACAGGGCTCATTATGTATGCAAAAATAGCTTGTGATCGCGTTATCTCTAGAACCCATTGATGGATTCCCGCCAAACTTGGCTCATGTATGTATCTTGCAGAGCCAATGAACTGATTAGATTTTTGGGTAACGAGGTCAAATGTCAAAGGTCACAGGACTCATTATGTATGCAAAAATAGCTCGCTTCTGTTTTGGTTTGTAAAATTGCTCCATGGCGGAGGCATCATTTTTGACTGCGCGCGGTCCATCTAGTTTATAAAGGATTTTAAAATCCTGCAAAAAATACACTATAAACAGAAAGATTTGGCGGTAAGTACATAAGTTACATGTACAGTGTAACATCCTTTTGTCTCTCAACTCAAATTACTTTTTTTACAAATATACTTATTCCATTTTCAGGCGGAGGAAGAGAAGCAAGCTCAGATCGACCATGAGAATCGCATCTTATTAGCAAAGCTCACCAACATCATCAGATCAGGCGGTCAAGTCGATAACTGGAACTTTGAAAGTGAAGCGCAACCCAAAACGTGAGTTTTCTTCCCATCATAAAGATATTCATGAAGACTTTGCAAACGTGACAATTTTAAATCAGGGTCTTGTTTATTTCAACCGTAAGTTGTCTGTATTTGTTTTTCTTGGTGTAAACAAGAGAATCTGTCATTTGATTTCACCCGTGAATATTGTTGTCTAAGAGTCTAGTTTTGTGTTTCCTTACATGTACATGTTTGTTACATTGAAAACTGCAAATGGTTTTGGCAAAGAAATACAACCACAATTGATGTTGCAAAAAATAATTGTTGCTTTGATTCTGTTACTCCTGATGTATGTACATGTACCTGTAAGTGGTTAGTTTTTGAGCGTCAAGTAACGCCTGGCTGGAATGCTCCTCAGGGAGTGGAGATTGTGCACACAATGTGTGCGGGCAAGCACTGAATCCAATGACCGGGGTAATAGTATATGTATATTTGTAAAGCGCTGAGAGACATTTGTATTAAGTGCTATATAAAAGCTAAATATTATTATTATTATTATTAGATTAGACTACTCTTTTTACACATATTCATTGTCATGAAATTAAGTTTTTCTATTTGAGAAAGGAATTTAAGAACATAATGAATATGATAAATCAAGTTAAAGAAAATGTTCACTTAGTCTGTGGAATTGACAGACTGCGATATATATGCAATAAAGCATAACACATAAAAAGGTAGTTGAACTTAACACTGATAATTTATTTGTTTTTGTCTTTCGTTGAAAGGTTGCATGCTCCATTTAGAAATAGAGAACAGGAGAGGATAGAGCGAGAAAATGCTGCGTTACTCAAACGCCTCAACAGTGTCAAACCACAAGTCAACTTCGACAAGATGGTAAGCTTTGTGAAATGAATGGGTAATGGATGGATAGAAATAGGAGGGCCACAAAAGAGAGATGTAGATGGACAGGAAAAGAAATACATGTGTAGATGACAGTTACAGATACACATGTAGAGAAAGAGAGAGAGAGAGAGAGATACATGTATAGTATAAAGAGAGATGTACAGTCAGAAAAAAGAAACAGATGACAGATACAGAGATAGATATAGTGAAAGAGAGAGAGAGAGAGAGAAACAGACAGAAACAGGAAGAAAGAAAGAGAGAGAGGGAGAGAGGGACATACTGAAAGATACTCAAAGAGATACATAGAGATCGAGATTGAGGGAAAAAATACTGGTACAGACATACTGGTATAGAGAGAGAGAGAGAGAGAAACATATAGGGGGCAGGTAAGAATGATATGAACATACCATCTGTTGAGAGCCAGAAGGGTGTTAACTCTGTGTTTAAAGTATACAGGTTTAATACCGCCCTTCTAGTACCAAACAGATGATACATTGCAGATGAAGCCCAAAGCATCAGAACATAGGCATACGGTGCAAAGATCAAGTGAGGATTAGTAATAAATAACACCCGTCTCCATCTCTTCCACCTTGCCCCTTGTAGGAGGATGAATACCTCATGCATAACTACTTCCTAGCTCAGAAGGCCCAAGCTACCAAGAGCTACGAGGTGGATCTTAGAGGGGTCCAAAAAACAGATAAATTTGTCTTCTATGCCAAGGACAGACATGCAGACAAAGAGGTAAGTTGACGGTAACACTCCGACGCAAACTCTGGCGTCAATAAAGCGTTTTTTTTTTAATTTATTCAATTTTTTTTCTTTTTCTTTGGGACCTATTGAGGAGTTATTCCATTAAAGATAAAGACCAATTATGGTTATGCAATTGCATGGTGAACGAAACGTTGTGGAATCGATCAGAAAAGGTTGATCATCTAGCATATGGTGTGTACTGCAAGGTTCTGGAATCATCAAAATGATAAAAAAATTGGCACAGCCTTTTTAAAGTTACAAGCACTGTACACAGAAAGATGTATACGAGACTACACGACACGTGCGCGATATCTATAAGGTCCAAATAGATATAATAATTTACCAAATATATCACTTGATAGGCGGTTTATCAGCAAAATTTGTATTATCACATATTAGTCAAAACATATTCTTTCACATGATTGGTGATAAGAGCTTCCATTTCATTTTTTGAGAGGGGGCATTTCCAAAACTGATCTTTACCTTTAACATGTTATAAAATGAACTGCAATACTTGGAATTCAGTCTGCATACATTAATTGTTCTTCTTGATATGTCAAGAACAACCTTTGATTAAAAAGTATGCATAATTTTTGAATATGTTAGTAAACCTGTTCCTCAAGGATTTTTTCATTCAGAGTTTTGGGTTGTGTCTGGTTGTAGGTTAGTTATTAGTGATAGGTCCAGGGATAAAGTTATGAACTTAGTTAGTGTACAGTAGGTTCTAGAACACAGTTGTCGCCCGAGCATGTGTTGTTTTACCAAGTGGATTGGGCACTACATATTTGTTACTGCGTTATATGGATATCATGAACGTTTCCAGAAGTATCATCCCACTATCATTTTACATTTTGGTTGACTGACTTATTTTAGGGGGATTCAAAGGTTGGAAATTTGTCTTTATTGGAAAAATAGACAATATTTGTGATTTAATCTTCCATATCAATTATCATGTAGTGAATAAATTAGGAAAAACTTGATCTGAGGTAATCCAATGGTAAGCACATTACTTCTTCAATTGATACATCCTAGTTCCATAGACATTTGACTACTCGTTGCAGTCATGTAACTTTGTTTATTCTAGAAATCATTTGTTGATGGTGACATTGAAGTGATTATGATTTCATTCATTTGTTTAATGATTTCATTTGTTTCCTGCTTTCTAGAAAACATTTGTTGATGGAGACATTGAAGAGACGATAGAAAAGCCAGAAGAAGGAGAAGTCCGGGAATTGACCTCATCAGCCAAAGCGGTAAGTCCCAATTTTGTAGTTCAGTGAAACCTGTCTATAAAGGCCAGCCAAGGGAGACAAGAAAAGTGGTCTTTACAGGCAGGTGGTCTTTATCATGATGTACGGGTTCCTTTAGTACATGTTTCAATGAGAAATCATTTTCTAGGGAAATGAAAAATGCTGTCTTTGTAGACAGGTGGTCTTTCTATACAGGTGGTCACTAAAGCAGGTTTGACTGTATAACTATTTTGTCATGTCTTAGAGGTGGTGTTGTCTAATGGAAATGTTAAGCAAACATTGACAGCAATGTAACCAGACCTTATTAAAAGTTTTACTTTAAAAGTAGGTATTTCAACAGTGTGATTCCAGGGACAATATTGCATTGTAACAGTGAATTTACCCATCATTTATATTTATGTTCTTTTAGGGTGCTTCTAAGAGGTTACCGACCAGGCAGCAACTCAAGAGACGGTCCACAAAACTTCCACTGATAGGACCGGAGAGGAAAAAAGCAGAGGAAAAGAAAAAGGTAAGTTATATACAGAGGTTAAATAGGTCACCTCTGCATTAAGGCCACCTCTCTTTTATAACCATCTTTATGCATGTTCAAAACTCCACTGTAACTGTTATTTCTGTAAAAGGAAAAATGATGAACTCTCTAAAAGCTTTCTAGTCCACCAATTTTTGTAGAAAATTTTGAAAACTGAACTTAAAGATTGAAATTATGACTTAATTTATTCCTTTCATTCAGGCAAATGTATTATGTATGACCTCTGTAGAAAGACCACTTGTCAATAGTGGGCAGTTTCTGGCGGATGGCCTTTATAGGCAGGGTTGACTGTATGTAACGTTAAACCTTCTTCTATACACACAACTGTCCAAAGGTCACCAGTCATGTTCATTATGCATTGTCAATTGTGGTGAAGAGACTAGAAAAGAGTTTGGCGTTGCCTTTTCTATTAGAAGATTAATATAAAGAGCAGGAATTATTCCAAATAAAAGATTTTAAAATGTTGCAAATTGGAATGTTTTGTTGCATATATAGTCTACGCATTTAACTACGTAAGGTGCAGGAGGTATACTTCATGAAATTTATAGTGCTAATATAAAAGCCTAATTGTGTTCTAAAAGAGTGGTGAATTTTGATTGTTTTGCAGAAGGCTACAGTGGTCAAGATCGCAACGTATAACCAGAAAGAGGAAGCTGCTAAACTCTTCAAAGCAACAAAAGGAATGGGTAAGGAATATCGGGAAGACGACAAATATATCTCTGCAATGAAAAACATCCTAAAATTATAGGATAAAAAATGCAAACACGTACTCAAAATGTCACTATTTGGAGCACTTTTTTTTTACCCCATGAACTGACTGTGGAAAAAGGTGGTTATGTCATACACATGTATACCATTTGCATTTATTTTGTTTTTTTAATTAAAATGCACAGTATCTCATGTGAAAACTCATTTTCTCGAAATTATATTTTTTTGTTGTCTTCATCATTTTGCCCTACCAGTAATTTAAAATTGAAAGAAAATCTTTTTTTTTTTTAAATCTCTTAAAGAGTGCGGTAGAAATGTTCCAAGAATGTGAAATGGAATTGGTAAGGTCAGTGTTTATAATGTACCTATGTTTATTGTTAGGAATTGGTCTATTTTTACTTCAAAAATATCCTTTTCGTTGTATTTGCAGGTAATCCTGAACAAATCTTGGTTCAGACGTTAGCAAAGCGTCAATATCAACAGAGACAAGACACAATGGAGAAATTTGAGGAAAATTATGGTCTGGTAAGTGAAGATCGTACATGTATGCACAGCTCGTTCATATCTCTTTCTCTTTCTCTCTCTTTCTATCTTCTCTCTCTCTCTCTCTCTTTACCACTCTCTCTCTCTCTCTCTCTTTACCACTCTCTTTCTCTCTCTCTCTCTCTCTCTCTCTTTCTCTCTCTCTCTCTTACATACACACACACTCTCTGTATGCTACCTTGTTTGGCGTTCAACAATAAGGGATAGAGCAACGTCGATCTGGCGCTGCTCAGTGGCTGCCGGGCTCACGATCAATTGGGCAAAAAGAATTTCCGTTTCGGTTTAATAAAATTTGGAGTGGACTATTAGGCTATTATTATTATTATTATTATTATTATTATATACATGCAATTCAATAACAATGGGTTTGTGTAAATTTGTGAAATTGGTTATACATGTACAATGTTTTCAGAGAGCCGACATGACCCTTTGATTTTTAGAATGATGCCAAATGATATTTGCTCTTCTAGATCATAACTTTAAACCATAAATTTGATTAATTGATAAAAAACAATACTTAATTTATTTCTAGAATACACAGCCGCTTGATATGTTTGATACAAAGTGCCCCTGTAATTTTACATACTGTAATGTTATTACTGACTTGACACTATGAATATGACGGACAAAGAAAGCGGACAAAATATACAGTTCCTCAGGTAGATAAAGGAACATCCCTTCACCGCTATTATGTAAAAAGGTGAATATGCATGTGACACCTGTTCTACACATTTTTACATAATAGCAGTGAAGGGATGTTCCTTTGTCTACCTGAGGAACTGTATATTTTGTCCGCTTTCTTTGTCAGTCATGTTCCTAATGTGAGTCATTGAAGTAGTCTATTAATTGTAGCGCCGTGAAGATGCCCCAATGTTCGCTGGCAGCCTTTATTTGGGGTCTAATTAAAATTGTGAATTTGATATGTGTCGTAAATGGCCCATGGAGTGATTGCGGTTGTAGCATGTGTCAGAGAACTGCCACCTACCATAGAAATAAATGGTTGTTCTCTTGTTTCACAGACGTTGGAGGAGGAGTTAAAGAATAACTTGAACGCAGAGTACGATGACATCGTCGAAGCCCTCTTATCAACCAGAGAGGATTTGGATGCCGTAACGTTACGAAGAGCTCTTAAGGTATGGGGCAAGAACTTACCTTTCCAAAATGAAAATATTTTGTAAAAGTAATTTTAAAAGGTATAAAATGTTGATTTAAATTATTCATATTTTCAATTATCAAGGAAATTTCAGGTTCTTGAATTGGAATTTATAAAAAGTCTAAAATAATAATAATAATAATAATAATAACAATATTTATAAAGCGCAACATATTCATCTCTAGAATACTTGAATTCTCACTTTTAATATATTTTATTTTAAGACTACAAATGGCTCTCAAATATTTTTAAGTCTAACTTAGAGTTAAGTTCGACTAAGGATCTTTGCGAAACACCCCAGGGGGGTGTTTCACAAAGATTCTAAGTCGAACTTATCTCTAAGTTGGACTTAAAAATTATGGACAGCCATTGGAGTCTTAAAATGAAATATATTCAAAAGCAGAAATTCAAGTATTTTAGACTTTTTATGAATTCCACATCCAGAACATGAAATCTCCTTGATGATAGACAATATGGATGATTTGAATAAACAATTAATGCCTTTCAAAATAACTTTTACAAAATATTTTCAAAGATGCTAATGGCTTTCCATAATTTTTAAGTCCAACTTAGAGATAAGTTCGACTTAGGATCTTTGTGAAACACCCCCCAGGTCATATTGAAAGCAACATGGCGAACTGTTTAAAAGATAGCAAAATGTAATGATGTAAATATCGTCTTTTTATCTTGACACTCTTTGTGCTGTAGAAAGTATGAGTATATGTACTCCATATAGAAATAGATGAATTATTAAACGGTATGTGATTTGTGGAGACAAGATATGACAAAATCTTTAAATAGTACCTTGATCTGGTTTCAGATTTGAAGCAACATTTTCGCTAAGATTTTTTTTTTTTTTTTTTTTTTTTTTTGTTCAACAGGGTGAAGATTCATTAGTTGAACCGGTCATTGAAATCCTCTGCACGAGAAGTAATGCGGTAAGTTGATGATGATGATGATGATGATGATGATGATGATGATAGTGCTGGTGAAGATGATAATGATGATGATGGTGAGGACGGTATTGTTCATGATGATGATGATGGCGGTGGTGTTGGTGGTGATGATGGTTGGGGGTAGTGGTGGTACTGGTAGAGTGATGATAATGACGATACGGTATAAAGTTGATATTGTTGATGATGGTTAAAATGATGGTGGTTGCGGTGGTGGTGGTGGGGGCGGTAGTGGTGCTGATGGTGATAGTGGTGATGATGTTTGTCACTTGTGACAGTGTTGATGAAGATGATGGTGATGACGACGATAAAGAAGATGATATTAACTATGATAATTATTTCTATTTTCTGTAGGCCATTGGTTGTATTAAAGAGGCATACAACAAGAAGTTTGGTATTTCCCTGGAGGATGACATTACAGCAGAAATCAAAGGCAAACTCAAGAACTTATTCTTGGCTCTTGCAAAGGTAAGCAAAGCAATTATACTTCTTTTATAACCAGGATTTAAACTTACTATAAATCATGAGGGATAATGGCAGCACAATTTGACCTGTTCACTGAAAGCTTTAAGAAATGATCAAACAAGAATCAAGGTGAATAGAGAGATGTGTTAGTAGTATGTTTAATATCTTTGTGGAATAATGATATTTATATACCTCACTTAAGAAGTCCAGCCATTCAGGAGGGAAAGCATATCTCAAAGTTTTGAGTCAATATTGCCATTCATTTGTAAGTTGGATGTTTTTGCTGGTTGATGATGTAAATAGGAAAAAAAGGAATTTTGACTACTTTAAAGCCACAAACTTTCTTAAATTTTACAACTGGTTGAAATTGTCAAAACTTTTGATGTTGCCACATGATTAAGTTCGGACGAGGATTTTTCAGGCTGGGAAAGATCCTTACCATGAAGCAGCCATCATGTACAGCTTCAAAATTTTCTGTTTTTACATTACTTCTTCTAGTAGTAGTTTATCTTACTGCATGTCTATGTGATCAAGTTTATAAATGCTATTTTCCACCTTCCTCATCTTATCTACAGGGTATTAGATCAGAAGATGCAGACGTGGATGAGGATGTTGCCCTACAAGATGCTGAGGCACTCCGGGATGCAGGAGACGAACGATGGACTCCTAGGAGCGAGAAGATGTCCGAGCTTCTCCAGTCGTCCAGTTTGCTTCATTTCAGGGAGGTCCTCCTGCAGTATGCTGAAGTAAGTGTAAGGTCTTTGCAGTCAATAAGACGTTATAGGGATATCAGTGATAGTGGTATAGCTAGGATTTGTCTCAAGAAGAGGCAGGTCTCCTCCACGGGTCTATATTTAGTTTTATTTCAGGGATAATAATAATATTCCACTTTTATTTAGCACTGTCTCTAAGCGCTTTACAGATATATTATTACCCCAGTCATTGGGATGTCATTGGGATGTCCTCATGCAGTATGATGAAGTGAGTCTAAGATCTTTGTATTGGAATGAAGGGCATTTAGCTACCTACTACTAGAACACTTTATTGTCTAAATTAATATTATATCATAGCTGTCTTTAATTAATACTATTAAATAGTTTTTAAAGTTAATACTATATCATTGTTGGCTTAAGTTGATATTATATCATAGTTGTCTAACTTGAGACTATATCATAGGTGTCTGAAGTTAATACAATATCATATTTGTCTAAGTTAATACTATATTATAGTTGTCAAAGTTGATATTAAATTATAGTTTTTTAAAGTTTATACTACATCATAGTTATATGTTTAATGACAACATGATGACAGTGGTGAGATAATATATATATTGTCAATAGCAACTAGGCAATAAAGAGCATTGCAGCATGACTACTAACACTAGAACAATTTATTAGAGGAAGTTTTGAAGTATGATACAGTGAGTATAAGATCTTGGTAGTCAACAAAAATGAAAGGGATGTGTTAACAGTGCCGCTCAGTCGTGTATCCAGCATTTTCAAGATGATGGGGCTGGGCAATGATTTCATTCAATTCTGTCTGTATTGCTGATCTGAAACCAAGTTTATAGATTTCAATTTTCACAATGCTGAATTAAGAAGGAGCAGGGCAATTCTTGTTCCCTCTTTTAGTTATACATATGTTGTGGATGACCAAAGTAAACATGTAAACATTCTGTTACTATTCATTCTACAGCTATCGGACTCAAGCCTTGCCAAAGAATTAGGGAAGTCACTCTTTGGAGATTTCAAAGATGCAATGCTCTGTCTAGGTAAGTTTCCCTGAACCCATTTCAACCTGTTAGATACACAATGGATTTAGGATGTACCCCACATAGCACTCAACCCAATTTGTTTTATGCTTATTATGTATTGTATTAATTCACTGTAAATGCGAAATCATTGCTGAGGTTTCATCTATTCAAATCAGACTAATTTTTTTTATGAGATTCATTTTTCTATTAATACCATGAAAGTGTTACAAACGTTATTTTGGTTACATGTTATTACAGAAATATAAAATAAAGCAACAACCTGTTGATATGCTACAAGACTTGTTACATTCTTATGAAACATCAAGTCAGGCTCATCTGGTGAAATAAAAGAATTATTTGATGCAGTATGTTAGCTGATAAATATATTTATATATTATATATATATATATATATATATCCATATATACATGTATAAATTAAAGGTATTGATTAAATGGACTAGGGTAGACAAGACGAAATATAATACTCTATCACCTTTATCTTACACAGTGAGGTGTATGAACAGTAATACCCAGTTCTTAGCAGATCGGATACATGCATCTTTAACAGGAGAAGCAGACGACATGACACTCATCAGAATCATCATCACACGATCAGAGGTAGGCTTCCATATATCATGAAATGCATTCATTTGACCTCTGACACCTTAGCCTTATTTTCTTGTTATTGACTGTAACATAAACTATAACAGAAATCGAATTACCGGGACCTGAAAAATGATTGGTAGAAGTTGTGCATGTGATTGTATGTTCAGATACTGAATTGTTTGTAACCTTTTCAGAAATGATTTGGAAAAATCAATACTTTCACTAGCATTAATTGAAAATCAAAAACCCTGTCAAAATACTTTTGTTAATTGACCAGGACTATGGTAAGCAATTTCCTAGAATGTCAAAAATCAATTACTTGTGGCATGAGGCTTATCCCACTACTTGCGGAATTCGCAAAGTTTTACAGCAGAGAAAATTATGAAATAAAATTAATATACATCACAAATTTCCTGTAAAAGGATGTCACTTGTATTACTTTCCTTTCAACAATGCCATCACTCTCATGTCGATGGTACTTTCATGTAATTTTGTTTTAGAAGTATCTTTTCATTGAACATTTTGTATCAGGATCGGGTATGCTCTTTCTAACTTTCTCCTCTCTGTGTCTTTGTATTTCCCAGCTGGACCTTCCATACATCAGGCGGAGTTACAAGAAGAAGTACAAACAGACCCTGATGGAGGCCATCGAGCAGAAGTGTCAGGCCTCCTTCAAGACGGCCCTGGTCCAGATGGTCCAAGTCCACGGAACCTTCCAGAAACAAGACCAAGTAAGGTTCATTTTAAATGGTCTGAAGCTCGACATGCTAAAAGCCTTATTCTTACATGATACCGTAAATTATGTGTACATAACAATAAGAACAATTTTTTTAAATAGAATGACGTACATGTACATGTTAGTGTAGTGCATCTCACATTTCTACATCTTGTACAGTGTAGCACACAGATAAGCAATGTCCCAGTGGGGCCTTTGTTGCATGCAGCTCCTGCCCCCAAGTTGCCAGTCTTTTACACTTTAAATTGTTTTTCATACTGCTGCAGTGTTTATTAAGCCAGTTCACTGTATCATTTGTGGACGAGGCTGAATGGTTACAGTTATATGTGTATTACAATGTGCTTCCCAACATCCAATAAATCTGATTGATGGATTTTTGTTATTGTGATATCACTACATATTAATTTGTTTAGAGAAATTTGAAGTTTGAAGTTTTTTTGTTCCACATTTACATCAAAAAACTATTTTTTTATTTTTATTATCCATTGTATAAGCGTAGATTACACACACAAAAACAAATTAAAGATTAAAGATTAAGTGTGCCCTCATGTGATGTGTAGTTTTCTAAACCTTTATTTTATGTGAAACAGAATTCCGTCATTATACAAAATAGCCCATATTAGGAACTAATCTAAATGTTATACCTTTCTGTCATGTCTTTCCTTTTCTAGCCTAAAGAAGAGGAATCAGGAGAACCGGAGTCTCAAGAAGCTGATAAACCCCTTAAACCTTCGCAGCAGAAGCCCCTTAAACGCCCTCCCCCCAACACCGGTGCCAAGGTACCTGCCAGTAACCCCCTGGTTAAGAGTACCGGTACTCTTGGCTCTTCCAACAGACCGGCCCCAGTGGGAGCTAAGCCGAAACAGGTAATCATCAGTCTATTTTGAAGGAATATGTAGCTAGTCAACTCTCCATTTGGACTTGTACAAAACTTGACTTCTATTGACAACTCGATGATTCTTAGACAGTTACCTCTTTAGAAATCTCCCAGCAGAAGTGATGGGTATTCTTCGTATTAGTTTTTAAGGGGTAGTTATCTGGGGGGTTGAGGAGGTGTCCAGGGAAGTAGTTCAGTTTAGTACTTGTCTAGGTTTTTTTATCAGTTGGGGGTAGTTGTCATCCCAGATTCATACAAACCCATCGATGGTATGATATTTTGAACAATGCATGCATTGAAATTCTAGTTTCAGTACACTGATTCAAAGAATTAAACTTTAGACAACTTGTTCAGTGTTCATTGAAATCATGTGAAATATGATAGTATAAGTGATCAAGTCAACTGAATATAGGAATTAGGGTGGCGTGGGGGGGGGGGGAATTTTCTTAATTCAATTACATTGATGAATTTTATTTCATTTCAGATGTGTAATTGTGTTTCAACATCCACTTTGTCATTGTTTTCAATTTAGCCCGCCAATTCTCCTGGAAACTCTGGAAAGACGAGACAAGCCCCAGGGATCAGGCCAGGTGGAGGGGCATCAGCCGTGGCAAAGAAAACTGCCACGCCCCCAAGAAAGGCGACTCCGCCCAAATCGTCCAAACCCACCAAGGAAACACCCAAAGTACAACCACCAGCCAAGAAAAAGGTTGAAGAGAAACCAGCTGATGACAAAGAGGACAAGGTGGAACCATCAAAGACGGAGGGAGAGAAAAAGAAGGAAGAGGAAGAGCAGAAGAGGGATGATGAGGAGAAAGAGACTATTGAGCAAGCTTCCACAGGGGAGGGAAAGGATGATAGTGAGGAGAAAGATGGAGGGGAAAGAGAGGAAAAATCAGAGGTGGGGTCAGATGCAGAGATGAAGTCTGCAAGTGGTACAGATCCCACATCGGAGAACATGTCTACGGAGAGTGAAGAGAAAGGGGAGATGAAGAGCGAAGAAAGCAAGGAGGAGGAGGAAAGTAAAGTGGAAGAATATGGAAAGGAGATAGAGATGAAACCCAAAGAAGACGAAAACCAGGAAATTTCATCATGATGAGCTGGATATCATTCTGGCATGTCTTGGAGTGGCAGAGAATTGAACAGTTATCTGTAGCCAAGTTTGACCATATTATCATTGAGATCTAACTCAGACACCCAAAGAAGTGAATAGTAAGATAATTCAACAGTTTTTCAGAACCAGCATTCAAATGCAAGATGGACAATCTGTCTTTCATTCTGGAGCATTATGCGAATGTAATGATAATATTTGTTGTTTGCTGGGATATTGTTGATCTTATTTCATTATGAACTCATTGAAAAAAAAGATATATAAATCAATTGTAGATTATTTTCTTTATCTGTCAAATTATAGCATTTGAATTAAATCTCTCTCTCTCTCTTTTGGTTGTTATGGGTAGTGAAACTCTCTTCTTTTTTATAATTATGTATTGGTTATACTTTATGGGGGACAAACGTATCAAAAAGCAAAGATAACATGGCCCCTCCTCTAAAAAATCCTCAAATTTTGTATTCTTTTCTTTTTATTTATATATATATATATATATATATATATATATATATATATATGTTTAGCTTGGCAGATATTTTTGTATCCCCTACAAATACTGTGCCTTTATTGAGCATGACGCTCAAAACTAATATTTCAACTTTCAGAATCATGATCTATCTATTTAGAATTCATCAATCCTTCAAAAAGCATATATTCTAACACCTGATAAATAAAGATATTGGCTTGCATCCCATTTTAAAATATTCCATCCTTTTGATATTAGCACCAGTAAATTGAATCCTTTTGATTTTGTTATTACATGGAACAACATCCTAATTTCAATCAAGAATTAAAATGTCTTGCCTCTTTTAAAACATCCCTTTAAGCATACTTCTTCCCTCAGTAACATAACATGATTTACCTATTATACGAGTCTATGCATTTTATGTTCCTCTTTACACTCTGTAATTTTGTAAGCAATATGGTACTTTTTAATTCTTCACGCTCCTAAATACTCATTATTATTATCATCATCATCATCATCATCCATCATCATCATCACCATCATCATCACCATCATCATCATCATCATCATCATCATCCATCATCATCATCATCATCATCATCATCATCATCATCATCATCATCCATCATCATCATCATCATCATCATCATCATCATCATCATCATCATCATCATCATCCATCATCATCATCATCATCATCATCATCATCATCATCATCATCATCATCATCATCCATCATCATCATCATCATCATCATCATCATCATCATCATCATCATCATCATCATCATCATCATTATACTATGTAGTGAAATAAGGAAAGATCATGTTTATTTCATGTTACTTTGTATATATTCTATCAATGTACAGTACTGTGGAGTAAGATATACTTAAATTTAAATTTAAATTTGGGGGCTATTTTTATACATCACTTGCTGGGATCCAGACTGGTTCTAACTTCATGGACAATATGCTGGAGAAAGTGTTTGTGATTATCTTGTAATGCAACAACAGGTTTCAAGTGTCCTTAAAACGTAATTTTGAAATAATAAATATCATTATTTTTTCTGTAGAAAGTAGAAACCTTGCCTGTTTTATGTATGTATATACTTATGTTATGTAATACATATTGTATTAATCAGGTGGCTTTATAATGTGATTATATAAATATATATTTTGTATACGTATACCGATTCAACAATTGGATTGATGTATTTTCGTTGCCTTATACTCAGTACACTCAATATATGCACATTTTTAAATTCATTTGATTTATCTAATCAAATCTAATTTGATATTCTATTGTATATTTTGATCGTCATTTTGTAATTTTCATCATATAGATTGTACAGAATGAAAATTTAACTTATTATATACTTTGTAAATAAATCAGCAAATAAAAAGATATGACAGAGGTAAAAATGTGTGTTTTCTTTTGAACTACGTATGTTTTGTTAATTAGCTCCTGGTATACCTTTTAAATAATTGATAAAAGAGGAGAGGAGAAGAGAGAGAGAGAGAGCGAGCTTGTTTCCAAATTCTAAAACTCATTTAATAAAGAGGTGAGATATGATTGTTTTTAATCCATAAAATTTTGTCCAATTTCCTCATAAGTTGGATTGCCTACCAAAGGATTTTCACCTCCTTGTGATATATATTTTATGTCTTATTGAGTCAAAACAGAATCACAATATTTACAAATAATTGGAGAGTAACACAATACATAAACTAAGACGAATAAATATCAGAACGTTAATCGTAAAATGATAATGAAACAAATAATTCAGCAGGAGTACAGGCAGCCACAAAAAAATATTTTATTTCAAACCTCCATTTAGCAAAAATGAGTTACCAGTTAGTATTCTTCTTTTGCTACACTGTATTCAAGATCTTTAGTTGAGGCAATATAAGCCTTAGAGCCTTGAAAATTAGGGAATTCGTTTTGAAATTTGCACATATAAATATAATATTAAATCAGAAGAAACAAATATGTTAGATTTATCTTGGTCATCACCCCTATGTGTTTGTCATAAAGTTATAGACATGTATAATCAGAAGCACTGTTTTTGACAATCAAGAGATTTGCCGTGATTTAATTAGGGGGCACATTGCCCCCATTGACCCTCCAACAATCAATTACCCTGGGTATTTCTACCCGAATTTCTATTCAATTTGCCAATCGAGCTCTGATAGGTGCAAAACGCATGCGTGGAAGTCGCGCTGCCATTGTGACCTCATGATGCTACGCTATGCATATCCACGCTAGAGATTTACTGCGTTCTGATTGGCTTAAAGTTTTCCTCGATGACGACATAATGGTTGGTATGGGTGCGCGTTGAATGGTCTCTTTTGTCAACAAACCGTTGCGCTTTGTGTTCAGTTTTGATCTAGCTTCCGAGTGCACATGTTGCTTCTTCTGAAGTGCTTTCGAAACTTTCACTGAATCAGCGAATTCAATCACTTTCTTCAAGAGAGATTTCTCCCGAGATTTCTGCTTTGTGAACAGGTAATTTAGTTAAAATTCCCTCTTTTCCACACACTAATGGATTGGAATAAACCGAATAGTAATAGTTACCATATAATTCCAATTCTCCCAAATTTTAAATCATAAGTGCTGTATGTATTTTATCCAAAGGCCAATGTTACGCGAATTTAATTATATACCTACTTCAAGTTTAAATCCAGTATGACTGGTAGGCCTATGCCAAATTAAGTATGTACGGACAAAATCAACAAAATATGGCTGAAATAAATTTGATAGAATATTTTGGAACCGTTAAAAAATAACTAATAACTTGATTAGCTACAATTTAAAAAAAAAGATTCACTCCAGAACTGAATATTAATTTGTTCGTAGATAAATCGTAAAGTCTCTGACAATGGTAGACATCGGTATGTCAGCTCAGAGAAAGCGGAGGGCTCAACGGATGGCAAATCGCCGTCAAAGACTAGCCCTGGGACCAGTGTCCGACCACGGGGATGAGATCCTTCAAGCCATTGAGATAGTCAAAGCCGTACTGGTCAAAGCTAAGCAAGAAGCCCAAGCTTACCCCGGCGGAGATTTCCCCGAGGAGTCGAAAGACCAGCAAACCGATTCTTTTGCAATCTCAATGTTCATCCCAAAACAGAGGTACAGCAAGTATTCTCTCTTTTTCCCCCTTATAAACATATTAATTCGGAATTCATTTTTTTAATGATACATAAATGAATTACCATCGAGTAGAAGTGTTGTAATTAAGAATAATGATGCCCACAATATTTGAAAGCCATCATGCATTATATTGCTGAGTAAAAAGATCTCAATACATTTTACATGAAATTAATGAATTCGATGGTCATGCACTTAAGGATCGTCAAATACCTTAGCATTCACCCTTAACATTTGTATTCATTTAAAAAGAGAAACCTTCTGATTTTGGTGGCATTTTTTATAACCTTTTAGTTTAATATTTCTGGTCTCTTTTTTTAAAACAGTGATACTCAAGAGCCAGAGAAATCGGCCCATCAGAACAAGAATATTGATGAAGAGGTCATCCAAATGCTGCAGCCTAAGGTCTCATGTCAGACTCTCAAACTCAATGACCTCTTGACCTTTGACATGGGATGGCCTGTAAAGGTATGGAAGTCAAAGTTCTTAAAAATAGAATGTTGCTTTCATGATTCACCTAAAGAGAGACAGAACAGAGAGAGGGGGGGGGTGGGAGTTTCTTAGCAAGAAACGATATATTAGCCACTGAAAGATTGGATGGACTTATATAGTCAGTGTTTAAGTCCTCATTAAAAGAATCCCTCAGAAATTATTGTAAGCTAAAAGAAGTTTCGAAAAGATATTTCATCCCTTATTAGCGATGTTGTAGAACAGATGTCCTCCCCGCTCTCATTTAAAAATGCAGTTACTAAAGAACTTTTTTCCAAAATGTAATCGTCCACCCTCCACCACCTCCAGTCAAAACTCTTCTTCGGAGTATTTAGGAGGAAAAGAATCCAAGATTCCAAGATCCAAGACAAATACATATAATTTTGTGCTGACTTATATTTAATTATAAGTAACTTGCTTCAAATTTCAATATACTTGTTTTCTCTTTTCAGAGCATCATTACGCTCAAAGAAATTGGAAGGGGCAGCTATGGTCGGGTTGTCATAGCACGTCATCGTTCCACAGGCGTTCCTCTTGCCATCAAAGAGCCGTCATGGTCAGACGACTTCGCTTCGCCTGGTGAAATGGTTGAAGAACTCAAGGCAACCAGGACCAGAGCAACCAAGGAGGCAATGATCCAACAGTTGTTGTCAGGCAGCCCATACTTTCCCAAGTTCTGGGGTACCCTTAATCTCGGTAACGAACTCTGCCAGGCCGTCGAGTTCGTGGGGTGCAAGAAAACGGGTACCGGCTACCCTCTCCACGAACCGCCATCGTTGTCGATGTGCAACGTTGTCAAGATCGCAGAGGACATCGTCAAGGGCATGATGGAGTTCCATGATCATGGACTTCTCCACAATGACCTCAAGAACGATAACGTGCTCCTGGAAAAACGTGGCAAGCGATACAACGCCGTCATCATCGACTTCGGTATGTCAAGTACGATCACCGCCCCAGCGAAAATGGTCGGAGTTGCCAGAGAACTAAAAATGGCGTATGTACATGGAGGAGAGGCAGACTATATAGCACCTGAGGTTGTTTTGGATGAGCAGCCAACATCCATCGCTTCAGATGTGTTTTCTGTCGGCCGTATCCTCTCCGATATGGGAGAGATATTTGGAGGTAAAACTGAATTTATATCGTATAAGTTCGTAATTATAGTTATCTTTTTCATAAAATGAGATAGGTTTACGAAAAAAATTCATATTCATGTAAAACTATAATCTTTAGTAGAAAGCTGCTCAGTCTAAATAAATGTCCTCAAAGTTCTTTTTCTTTAAAATTTCGTGGGGACTGCAAGCACATCCAGCTTTGACCTGCAGCCTTGTTTATATCTAAATTATGTTAATACTTATGGAGTATATGAAGTTTAAAAACAGTGGCAAAATATATTTTATCGCCTCTTTTTTTTTCTATTTTCTTTTTTTCTCTTTCTGCAGGTCACCGTTCTCCCGCAGTTCGAGAACTGTCCAAGCTAGGAGCTCAGTGCATGGCTGATAATCCTGACCATCGCCCTAGCCTCGAGACCATCCAAAGTCAAATTACCAAACTCCATCGGCCCAGTAGATGGAGGCGTGCCAAGCGATGGGTTGCTAAGAAACTGCATCTACGTCGAAAGTAGTCTGGAAATAAACACATTTCGGAAAAATAATTTATTATAGCATTCATTGAAATAAAGCAACCCATTGTAAAAATTATCTTTGTGTGCATTTGTTTTTAAAATTCCCCTTATCTTGATGAACGATATAAAGAAAGAGAACAGAGGGATATAGGTTAAAGGTGGAAAGATAGACTGGAGTGAGAGAAAGAGAGTGAAAATCAATGTACAGAGAGAGGGGAGAGAGAAAGCAGAGAGATAGAAGAAAGGGAGATGACAGATAGAGAGAGAGAGAGAGAGAGAGAGAGAGGAGAGATAAAGATACACGTAGAGAGGGGGGGGGGGACGAAAGGGAGGAGAGAGTGTAAACGTAGAGATCAGAGTCAACTATGAATGTTGTTAAAATAATGGCAAGTAAGTTACATAAAGGGTCGATCCTTTGGGGGATTTTTATCGAAGTAAAGCCCATTTTTCGCAACATCCGAAAATTTGAAATTTAAAAAAACGGACCCATGTTTAGGGGTATTTTTTGAAAAAATGACCCGTTAGAGCGGCACACCCCCGTATGTCTTAATATGTGAGTCCCCCCCCCCCCCCCCCCCCACGGGGTTGGTACTCTCAATCTCGGAACTAAAAAAGATGTGATGGGCTCAAATGTATACCGAAAGTCAATTGCATGTCGCCCTCTTTTGACAAAAGGTATACAGTTTTGCCGATGCTAATGTCTTCCGGTATTTCTGCAAGGAAGCAGACGAAAAAGTCGATGAATTCTCACGTTCTGCTGTCCTTTGAAGACCTGATTCAATCTGTTCATTATTCTACAACCGAAGTGCAATGTCATCTCTAAAAGAATTTGCGGTGAGTTAGCTATGTGATGAACCAAAAACAGTATGGCTTGCCTGCTGAGAGTGAGACTTGAGTTGCACTGTGACAGAAGTCAATTGTCATTAATGTCAATGCAAATCATATGCACGTAGACTAGATCTAGGTCTAGATTTTTACAAAAACAACAGTCAGACAATTAATGTTATGAATAACTTTTGTTAGCGATAGAAAAATTTGATTCTTAAAAAATTAGCTACCATTCATTCATACTGCAAAACAATTGATTTGTTTGCAAATCAATGATTTGCCAACAAATCATTGCATGCAACATTTGGTGACGTTTAGTCCAGAAAGAAAGAAAAAAAAAATTGTATTACTTAGGCCTAGTCTAGACTATTAAATGTTCAAGATGTTTTGTTCTTTGCTTTGCCTTTGCAGTGTATGCAGTAGCTGCCACTAGCCTTATGCTACTGAATGAAGGACTTGGACGAAATATGATATTGATTATATCACCAAGCCTTAGTTGGTACCCATACCCCTGTGTAACTCCAGGGAACTCTAGAGTTTATATATGAAAACAGTTCAAGCGGCGGGTTGGGTCACATTTTTTTGAAATGTAAACGGGTAAAGAGGTATGCCTAGTCTAGTATTAGAGACTAGAGTCTAGTTACAATTTTGACTTAGGGTCTACAATGTTTTCTGACTCCTCTGGGCATCCGTTCAACCACTTAAAATTATGAAAATAGGAAAAAGTCTTTGATGGAAAAAAGGGTGATTCCTCGTCTTAACCCACTACATCCAATGTTGTACAACATGGCGAAGAGAAAGTATGCATGCCCGGTAATGGCGCAGCACATGCATGCATACTTTCTCTTCTCGTTTGATTTTTTGAAAAATTTGAATCTAGTAAAAGTAGTAGCTTTAGCTACCTAGAATATATTTCATTCACCATTTTGTCAACACATCATTTGAAAGATTCCGAAGATGTGACATTAAAAACTTGTTCAATTCCTGGATATCCAATCTGTCCTGACAGCAAGGCAGCATATATATAATGCAGTGCTTTGAGAATTTGAACTGTTAAACCTCTAAATTGCAGAGGTAATTATGCCATATCAGTCCTCAAATCTATTACTCTAACACTTCTTGCCTTTTACAATGGTGAATGATCAGGTAGATCTACAAGACTAGTATAAGTGAAAACATTTTGAAACATTGTGGTGACTTTTATGTTACTACAAAAAACTGCATGGTATTTCTAGCAATGGATAAACAAAGGTTCAATCCTCACCTCTTTTGTGAATAACCTTACCTCAGCCTCAGATACAAAGATGCTGCATAAAATACACTGTAAGAACCAACCACTCGGTTCATATAATAATGCGTTAACCCTGCAACAAGACAACTGTGGATGTACATGTAAATATCTGATCTAGGCACACACAAGTGATTCAAGCCCTAGAATGATGATGATGAACTCCTGCTGTTTTGGGTTCTCAAATTCTCTCCCAACTTCCCCTTCCCCTGGCTTCCTACCCCTTCCCTCACCTTCCTGTGTTTCTAGGGGACTCATACATGCGGGGGCGGGTGAAAGTGACCTTCAAGTTTGACTGACAAGTTCAAATTCAGAGCTGAGTTGCCATGTTCTGTCCATGATGCATTGAATTAAAGAGATTGTTTGTTTATGTCAAATGATTTTGATCATTTTGTGTCCTTCATGATGTACCAAAGGAATTACATGTAATGATTAAAGTAAGAAGTATACTTTTTCTTGAAATTTGGTCTGATCCATGGTACAGTTGGGCTATCAACTGATTAAATACTAAGATCTCAAATATTGTCTGTAACCTATCCATCAGTCCAAGTAATATGGGCTAGTTCAACTTTTGTCTTCATTAGCAAATGATTCAAAACAGAAATTGCACAAAGTGTCTCTTTTCTATCTTGGATTACAAAGTAAGCAGTTAGAAGATTGGTTTAAAATGAACAGATACTTTGTAGAGGTGTCGTAGTTAAGACAGTGATTAAAAAGCTTGACTGAAAAGGTTTGGTTGAGCCGCAGCACGACTCTGGTAACCTGTGGAAAGACATTAATCTACATTTGCCGCTCTTTACCCATGTGGTAGTAAATGGATGCCTGTCAGGAGAAGGGAATCTGCATTAAGCACAAAAGAGAGCTTCGACTCCGAGTTATTGTTGTTTACATGTAATTTAGGGAAGTCAGTCAGTTTATGAGCACCTCACACAGTGATTATAAGTGCTTCATGTCTATGAGAATCCAACAATCATGTCTTACTAACTTACTTTAAAACAGCAATGCTATAGGACTATGCATGTTCATCGATTGTAGATTTCTCCTTCAGTGGTTATTCATTATCCTTGTCATTTCAAATAAAATAAGTGGGAAATGACAAAAATGGTATCCTTTAATGACCAACTTTGAACCTGAGAGCTTAGTCATGACATTGTCTCTCCATGTTTTAGTGACTGACAGCTGGGCACAGGGCCAGCCCTCATCTTACTCACAATGTCATGTCTGTGGTGAAACACTTTCACACCGGATGATCAGAGAGGGAGAGAGAGAGAGAGACAGACAGAGTAGAAGAGGGGAGAGAGTTGAAGAAAGCGGAAGAGAGGGAAAGAGGTGAAAAGGGGGAAAAAAGAGATTGAGAGAGATAGAGAGAGACAGAGACAGAAACAGAGAGAGAGAGAGAGAGAGATACAGACAGAGTAGAAGAGGGAGGGAATTGAAGAAAGTGGAAGAGAGGGGAAGAGGTGAAGAAAGAGAGAGACGGGGAGAGAGAGAGAGACGGGGAGAGAGAGAGAGAGAGAGAGAGAGGGTGAGAGTGTGACAAACGAGGAGAGGAGAGGGTGAAAGAGAGCGTGTGTGCATCAGTAGAGTACATGTAGATCCAACCCAACTACATTGTCTTGTGCTGCGGCCAACAAAGTAGGGCAAGTCCCAACACTTTGATAATACCTGTACTTCTAAGCGAAGACACCTACTACTCTCACTACACAGCACACCAGCTTATATCATGGCTGCTAAGTATAGGGTTAGGAGTGTGAAGGGTAAGAAAGTGACAGATCTCACTAGTTTTATGGTAAGTAATTCTGCACTATTTGGAAGATCTAGATTGTGAAAAAGTTTGTGAATTGTTGAAAGTAAGCTTGAATTTGTGTGGGTACTCCATTGATGTTTTAATTTGCTGTTATGATTTAATGCGTAAAATTATCTTTAAATTTTGTTATATTCACCCCCCCCCCAACACACACACATACACACACACACACACACTCCATGTTGCAAATGGCAGTAGTCTACACTCTTGAAAATGTCTCTTAATTTTTTTTGTTTAATTTTGATTTCCACAGATTTTATTTAGATTTTTTCCCTTCCATTTAGTTGTTTCTAATTGCATACTTGGTACCACAACAACTGTAACCAAATAGTGCGGTATGGTATGTAATCCTGTAGGATTTTTTTGCCAAAGTTAATTTTTGTTGTTGTTGCTGTTTTGGCTTCAAAAGGGTCCCAATTGGCCAAAAATGATGATGTTCAAATTTTCAGACCCCTCCTTCATTTCCAGGGGGTCCATATTGGGCGCCAAAATGGCTTATATAAAGCGCGATAGGGAAATTTGGTGTCTTCGGGAAAATTTGAACCCCATCAATTTCTGATAGCTTGGACCCCAATGAATCCAAAAATGCAACAAACAAAAAAAATCAACTTTGGCACAAAAGTCCTACGGGAGCTGTTTCAGTGACATATCGTACCACACTAAAATGCTGTACACCAAATTCATGTTCTATCTAACATATTCAACATAATCATAATATCATCTTGCAACTCTTCTCCTTCTCTGTCTCTCTCTCTCCTACAGAAGTCGGACTTTGACCCCGAGCAGCACGTGGAGCAGCTCGCCTGGCGCGTCCTGGGAGGGGACACCAGGGATGGACCGGGGAGCTTTGATCCCAAGAAGATGCTCAACGCCTTTGTGTGTACCATCGAGGAGCTGAAGCTGAGCTCGTCCAGGGTGGAGGAGAAGATCACCAAGCTGGAGCACGGCATGAAGACGGAGATGAAGCAGCACGCCAAGCGCATCTCACAGCTTCAAGATCATAACAAGGTAATAGATGGGATCTGAGTGGGCATTACAAAACATTTACTCATGTGCAATGTTTATGTATTCTCATGGCTATCCCATCTGTAATTTGATAGAGACTGGTCTTCTTGCATACAATGATTTTTATTTTATTTTTGCCTGTATGTGGAATAATAATCATTTTTATCCAAGCTGTAAAACTTATTCTGAAATTTTTCTGAAATTATATTTTGCTTTGACTCTGTATAATATAAAACCTTTAATAGTGGTTGTTATATTCCAGTCTTTCAGTATATCTTTAAATAGCAACATTTGATTCATTCCATAGCAATGGGTTTTGTCACCTCAGATGTCTTTGTATAACAAAGTGACTTATCTACCCCATTCAATCAAAATGTCAGCCAATCAAAATGTGTTCCAAAAACAACTGAAAACCTATCTAATGTCTGAATTCCTTAGTTAAGACGTAGTGTATTTCACAATATGATGTAATTAACGTTGTTGAATTATATTTAATTATGTTAAATTATTTTTGTTCAATGTACTTACCTTGTTAGGCGCCTTGAGCATCTCTTGGGGTGGATATGTGCGCATTATAAATGTTGTTATTATTATTATTATTAGTGAATTTCAGAGTACATGTTTTTTATAACAAGATGTCATTGCGTAATTATGCTTTGCTTGTTATTTGCAATTTGTGTAAATGAATGTGAATCATATAAACCCCCTTTAGAGAGACCATACAAAGATGGTTCGATAATACATGGTTGTTTTAGGCTTTGATGAATAGAAATCTCCCAAAACCTGTCAATTTGACAATTAAATCTCTTTTTCTTTGTTCTCTCACATATTAAACCCATGCCTTTCCTTGTAATCTTTTCCCTTGATGTACACAGCTTGCCTTCCTTCACTTCCAAGAGCTGGATGAGCGCATCAACAGCGTAGCCACCAAGGTGGTTCACCTAGGGGACCAGTTAGAGGGTGTCAACACCCCCCGGTCCAGGGCAGAGGAGGCCCTTAAGCTCATCCAATACTTTGCAGATTTCATGGATGATTTTGGACCGACGGCGGACATCTTTAATGATCCTGATAAGGTAGGTGCATAGTGGATGAATGTGTTTTTGGAGTGCTCTGATGTTTGCTTCAGCAAGACATGCTCGAGGCTGCATTCCATATGGTTGAACAAATATTGTTTAATCCAGTGACCAGGGTAACAATAAGACTGTAAGTGCATAGGTCTGTTGTCACTGGTAAAGTGCTTTTGAAGTAACAGTTATTGCAATGTTAAGGTCGAGGTTGCTATTGGGTTCTAGGTTATTGGTTAGGGTAAGAATTGGGTTTAGTGTCAGGGTTGAAGTTGGGAATTGTATTACTGTAGAATGACGTAGGATGACGCAGCACAACTGTTGGAGGAGCAGGCTAGGTGCCATACAATATATTTTGTGGGAATGGGATAGGAAGGTTCATGTAGGCCTGGCTGTATGGTAAACCTAAGAGAATTCACATGTGATCTGTCTGAAACCTCTATATGCAGTACAGATGTGCAGACCCAATGTCGTTGAAGGAAGTAAGATTGTCAACTTGCAAGCCCCAGTTATACAATATTGATTCATCCAAGAATATTTTTATGTAAGGCCAATTTGATGACTCAGTTATTGTGTATAGGAGTAGCAGTGTCAAAAGGGATAATCTTGGCAGGTGAATTTTAAAGAATGTAAAATTAAGAGTATATATTGTATTTGAATATAAAGTATAAGGCAGGATAGTTGGGCCACTAGGAATGGGGAGAAATGATAGCATGCTGGATACAGTCCTTACAATGTCAAACATATGGACATATGAATTTTTATGTTTTAGTTTTAGTGCTAAATATTTTAATCTTTGTTTGATTTAGTAGCAACTATAGTGCTATACATGTATGACATAATATCTTATTGTCTGAACTCACTGTGTTGTTCTTTCGTGAAGTACCAAGAAGCTGCAGATGTGATACAGAAGCTGCAACTGATTGCGCAAGAGTTACCACAAGATCAGTAAGTCTGAATTATTGTTAGTTGACTATACTCATTGTCATACTGTACTGCTTCAAGTGGTTGGGCTGCACCATGGTGATGATGATGGTTCTCTGTTGCAAGCTCAGGCAATTTATGTTAGAGAATGTGACAGCAGCAATATATCAGCTTGAAATGTACCTGACTTTTCTTGAATGATGAAATTCTGTTCTCTCACTTTATAAACTTATGTTGTTCGTCTCTGGCAATTTTTGCACCACGTTCCATTTCATTAAAGAATCAAAATAAGGTTGCAAGTTTGTAATTGTGTTTAGGGTTAGAAATTTGTATGTCAGCAGATCTAAGTTTGAAGGAGGAATTGGCTTTGTGTTATTCATTGAGCAGTTGATGATTAAGCATTTATCATATGATTTAAACTTTCTTTGCAAGAAGTATAATCTTTTACAATTTACTCTTTATATATTTCCATTATCTTTCAGATTTGATAAACCAAAGAAGAAGATACAAGGTGAGTTTAGAGTACATGTATTTAAATCTATTCAAACATCTTGTAGGTTCTTATGTATTCCATATAATTGCTTCACTCATAATTTGCTAAATGGAAAAGTTCAAGAAGATGACAAGAGATAAAAGATGAACTAGTTTTGATGAAAGCCACAGATTGAAGTACAAAATGAGATGGATATTTAGATTCGCTTTGGCAATTTCTGTGGTTCATTTTCATTTGAAAGAAAAATCCTTGTAAATGGCCTATCTATACTTATAGGTTTGACTGCACACAATATGTCCCTGTCAATCATTGCCAAATATTCCCATTAATATCCCTTCTATGAATATTCATTAGTTTTCTAAATACATGATTGGTCAATTGGTGGTCACGTGATCAAATATAATTTCACTATTTGAAACAAATCTCTGTCAGAGCTCCGAATATTTTCCACTATTTTTTCATGGTCAGAACTGCGCATGCTCTATGAGATTTTCAGGTAGAAAAGCATTGTGACGTCACATCATGTTCAGTCAAAAATAATGCACAATTAGCGCGTCTCATTAAATGCGCGTTAATATAATTGTGCGCAGGTTAAATTGACAAATTCAAACTGATTATAAACTTCTCTCCCAATGTGGGTGACATAAGAATAAAGTTAAAAACCATAATGCCAGCCAATCATTAATCAAACGTTCGGATCGTAACGAAGTGATATAAAACAAATATACCAAGCATTTAGTTCGTAAGAATAGTGGAAATTATATATCTTCGGAGGGACTGCAATAGTTACTATTTCTTCCTCGGGGCTTTGCCCCTCGGAAAAAATAGTACTTTGCCAGTCCCTCCTCAGATAAATAATTTCCACTATTCTTTCTCACAGCTTCGTATATTTGTACATTATAATTTTGTTCAATGTGCTAGAATCTTATTTCTTATTAATACAGACAAATATAATCAGATAGAGGAGGATCTCATCTCAGATTTCAGACTTTATTTCCAGGAAGCTGAGGTTGAGAGAATGAAAGAATTGGCCAGTATTCTCATTCATTTCAAGGTGAGATTTAATTAAAGGTATCATTTAATGGATTTTATAAGAAACGTGCTAGACCATGAGGCTAGATGACGCAATGATGTATTAAATTGAATTGAATTGAATTGAAATTGACATTTATTTCCTTCTCATTGACAATATGGTCAACACTAAACAATTAGAAAAGTACGGTAAATAAATTTAGAAAGTATAAGGAGGTGAAAACCTAGAAAGCAATTGCTTATGTTGGGAAAGCCCTTGCCAAATAAGGCCAATATTTATGAGTAGTGACTAGGGGTTGGGAACTTCCTTCTTTAATCATGGGATATCCATGATATTATAGTTATTTATCTCATGGAATAAATAAAATTTTCGTTAGTCTTATTGAATATTGACATTGATTTTTGTTCTTTTCTAAATGTTGAAAATATTCTATGTAACTTTCATGTTATGTTAGATGTTTTTAAAGTCATATTCTCAGCCCGAAAGTAATCATTTGAACTAATCTTTAATATCACCATGACAAAATGTCTGATTAATGTTCAGGCTGATAGTGCCGAGTGATGCAGTGCCAGTGTGCATCTGCTATCCTCTCGCTGTTATCACTTGCATGCTGTGAACATGTCTATAAGAATGTCAATGACTATTCACGTTTCATAGACAACAAATATGCAAAAGAGAAAGAAATAGACTAGAATTTGAAGATTTGGGGTTGTACATAGCATAATAATATACTTATTTTCTTTGTATGATTTCTTTTTCTTTCCATTCAGGGTTACAATCGATGTGTGGATGCTTTCATCGAAGAAAGTCAAAGGGTAATTATTATTAATTTCTAAAATTATATGTATTGCATTTATGGATTCATTGTGTATAGGAGAATTTAAAACTTAACTTATATTTTTAGCCTTACGTTTACACTGCAAAACAGGAAAAGTTTTCAGCACTTGTATTTGTCTAGGACATTAATTTTTTTTTTTTTAACATTATACCAATCTAGTTAATGTCAGGAGTGAAATATCAATGATTTGTAAGTGCCAGAATTATAATATTAGGCATTAAGGCATTAGGCATGTATTTTGTATTCTATTATAAAAATTATGTAGAATTGTATTTTAATTCTTCTATTATATTGCAAATATATCTAATGGTAAATAATTTTTTTTTTCATTTTTTTTTCTCTTTAGGATTGTTTCATTCTTCAAGATGTATGTGAAGATCTACTACCACTGTGCAAGAAGGTAAGAAATTCATGCGATACCAGACTAGAATATTTAGTGTTTGTACGTTTGATGTAGTAATTTATAAGTGGATTTGAATAAGCATGTTCATGTCAAGCTAAAATTGCAATGAAATATTACAAGTACATATGTAGATTGTTGTAAAGAGACATGGCAGGGTGTACAAACATGACAACTCTGTAAATGCCCATATTAGTGTTTAAAAAATAAAAAAATAAAATAAAGTCAAGTCACAGTCGTATAATATACAACTATTAACATTATACCTTCGCGTAGTTATATCCCTACAGAAATAAATCAGTTTCGTTATGCATATTAACCCCCCTCCCCTACAAAAAGTCAAGTCACAGGCACATATATATTGCAGTGCTGGGCAATTCCACGGTAACGGAAGGACACTCAGACAAGATTTTTGAACTTCAGGTTCATACTAAAAAAATTGTTTTATTAGTATAAGATGTGAAACAGTACAGATATAATACCTATATAAGTGCCTTTAATTCTCCCCAAAAAATTGTCATTATAGTTAAGTAGTTTAAGAATGTGCATATTAATTATCTCGGTAACGGAAGGACATAAAAATGGACATGGTTTTTCCAGTTAATTAGTGTTTATCCAAACTTTGTGAAGTTGATGAAGCTTTCCACTTGACTGAAGCACATTTTGTTCCCCATAGTTTAATACATACTAATAAAACATTTCTTTTAATATGAACCTGAAGTTCAAAAATCTTGTCTGAGTGTCCTTCCGTTACCGTGGAATTGCCCTGCTGCTTACAGCCAAATGTAGAATTCCAATGCTTTCCGATCTGTCAAATGCCAGTAACATACAAAAACATACAAATTTGATGAATAAATTTGTCTGTCTGCTTATTACTAATTTGTTTCTTAATTTGTGTGTATCAGATTTCCCTTAATGACATGAAGATGAACACCTTGATTCTTAATGTATTCTGCAGCCTTGAGTGTATCACATCACTGATTCAACTATGAATTCTATTTGCAATGATTACATAGATGTCATAACATTGATCCTTGATATATTAATTATCTCAGAGAGTATTTGATCCCTGGTATGACTCTGATATCTCTTTGACTATATGTAGGTCAACACATTATTTAATAACATATTTAGTAGCCTAGCGAGTATCGGATCTCTGATCTGATGATGAATTCTATTTGTAATGATTTCATGTAAAGCCATCCCCTTAATCCATGATGTATTAATTATCTTAGAGTGTATTTGATCATGGATTTGTCTTTATTTTCTCTTTGATTTTATATAGGTTAACACCTTGATTCACGATGTATTCAGTAGCCCTGAGAGTGTGATGGGCAGGTTTGTTGTCAACCTCTATGAAGATAAGTTACAGGTGAGATACGTACACTCTATATTCATTTGTTTATTCATTTGTTTATTCATTTAGGTAGTGTCTCATTCCTGCTTTGAAACCTGAACACTAATAACAGCATTGTGGTAAAGTGTGTTTAGTTTAAAAACTATCACATGAAGCTCTTAAAAGTTGTGGAATCAGTTTGTATCACATTTTCAAATTTAGTAATGTGTATCACAACGTTAGCTTCCGTCTAGTATATTTCATTGATGAATAAATTATTTTGCATTTTCTCTGGGATTTGATTTGCTAAAGATTTAGGGTTAAGGTTAGGTTTGTGATTTGGTTTGAGGTTAATTTTTGTGTTAAGGAAGAGTGTTAGGTCAGTGTTTGGTACGTTGTTGAAGGGGAGGATCTTCGGTTAATGTAGGAAAAAGACATTTATCGCAAAGCAATGATTGCAGGAGCATGTGTCACAGAACCAGTGCAAAAAATGAGAATGCCCGACTTTAATGTATTCACAGAGAGACTAGCTCACAATATTTTATTCAATTATGTTAATGAAATCAGTTATCATGGTATAATGTTCAATTTACGTTATGGATAAGTGAGTTTGTTTTTCATTCTCTCCTTATAGACACATGTGAAAGGCAAGCTGACTGATAAGAGTGATTTAGAGCATTATCTGAAAAACCTGCAACATTTGTATGTAAGGTAAGCAGTGTTTTGAAGATCGTAGTGTAAAGACTTTCCTTTTATTTGAAGTAATGACATGAATAACTTAGAATTATTTCTAGTAAGTTGCTTTGATAAAGATAATAAAAGATAATGTATGAATTATAACGTGCAGATATCCGAAAATTTTGATCATAGTCAGTGTGTAGAGGTGTCGTGGTCTAGTGGATATGTCACCGGACTGTGGATCACAAGGTCCGCGGTTCAAGTCCCGCCGCAGCACTAATGTCCTTTGGCAAGACATTGATCTACATTTGCCACTCTCCACCCACGTGTTAAATGGGTACCCGTAGGATGCGAAAGCTAATGTGGTTGGATTAGCAAGTGTGCGCTTGTAAAAATGACGCCTGGCTGGAATGCTCCCCAGGGAGTGGAGAATGTGCATACATTGTGTGCGGGTAAGCCTGAATCCAATGACCGGGGTAATAATATACTTATCTGTAAAGTGCTTTGAAAGGGCCTCCAGTCCTGAAAAGCGCTATATAAAAACGAGCCATTATTTTTTTTTTTAACGAAAATGCAAATTACATTAAAAACAATAGCTCAACAGATAATCTACAGGTAGTGAAAATATAATGTATGTACCTTTACAGATGTTGTGTTTCTTATTACAATGTCACTACCCAAAAATTCCTTTGAAATACCTATGCAGAAGCTGGACAAAAAAAAAGTACATTTTCTACCCCACACTTGACACAGTATCGCTCCTAGAACACTCATTGCCATACAACAGACAGACCTGCAGAGTATCTGTGAGGATCTACGGTGTAATTCCTTAGTTGGAGAGGACAAGTGTGTGTAAAGTACCTTTCCTTAGACTAAGGTCTTTTTTGGATTTTCTCTCCAGGATAGACAGGCTAACAAGCGCCCTGGTAAAGTTTCTGCTATGATAATATGCGCACCTCCTCAGTTGATATATACATGTTTGTGTACTTCTATTCTTCTACTTGTCAAAGCCTGTTCAGCATCTAGACAAGGGTTCTGCTGACGATGGTGGATGGCTTGTGCGAATTTGTGCCAAAGTGTTCACATGGCGCAAGTAAAGGACCCTCCATTAAGATCTTCCATTGCATGCTCCTTGGCAGAGTACTTGCTAGGATCAAAAGAGCATCTTAACCTAAGATTGGTTGCATAAAGTACCCTTCAGTAAGATCTTTTTCGTGTTTTCTCCCCAGGACGGACAGGCTAACGAGCGCCATTGCGGAGTACCGGCTAGGATCCGATGCCCACCTCCTCAGCCGTCTCACCAAGAAGATCTTTGGAGCTTATCTCAACAAGTACAACGTAGCAGAGACCAAGCATCTGAAGGAGAAGATGGCGGAGCACCTTGAGATGTATTACAAGGGACTTAGTCACACCAAGAAGGGTCCCCAACCTGTAGATAGGTGAGCTTGCTTGCTCTCTGCGTTTTCTGCGTTTATAAGATTTATTATTTATCATCATCATGACTGGAAACTAGAAGTTTGACGGAGTTCAAAAAAATAAATCAGAAATTTTCTTTGACAAATTCTTGTTGGAATGTGAAAGATTTAAGTTTAAAAGGTATGTTTTTTTAAATACATGATCACACATTCAGACCAAAGGACATTTGTGAACATAGTAGGCATGCAGATAGACATCTAGATAGGTAGATTGATAGATAGATAAACAGCTTGACAGCTAGAAAGATAGATAGATAGATAGATGGAAAGATAGATACATAGATCGGATGAGAAAGTACATGGTATGGATGTAATTAGTAGATCAAGAAAGAGAGAGAAAGATGTAGAGAAATTGATTCTATGTTCAGATGCTTTTTTGTTTTAATAGTCATCTAAAAAGAGTATAAAGTTTCCTTTTTTACATTGGAACAGTTGATCTTCATCCCCCTTTCATACATTCTTACACAAGTGACTACTGTACTAACTCCAAAATTTACTTAATCTGAATGTACAGGTAACTGTGCATAACTTGAAGTCACACAAGTCAAATTCGCCCCAAGTCAAATTAATTATTTGGACCAAGCTATGGAAAACCTGTGTTATCTACACTTCCTAAGTCGACTTTTGCATAAGTTGAACTATTACTTGCGATCCCAGCAGATACGACTTATGTGGAGTTATAACTGTGTTTAAATCTAACTTGGACCTCTTTTATGCTCTCCCTTCAGGTTCCAGGACCTCCAGAACAAGATCAGGACCAAGGCCCCTCTGAACATTGTAGGAGCAGCCCCGGTGGCAGACTACAAAGGAGAGACCTTCCTGTCCCAAGAACTAGCCCTGAACCTCCTCTATGAAGCCAAACTAAGCTTTACTAGATGCCAACTGGTAAATAATTCTCATATAAAATATATTTATGGCTCTTATTGAAAGAACTTGAATGGTCATGTCATCTTTGTTTAAAATATTTGTTGAAGTTCTGCCAGAATTCAATGTTCCTTGTCTTACTTTGAGATTATTTAGGTTAGTTTGAGCCCATCGTGACTCCTGAACTAAAGAATACAATTTCTTGGTTAAAAACTTTTCTTAAACTGGTATAGAATTCTGTTAAAAGGACATTAGTGTCACGGCGGAACTCGAACTGCAAACCTTGTGATCCACAGTCCGGTGACGTATCCGCTAGACCATGAAACCTCTACAAAGATACACACCCCCAAAATGGATAATAATTTGTGTTTTATGAATTAAAGATCATTTAGATTGAGATTCACCTGCATTAAATATTATCAGCATATAATCTCTTTGACTTAATACTGGCCATATTTCATGAATGAACATGGATCACACTTTACCAAGTAAATTTTTTAAACTTCCAGCTGTCAAATCAGTCCAATATTGCCAAGAATGCTTACGACATCTTCTGCATCCTGATCGACTTCATGTGCATTGAGCACATCGACTATGCCCTGGAGCTGGGGCTGACTGGGATCCCGATGGGTGAGCCTCGGTCTCCTCCTGCGAGCTACTTCTTTGAGATCGTCTGCCAGGCCAACGCCATCTTCCATCTCCTGGAGAAGCAGTTTAGTGATATCCTGGTTCCTCTCATTAGGTGGGTGGTTTTGATATAGACAATTCTCTTTCACTATGTGTCATATTGATGATTGATGATTAAGTTGAAAGTGTAAATCCATTCCAAGAGATGCTTTTAAAAGGAATCTTGCAAAGTTAAACGGCATTAGAAAAATTGTGTTTACAGATTTTATTTCAAGATTTGAAAAAAGAAAAGTTGAGATGTCACCATCACGATTATCATGATCATCATTGTCACCATCTTCATTATTATCATCATTATTATCATCATTATTATCATCACTTTTATCTTCATTATTATTGACATTTCTATCAACACCTCCATCATCATCATCATCAACGTTATCTTTATTATCATCATCATCATCATCATCACCATTATCTTTACATCATCATCATCATCATCATCATCATCATCATCATCATCATCATCATCATCATCATCATCATCATCATCATCATCATCATCATCATCATCATCATCATCATCATCATCATCATCATCATCATCATCATCATCATCATCATCATCATCATCGTTACTCTCTTACCAACATTATAAATATCGTCTGTTTGGAGCCTGAAGGGCTTTAAAGATCTCATATACTGAACATCATTATCATTATGTAACTATCATTATTATGTCAATCTTTCTGTGATTCCACAGTTCCACTGAGCAGCACACAGAGTGTGTGGCAAAGAAGAAGACCTTGATGGAGCAGATGGAAGGGAAACTGGAGACAGGAGTTGACAGGTAAGGAGACAAAGTGATTAGTATTGCTGCAGTTAGTCCTGAAAATTTGAAAGCAATCTTTTAGTCTTCTCATTGTTCTCATTGCTTCTTGATCTTTGATGTCCTTTTTCTGTCGATATCATACTTCCTGGCTGTTTTTTGTCTTCCATCCGACCAGTTCCCATATCTCATCAATATAGTGACCAATATAAATATTTCATATCTTAGAATCTTCGGATGACAGATGTATCAATATTTAATGAATACAAGTTTGTATAGGAAAAGCAATTATTACAACTAGATTATTATTAAATTATTAGAATTTAGCATCTTAATTAATCTAGGATTTTGAATACAGTGTGTATTCCAATTAGGCTAGGTATTTGGTTGTGTTATAATTGTGATGTATTACAACACAGTTTGACAGAATTGGTATGTACTATGTCACTGTAGAAAAATATGTGTTACATGCATAGATCTGAGACAAGAATTGGTAGACAATAAAAAAGATAGGTATGGAAAAATTCCACATTTTATGAGCACAGTATGGAATACGGTATGTGTATGGGTCAAGTTGAACTTGTTTATTTTCCTTTGCAATAATAAAAGATAAGTATGGAAGGACACATGTTTATGAGCCAAGTGTGGAATGCCACATAATTATTACCAAGTCCAATTCCTATGAAGTACCTTGCAAACTTCCTCTGGAACAAGCTGCCAAGTGACATTCGAAATATTCAATGCCTAGAAACCTTTCAGAAACATGTTAAAAAGGTTCTATTTACTGAGAGTTACTAATGATAATATGTTGCTAAAATTCTGGAGAGAGATTTGTGTATTTTGTTTTGTATAGCGCCTTGGGTAAATTATTAGTTAAGTGCGCTTTATAAGTATTTATAATTATTATTATCAACTTGCCTCATGTTTCTTCTCAGGCTAATAAGTGCCATATGTGGATGGCTCAAGCACCTGCTGTCGTCTGAGCAGAAGAAGACTGACTTCAGGCCTGAAGCAGAGGCAGGGATGGTGACACCTTTCTCCCCCGTGAGTTTAGCAGATTCTTTTCTAATTCCAAATAACTTAAATTACTATTAGGATGACTCTAATTTGAAAATTCTGAGTAGAGTAAGATGCAGCACTTCTCCTTTTAGGTATACAACCCAAGACACCAAAGGCAATAAGTTTATTTTCCTTCTATTTGTTTGTCTGTCTTCGGTAGTATTCTGTTTTTATATGCTCACACTGACACCTTCAAAATAGACAAATTCTTGGTGTACCGCTGCCCTTTTTAGCCCCATTAGTATTACACATGATTAAAATATACTGTACATTTTGTTTCATTGTCCTACACCCCATTTGTGCTACCTATTTATTGAACAAATGTGAACTTTCAAGAGTAAAGTTATGACTTGTATTTAAATGCTTTGTTTGTTGTGTGATAATGCATGAAATATAAAATATATTCCATGAGAATAAACGTGGTGGTACCTGTTTCTGTCAATCCTCGCCACGACACCAACCTGTGGCACATCATTAATCTACATTTGCCACTCTCCACCCAGGTGAAGTGAGTGGGTACTGGTAGGAAAGGATTCCTTCAGTGCTTTCAGGGCAACTTAAAGTCCATTGGCACATGGTTAATCTACATTTGCCACTCTCAAATCAGGTGAAGTGTGTGGGTAATAATAATAATAACAGGCATTTCTATAGCGCCGTCTATCTAGAAATTCTATTCTGAGGCGCATTTATTATTACCCCGGCTTTAGCCTAGCTGCCATTACAATGCTCTATCATTTCAAGGAATTAATCCCTGCCAGGGACCCATTTCCCTCACCTGGGTCAAGTATGGCAAATGAAGATTAATGCCTTCCTTCAGTGCATCAGTGCCTTCATCAGGCAGCCGGGCTACAGCTCAGGTAGTAATCCAACAAAGCTCTATAGGAAATGCATACCGTAATTAATGGTGTATAAACCGCCCTCGTGTATTAACCGCACCCCTCTCTGTCGGCAGCAAGCCAGGTCCTTGTTAAAAAAAAACCCATGCGGGAAGGCCTTTCATTTAAGTGCGAGGTGCAGCTGAATGTGTAAGATCATTAACGTAAATTAAAAAACAGTAGAGGACCTAGGATAGAACCTAGTGGTATGCCGTGTAATAGAAGAAAAATTGGAGGAATTATTATTATAAACTACATATTGAGATCTATCAGAAAGATTACTTTCAAACCAAGATGACTGAAAAATTTGAGTGTTCTAGTTTCCGAGTGGTAAGTCAACACACCGATTACTTTTTTTTTGTTGGTGTACCGTGTATAAACTGCACCCTCGACTTTGAATTCTTTTTGGCGGCAAAAAGGTGCGGTTAATACACCGTTAATTACGGAAGATACATTAATGGATATGCATGGATATATTAATGGATATGCATCATACAAGAACAACTGAATATTATTGTAATCTTTTATAAATGTAATGCTTCCTGGGAGAAATTTCAAGATTTTTCAAGATTTTCTCTGACTTGTTTTTCAATACAGTTCGATCAATCGATCTTATTTACTGGGTGTAAGTCACAAGAATGTTTAAATAATTATTGCAATGGTTATTATTATTCTTCTTCTTTCAGGCTTGTGCTAAGGTGATATCCTACATGGAGAAGCAAGTGGATACGATCAAGAGATGCATGGACGGCAAGAACATCAATTCAGCACTAGCTGAGCTTGGGATACGGTTCCATCGGGTGGTGTATGATCATCTTCAGCAGTTCACCTACAACTCAATGGGTACGCTGTCTGTTTGAATCAGTTTTGTTTGATAGTCATTTCGAGAAACGAGACAAGGATGTTCAGTATTGCATCCAGTAGCAAATATCTTTGTGCTTTGCTGTGTTCGTAATATTTTTATAGAATTTTCAACTAATTTCATTGAATGCATCAACCTTTTCTGGAAACTTATCATGCACATGTACATCATAAAAGGATTCCAAAATAGATTCCATTGTATTTTGGGGGGATTTTTGGATACTATTAAGAGGGTAGATTTTTAAAAAAGGATTAAAATGCTTCCGATATTAGCTCTGAAATGCATGCTTTTTCAAGGAATCACATGGTTACTGTTGATTTTTATGATCTGTGTGAGACCAATAAATCTGTTGCATTATGGCTGATTTGCTAAAGGATTATCTCATGGATGATAATGTTCCCAAAATTTAAATTCTTAGATGGGATTTTAATCATGTTGATAACCTAATTTAAATTTGTAATTTGTTAAAGAAAATAGTATATTAATAATTAATTTAATGAATAATAGGATTTATATAGCCTGATGGATGACTTCAATAAATGTTGTCTTATAACTTTCAAAACTAATTGAATTAAACTAATAATTGATTTGGTCTTACACCAACTATATCCCGCAAAGATAATCATATTTAACAAAATCTATGACTTATAATACTACCTATTATCTCTGATCATCAAATATTGATCGAAATAAATCTTTCTTCTTTATGCAGGTGCTATGTTAGTGATCTGTGATGTCAATGAATACAGAAGGCTAGTCAAGAGCTTCAAGGTAATTGGTACTAATAGGTGGAAAGACAAATTACTTTTCCTCAGTATATTACAGTAAATCATTAACAGTTTTATACAAATGAGAAAAAAGGAGTGTTGTTCCTGTAAGACAATTTTTTTCTTCATTTCATAATGGTAGGGACACTTTCCAGAAATGTTTTAAAACAGCTTGAAGATAAGCTTGAGTTCTTGTAATGATAGAAAATAAATTCTCACAGAATCCAACAAAACTTACACTGAATGTTCAAGATTACAAATAAGTGACATGTGCCAAACGATTTTGGTAGAATTTTGTTTTTATTTTACTGGTTTAAACAATCAATCTAATGCAGGATAAACAATCCAGAATGATTTATAGCCATGTTCTCTTGACATACGATTCCCATACCAGAGCTTAAGATTAGCTTTAAAATGGCATAGGTGTAGAAGGTTCTTAAAAAAAGAAAAAGTTGTAGAAAGAATGGAATAGTGTATTTGTAATAATGTGAGAGCAGTCATAAGTGAAATTTTGAATAGATGAATAATTCTGCAGCCTGTAAAGTTAGTGAAATCTGTGGTGTGATACTATACAAAAGCGTAACACTCTCCTTGTATTATTACTATTATTGCTATCATAAGTTTTCTTATTGATATTACTGTTATTATTACTACATACTATTAATGCTGTTAATACTTACATTATCATCATAGGTACCAGTGGTGAACACCCTATTTGAGATGCTCCATTCCCTGTGTAACCTGTTGGTCGTAGCCCCAGAGAACCTGAGACAAGTCATTACAGGAGAACAACTGGTAAGTCTGGTACTAAAGAAAGGAAATACTACTCATGTTTGAGCCATTTTGAAAATGATTTCATGAAGAGAAGCTCATCTATCATGACTGTTCCTTCACAACATTGTCGCACCTTGATCAAAAGTCTCTGATTATGTATTATAAAGTTATATCACCTGTATTGTCATTATTTGATGTATTAAATTTAGTTATTGATTCACTATTACTGTGAAATTTGCAATGATCTTTCAGAAATTGTATGAGTCAATAAATATCAGAAAATTCAGAGGTGTTTTCTTAGTTAGGGAATCATCATCAGTGATTTGTAGGGCTGTATAAAAGTGTTTTTTGAGATCTTAAATAATTTAAGAAGATTTTAAAAAGAAACTTCCTATTTTTTCTGTTGGAAGAAGCATGTATAAAAGTGTTTTTTGAGATCTTAAATAATTTAAGAAGATTTTAAAAAGAAACTTCCTATTTTTTCTGTTGGAAGAAGCATGTATAAAAGTGTTTTTTGAGATCTTAAATAATTTAAGAAGATTTTAAAAAGAAACTTCCTATTTTTTCTGTTGGAAGAAGCATGTATAAAAGTGTTTTTTGAGATCTTAAATAATTTAAGAAGATTTTAAAAAGAAACTTCCTATTTTTTCTGTTGGAAGAAGCATGTATAAAAGTGTTTTTTGAGATCTTAAATAATTTAAGAAGATTTTAAAAAGAAACTTCCTATTTTTTCTGTTGGAAGAAGCATGTATAAAAGTGTTTTTTGAGATCTTAAATAATTTAAGAAGATTTTAAAAAGAAACTTCCTATTTTTTCTGTTGGAAGAAGCATGTATAAAAGTGTTTTTTGAGATCTTAAATAATTTAAGAAGATTTTAAAAAGAAACTTCCTATTTTTTCTGTTGGAAGAAGCATGTATAAAAGTGTTTTTTGAGATCTTAAATAATTTAAGAAGATTTTAAAAAGAAACTTCCTATTTTTTCTGTTGGAAGAAGCATGTATAAAAGTGTTTTTTGAGATCTTAAATAATTTAAGAAGATTTTAAAAAGAAACTTCCTATTTTTTCTGTTGGAAGAAGCATGTATAAAAGTGTTTTTTGAGATCTTAAATAATTTAAGAAGATTTTAAAAAGAAACTTCCTATTTTTTCTGTTGGAAGAAGCATGTATAAAAGTGTTTTTTGAGATCTTAAATAATTTAAGAAGATTTTAAAAAGAAACTTCCTATTTTTTCTGTTGGAAGAAGCATGTATAAAAGTGTTTTTTGAGATCTTAAATAATTTAAGAAGATTTTAAAAAGAAACTTCCTATTTTTTCTGTTGGAAGAAGCATGTATAAAAGTGTTTTTTGAGATCTTAAATAATTTAAGAAGATTTTAAAAAGAAACTTCCTATTTTTTCTGTTGGAAGAAGCATGTATAAAAGTGTTTTTTGAGATCTTAAATAATTTAAGAAGATTTTAAAAAGAAACTTCCTATTTTTTCTGTTGGAAGAAGCATGTATAAAAGTGTTTTTTGAGATCTTAAATAATTTAAGAAGATTTTAAAAAGAAACTTCCTATTTTTTCTGTTGGAAGAAGCATGTATAAAAGTGTTTTCTGAGATCTACAATAATTGAAGAAGATTTTTTAAAAGAAATTTCCTATTTTTTTCTGTTAGGAGAAGCATGTATAAAAGTGTTTTCTGAGATCTAAAATAATTGAAGAAGATTTTTAAAAGAAATTTCCTATTTTTTTCTGTTGGAAGAAGCATTTTAAAAGATATACCATTATAAGTTGATGTAAGCTCAGATGTGATAGTCCAAACTCCAGTCACACAATCACGACAAATACCAGACCAATAATGCAGTCCAAAAATTACATTTCCAGGAAGATGCCAGAATTTGTTTCAGTCAATGGTCTGTTTGGACCCGATACAGTCTGGTGGTATGAAACTGACTCATGGAACTATGCTGTTCAATGATTTGCAATATGTTTGACATGTAAACTGAGTATTTATTTCTCATCCATGTTACTACGCTCTTGTATTCCATCTTTCTTTCAGACTGGGTTAGACAGAACGGTGGTCATGTCGTTTGTGCAGCTGAGGTCGGACTTCAAGACAGCAAAAATTGCCCAGCTTCTCAGATAGCAACATCCTTTAACATCATAGTGGCCCAAGGCATCGTATATCAGTGGCGTAGTTTAGTCCTGGCTTCTTCTTGTTATCTTCAAAAGGCTCTGCAGCCTGTCCTGAATATCTTGACACCAAGACTTGAAGGAAAACGTTTGGTCACATTCACATAGCTTTAGGTCTTGAGGTCGAGACCTAGACATCACCAACCAGAGGCCAAGACTGATCTTTATTTCCCCACTGCTCAGACTGCCTCGTAGATGACGACATATCTACATCCTTGAGGACCTAGGCATCATTATAAACTATAGGAGGCTTGGTCAACAAGTAGCCAAAATCAGAATTCAACTTTGCATAGCCCTTGTGATGGAAGCATCTCTCTAGCATATACTCATTAGGAATTACATTCAGCAATTTTAGCTTGCAGCCAATTGGGGTTAGACTTCAAGATGTCCCATGGTATACTCAAATCAATGTCATGAAATCTAGGAGATGTCAGGCATTGCCGTATGCTTCTGAAAAATGAGCTTTGACGCAGATTGGATTGGACTTTAGGACAGCCAAGACAGAACAGCTCAAGAGATATAGAAACATTTTTCCAGCAAAGGAACATTATTTATCATCGTATGCCTCATTAATCTGAGTTATCTGACTCTCCTGGCAGCAGGGATGAGACTGTTGGACAGCTCACTTCCCTGAAGCAACATACATCACCATACCCTTCAACGGTCTAGTTGAGAAAAGCCCATGAACTAGCTTTCACACGTATCAGGGTCCTGTTTCATGAAAATGTTCATCAGTAGCAACTGCTCTCAGCCCATCAAATGCAATGATTTCAGGACCTTACATGTACATCAATTATTGTAATCTGTTATTGATACCAAGTTTTATGAATCAGGGGACAGAATGGATTTCAAAATTACACAGTTCTTGAGCACCTGTTCTAGAGGGTACTATTCCTAGAGCCATCAGACATCTCACCAATATCCCAAATTAAATTGTTATGTGAAATACTTGAGACATGGTGCATTATACACCACCAAAATGTTACATGATTTATTTTGGGCATAGGCAAACCAATATCGACAAAATAAAATTAACAAAGAAGAATAAATGTTAGTTTATGTTCATCAAAGCTTTAGATTCTTGGTTGTTTCATACAAGTTGAAACATGTTAAATAATGGATTACTCCTTATACAGTAAAGTTCTGTACCTATCGTGCAACATAGATATTTGTAGTTGTCATGGACATGGATTTATGCTGCCATCTGCAATTATATTGTGCATTCCAATTTGATAAAGATGATATCATTTAGGAAACGTATTGTTGGGGTTCGTAATTTATTATTTTACATGTAGCAGAACTGATCAAGCATTACATTGTATCTGACAAAAATTATACAGGATAAAAATGATGATGTGAAAATGTATTGAGTGATATTTACTTTGCAATGAGGCTAGAAAAAAGTCTACCAGTACAAGATTTGTTTGTTGCTTTCTTCAGTCTATTTTCCTTTGATTTACTGTATTGAAGGCAAAGACGATAAAAATATTTAAAAACTAATTTATAAACAATGTAACATACATTGAAGTTCAGATGAATGGCTTGAAATTTTAGCTCGCTTCTTTTTATTTACAAGCTTTGTGTCAGAATCTATGCAGAATAGAAAATAGCTGAGATATGGATAAAAACATCTGGTTACATATTTTCCATTATTCAAGTCTGCTTTATGTATTTCTTTTCACAAAATATTTCCATGTCAGTATGGATTACATTTTGTATTATCATTTGTGACAATATTGTCTTGATCATAAGAAAATTTGTCTCTTTCATTGAAAGCCTGGAGAATAGTCATTCCTTAAAAGGCAGTGGTTCTTATTTCTGCAGCAAAATCGTGGGGAGTGTTTAGGACAAATTATCTCTCCCCCCCCCCCCTTTTTTTTTCTTTCTTTAACCCATCCTGACTTATTTTCTTTAAAAAAAGTCACTTGAGGAAAGATGAAAATACAGCTGTAAGATTTCTATTAATGGACAGACCTCTGTTAAGTTTGGATTGTCCCATACATATACCAGTTATAATATTAGTTTACTTGGTCATTATACTACTAAGTACTTAGTTCCTTGCCAGCCACTTTATCATTAGATTTCTAATCAGATGATTATTATTTATATTTCTATACCAGATGAAAACATGAGTCTTTATTCCAAGTCTGCATGAATGTATCATGTACTTAAGTGTATTGTTGTGTACAAAAAAAAAAGAGAAAAGTGCAATATTAAAGTTGAGAGAATTTAAGAATGTTTCACGTTAATCTTTTGTTCTTTGTCCCCTAGAACCTTTATTAGCCTGAGCAAGATTAGACGACCTATATTATTTAATGATATTTCAATCAACTGGGTGGAAGGAATGGCTTTTTAAATGATTCGTTTTTGTAAGGGAGGTTTAGATACCTTCATTTTTCTTTAAATATGAAGCACATACTTTGAAAAGAACTGTGCTGCCAAAGCCTTGTAAAATGGATGGAAGTATTTGAACAAGAGAAAAATGAAAATCATATGATGAAGCTTTATTTTTCCGGATAAGAAGGTTGGGAAATTCAGAGCAAGAAAAAAACGTTATGGTAATCTTCCATTTCAAAGAATGTGAGAGGCGTGAGAGAGATTTGGGATGTATGTGAGGTTTAGTAAAAGATAGTGAACCCTGTCCTCAAATTTAAGATGGCCAACATCCTCCAACAAGTAGGGGATGTTGACTGGGGTGCTATGGGAAGACAGGCAGGTACGGCGAGTCGGGTTCCAAGAGGAGCCGGGTGGAGGGCGAGGGATCTCCTATACCATGGCAACCTTCGCCAGATTTAAGGAAAGGGCGAGGCCCGTCCTGATACTCTGAAGTGTACATGTTCAGGATATATAGCTTAAATATCACATTTGTTTTACAGTTACTCAAAAATACTACCTTCCAGACCACGATTATGCATATTCATCAGGATGTAATTAGAATATCCTTTATTCTAACCATTTCTCTTGCTCATGATTGGGTATGGCAAGTAGTACATGCAAATACCTACTAATGAATATGCTCGACGTAGAGGTAGACGTGGTACAAGAAGTGTAAACTTTTAGTAACTGTAAAACTTATATGATATTTAAACTATAAATAGCCTGAAGTTTCATTTGTCGTTAAGGCTTGAAATGCAATAATAGCCAAGTAAGGTGATGCACAGTGATCCCTCTGTCATCGCCATTGCACTTTCTCAGGCGGACCCTTGCTCGGGACTGGGTTATGTCTTTCGGATGGTGACGCTGTAACCAGACGTGTGGAAAGTCCGCCACGCACCAGGGTGGGTTGTTACTGGGTGGTTCTTGTCATAATATCTTGTCTATGATATCAGGAGGGTGTTATGTTATGATAATACTTGATAACAACTATTATATATATATATATATCTCTCTCTGTTTATTCAAACAATCTACTTTCATAATCTATATTCAAAATTTCTCAGAGATTAAGAATGAACTTTGTAATAAAAATCTAGGAAAGTTTGGGTCTCTTCCAAATCTCAGCCGTTGCCAATCCCTCCCACCCCATGATGAATTTTACTAGGGTATAGGCTTTAGATATCATTTTTGTTGCACAGTTAGTACAACCTCTCATGTGTCAAGCATGCATAATTTAAGTATTTGCATGTACCTCCTACCATGCCCAATCATGAGGAAGAAAGTGATATTCAGTATATAGCAATAACCAATCATAAAAGATATTCAAATAAAATCTGATGAATATGCATGATTTATATACACATGAGAGGTTTTACTAACTGTGCAACAAAAATGATATCTAAGGCCTATACCCTAGTAAAATTCATCACTGGGTGGGAGGGATGGCAACGGCTGAGTTTTGGAAGAGAAACTTCTAAGAGAGACTTATTCTAAACTTTCCAAGATTATGAATTACAAAGTTCATTCTTAATATCTCTGAGAAATTAGGAATATGAAAGTAGTATATGTTTGAAAGTAGTGTAGACACAAAGAGAGATATATAGTTGTTATAAAGGTATCATAACATAACACCCTCCTTGTATCATAGTCTTAAAACAAGCATCTATATTACAAGATAATAACCCCCCCGAGTGTGGGTGTGGTGTGTGTGTGCGGACTTACCACACATGACCTTCCCCAAAACATGACCCAGTCTCGAGCAGGGGTCCGCCTGAGAAAGTTTATAGGCGAAGACAGAGGGATCACTGAACAACGACTTTCTTGGCTTATTTTGCATCTTGAGCTTATATTCACGAAAGAATTTCATGCTATTCATCGTTTAGATATCATTTAAGTTTCACAGTTACTAAAAGTTTTCACTTTTTGTACTACGTCTACGCCGAGCATATTCATCAGTATGTATTTGCATGTATTACCTGCCATACCCAATCAGTAGCAAGAGAAATGACAAGACTAAAGGATATTCTAATGAATCCTGAATGCATCCTGATGAATATGCATATGCGTGGTCTGGAAGGTAGTATTTTTGAGTAACTGTAAAACAAATGTGTTTTTTAAGCTATATATTTTGAACATACACATCCGTGATAGGGTCTAGTCCTTCCCTTCAAGCCGGCGCAGGTGGCCAAGGTTAACAAGGTCCCTTCCTTCCTGCTTCTGCCTTGTGGCCGGCTTGAACTCGTGAACTCACCACCGCCCAGAGACACTATACTCTGGGTTTGGCAGGTAGCACAGTTACATGGGAACGGCCGCTTGGACAAGAGACAGAAGAGAATGGAAATGTTACGAGGAGGGCTTTTTCCAACGTCTGGATGAACTATAGCCTGATTGATTGATTGATTGACAGTTAGAACCCATCTCTTCAGTGCCTCACTCTTTCCTACCAGTTATTTGCTTTCCCTAATTAAATGGAATGGGTGGTTGATATGGCTTCCACGTTCGAGTGAAGTTCAGCTGCATCTCTTTTCAGATTCGATGATGGTGCTTATCAATCTTTAGTGAAGATCACTTATGTGCCACTCATTATGTGGGATGTCTGATAACTAACACCTAAAACTTCAGGGTTGTATAGTTTGGATACCAAATTTGTGTCACAGTTACTAAAAATATTTCCCACATTCGCAAAACTCTCGCATATTTATTAGCATCACTTGCATGAAGTGATAATTATGCATGATCCCTGGTACGTCCAAATGTAAAGGCTTTAAAGGTATTTAAATGCTTGTTGTTGAATATGCAAGTCGTCTTGGCAGAATAGTTGGGAATTTTCAGTAACTTTGAAACAAATGTGCTATCTCAACTCTCAAGGGTTATAGACTAAAATGTTGAACTGGGAGAGAGAGACGTTTTTTTTAAAGCAATCCAAGAAATACTGGGAAAGGTGACCTTTATAAACTATGATAGGATGTTCGGAAGGATAAGGGGTGGTACTGAGCAACAAAGAAAGTACTCATCAAAGTAAATTTTCAACCCATGCATGATTTATGTAAACCTGATATAATGCCCTGCTAGTACTGGAAACATGATTATGCAAATAAATGCTTATGAAGATGTATACTTCTATGCGAGTGATGCTAATAAATTCACATGAACATTGTGAAGATTGTGTATTGACTATTGATAAAGGTGGTGGTTTTCTTTCATTAAATGTATGCTAATGGAAATATAGCCTATCACTGGATGCAAATACATCTTGATGAAGAGAGATCATGAATTTCTTTCAGTTTCTCACTGGATGGGAGGGGATTATAGTACATACTTATTAAATAGGGCTTCCCATAAGACACAGGATAAATTTACTTAATCATTAACAGAAAGAGAATGCAAAATACCTGCTGATAAAGACATGTTTTAAATCTGACACATGTTTGTATGTATGTACCATACAAAATATTTTGCAAATTCCAGTCGATCAATTTCCGCCCAGTGGTTAATGTTATATAAAAAAAAACTAATATATTATTTGTGGTCATATTTTTATTGAAAAGAAGTTTGGGAGGCTCTATGTGGACTCATAAAGGGAACAAAAGATTCAATGAAGGTGTAAACAGGTTTCTAAATCACTGTCAAAACATTTTAATTGTTTATATCATATCATGTAGTATAAAGTCATTCACAAAATACAATATTGATGTATGGGGTAATTCATATCACTGATTGGCAGTAAGACTTTACAGAGGTGGTAACACAATGATATGCTGGTGCTATTATTATTATTATTATGAAGTTTATGGTTGATCATAAGAGTGAATTTGCAGAATGATGAACAAGTAATAATAGATGTACATATACAAACTAGATTGCAATTGCTAATGTTTCCTGAAGTGCACTCTCAAATTCAAATGAATAAATGGCTAAAATATCTAATCTTTTGACCATTTAAAATATTCAGTCCTCTAACAAAAGTGTGGTACATCATAAACACATTGCCCCATATTCTACCAACAATTAACCTGGCTGTTTGGTTTAAAGGCACACTGTCCTACTTGTAGCTACTTGCTCCCTCTATATAGAAAACTTCCCAAATCGGTGCCTGTTGGTCCCCCATGATCCTCTTTTTCTTATGTTAAATGAGAGCTGAGTTAATGGGATAGCCACCTGTCACAGTGACCTCGCTGGCTCACTGGGTGGTCTAATCCCTTCTGACTGAAGTAGTAAAGCCTCCCTTTAAGCTCGATCTTAATTCCTTTAACACAGGAAGGTAGACCAATGACAACCATTTCTTTTGATCAAGATGACGTTTAGTTGTTAGTACCAGTTTTAGGATTAATTGAATTAGTAGAATGCCGACCATTGTGTCTTTGCTTAATTAGGAACCAATGTTTGTATACCTCCCCCCTTGAATAACCAAGAATAATAACTTTTTTTTAGATATCTATATGGCAACTTGCAAATACTAGGAGCCACGTTTAACATCATAATAAAACAAAAGTAAAGGGTTGATAAAGGTCATGAAATCACATTGAAAAACGAAAAGTATTTATATCACAGGTACTTTAGAAAAGCAATTAAATCACAAATCATGTCATTTTCATGAATTAATTTGTGCGCTTATATACATGTATAAGTTATACCGGTAATGATAAATTTGCATAGGCCTTAAAAACATGTACTTCCATCAAAGAATACAAGGCATAACATGCAAATCTGTACTGTTTAAAACTTTCTTTTGTTTAGTAAACTGGAACATAAATTTAATTCAGTTATATGTTACATTGCTAAATATTTCTGTCAAATTTATGTTAAGGTTTAACAGATTGATAGTTGATACCAATGGTTACTCAGTCTTAATAGATTTACAACTTGCTACTGCCAGATTACATTATCATAGGAATAAATGTGATGAAACAATACAGTGATCAAGTTCAGTTGAATTTTGATAAAGATGACAATTAAACTTAACAATTTCTCATTCTTTTTTAAAAGTCAGTTTAGAAGAATATCATAGCATAAATGTCCCCTCAAAGGTATTGCCCATTGAGAATGCCCTTATACTTGAAATATGGTGAGAAATAACTGAAAAGTTTAAATTAAAATTTCATACTACATTCTTGTGTTATGTAAACATTTATGTGCAGTACATTTCTTATCATATTGATGTTTCAAAAACCTCACAGTATGCAGTGTATGCACCAATTCTGATTTACCATAATACTCAACCATTCTCAAATACTTCCAGACAATTTCTTTCACATTGCAATCACAGGACAAGAACTCAACTTTATCTTTAATTCACCTATGCACAATATAGCAATTTACTTGGAAAAACAGTAAATACAATATAGTTTCTATGATTTTTGATAGCCATCAAATTTTTTCCAAAATTGCCTATAGGAACACATTCTCAATAAAGAACCAAAGTATGAAACAGAAGTAATACATCATGCAGGTGGTCTACTAGGGGTTTAAACATGTAACAGCTTTGAATTTTGATTGTACATGTGTGAAAATCAGATACAGGTGTGAAAATATGAAACAGGATATCCTTTCTGAAATGAATTTATTTATGAAAAATTTTGTCATAAAATTTTGTTTGAAAATGCTTCATAACATGTATTAGAGTGCATCTAAGAACTTTAAAAGCCTATAAGTAAGTCCTAGAGCCCAGCCATAAGGCCAAATAAAAAAAAAAAACATGTTTAGCGTCCTGTTTTTTTGAAAAATAGGAAGGAGGCCCTTTTTTTTTTTCCTTTCAAAATGGCCTCTCATAATGGCTGACAGTCAGGCTATTTTTAAAGATGGTCGCCGACATTTGTTTTCTTTTTTTTCTTCAAATCAGAAATAGATCTATTTTAGCAATGTTTTTCTTCTTTTTTTTCTTAAAAAAATACAAATTAGGAGGCAGCCCCCAAAAAGGAAGCGGGCGGGGACGCTAAACATGTATATTTTTTCTAATAGCCTAAGGGACTTTGTGCTTTGTGTACATCAGCTCACACTCCTTCCACGTGCAAATTTTACACTTTTGAATTTTTGCTTGTGGATCACCCCGAGACATGTGAGCTGTTGTCCATGCAAGCCTTGCACTTCTCTAATAAGAAAGCACTTGAAGGCACACTCATTATTTCTTTAGGTGGTTTGAGGAATACCAGAAAGTGAAACTTGAGTGATTTTGGTACTTTAAAGAGGTAACAACAAATGCTATATATGATCACATGAAATAAAATGCTGACACTACTTCAACAGTATCCACAGCACATCATATCGAGGGTTCAGTGAGACAAAGACGTAACTCCATATGTTGTCAAAATGAGTATTTGATATCAAAATGTTCAGAAAAATGTGGGCTTTCCAGGAAACACAAAGACTTAACTCCACCCAACACCCCATTGAAGTCAATGGCTAGTGAAACATAGACTTAACTCCATAAGGCCGAAGTGCTCAGTGACGCATAAACCAAATTTTCTCAAAATGGCCACACTGGAGTTACGTCGTTGTGTCACTTACCCCTCAATATTCACTTCATCCAAGAGGATTCTCCATTTTCCAAAATTGTCCTAAATTCAAATCTCCAATCAGTATGGAGTATCATTTTGAAGGCTCCTCTTCTTTGGGTGCATCCAGTAACGCTGATCGGATTCCAATCTTTTTGAGTTCATCAATCAAGTCCCCCGTCTGGTGCATCTGTATCACGATATCACACCCCCCTACAAACTCTCCTTCCATGTAAATCTGTGGGATCGTGGGCCACTCGGAGTATTCCTTGATACCTGGACAGGTCAACAAGCAGATGAAAAACATTACAATATTTTAAAGATACAAATCAAATCATACATGTATTGAATTTATATCATAGTGATTTTTGTATGAAGTGATTTTTGTATGGAGTGATTTTTAATGGAGTGATTTTTAATGGAGTGATTATTAATGGAGTGATTTTTGTATGAAGTGATTTTTGTATGGAGTGATTTTTGTATGGAGTGATTTTTAATGGAGTGATTTTTTTTATGGCGTAATTAGACCATCTGCCACTGTGCCACGACTGCCAGTGAGTTCCTCCTTCCTCCATATGGCAAAATCATGTCATGTCTATCATGATGCAGTTACTGCCAGGCTGCCAGCAGACTTGAAGGATCCACAATCAGGATGGACACTTTCCAAACTTATTGGTTCTCCCAAAGTAAAATGAGTACTATCCAATCTCTGGTCAGCCATGCTTGGAGTACTTCTGAATGGATGATGTCCTAGCTATAGGACTCTGGTTCTTATTTCTTTACATTAGTGCGGGATCTGGACATGCCCTTAGTTTCAAAATCTACTACAAAGTCGCAATTAACACAATATAAATAACTTATGGCCCACATCATTGACCCAGAGAAATGATTTTACACAATTTTACCTGAAAAAAACACCTGAAATTATTTTGAAAAGTTAGTACTTTTTACTGGAAAGCTCATTTCTGGAGTTGTTATTTTATTAGGAATACATCTTGCTTTAGACTCTTATTTGCAAATTAATGGAGTAAAATAAAAAATTGCCTTCATTATTTGTTTCAATGTTCTTTTGGCGTTAATTAATGATACTATTTTACGTGTTAAATGGTAATTTTCCATTAATTTGGCTTCATTTTAATTCAAAATAAAGATAACTAAATGAAAACAAAACAAAAACATAATTAAATACAGAATGTAATGAAAGGAAGAAGAAACAAAGGGGGAACGTTCTATGACAAGACAAGTACCGTTCTATGAAAAAAAAATTAAAAGTTAATAACTTGAGAAAGAAAACCCAGTCTAAGCCTCATCAATCATGGTTCATGCAGCTTCAAAGACAAATGTTGTGAATTCATATTAAAAAAAGAAACAAATTTCATATCACAGGTCCACAACTTACCTTCTCGAAGATCTTTATCTTCTAAGACGTTATGACTTTCATAGTTATCTACTCCGTGCATCCTCATGATCTGCACAACAGCATTGCTGAATCCACATTGCGGCTCCTCAGGGACACCCTTCATGAACACGACCACCTTCTTCCCCTGAATCAGCCCGTCGATCCGCTCCTTCAGCTCCGTTGAGAGCAATCGCAGCTGGCAGTGCGGAAGACCAGTCGCCTGGAAACTGCGAAAAAGCCTGGTGGACGGCCGAATAATTTGAGTAAATAGTGACATGATCTTTACCTATGATTTACGATGGTGGATGAGTTACAGATATGCGGATAAATCCCAAAGAACGGAATGTATTCGTTACGAATTTGAGAATAAGTCGTGACTATTCGCAATCATTACGCAATATGCATGTGATAAATAGTCTTTAATAAAAATAAATGTGCGATACATTTCACACATTTTCAGTTAATATCGTCTAATCGTAATGTATTAAAACAAAAAGAATTTAAAAAATATTTTGAATAATCTTTAAAAGACATGTATGATATATTTTTACATATACATACATGATTTATGGTACAAAAAATGATTATTAAGAAAGTCAATATTTAGCTACGACTTTAAAAAGGCTGCTACAATCAACTCACAAATTATTTTGTGTATTGCATCAGTGGTCAGCTCAGAAAAGGCTGTTAATTTCTAGTCAAAATGGTTTTCCCGATTATAAAACTTGGAACCCTTGCAATAAAGCAGGTCAGCAAGCCTTTGTCAAAGGCGATTCGAAATATGGCAAAAGACAGTCCATTTATGAGGAAATACGTTTGCATGCCTCCAGCTCAGTGTAAGTACCAACATCAATTTAGGCATGTGGGGCAGTAATATAAGCAAAGTAAGATATGTACATGATGTAGATCTATGATTCTGCTACTCTCACAATCAACAAGTTAAAAATTATTCCTTCATTCTTTATATTGAAATGACATGTTGATATTTTTGTAAAAGATTATGGTTATTGTCGCCTTGATTTATGATTTATGACAAATTAAAGGTGCAAAGTCTGCCAGTTTATAATTCCATTTCAACCGTTTTCTTTAGCGAGTTTTATCAACAATAAAGTGCTGTATTTTCATTCTTTTCCTCTGTCAACAGTTTACCATTGGCTGGACGTGAACCTGAGAATGAGAATTCTTGGTCTAGGAAAAGCCACTGAAGTCAAGCCTCTGAGTAGCGAAGCAGCAGTAGAACTTGGAGCAGAGATCATCAGTGAAAGTTTTCTCTTTTCCGTTGCGACGGCAACAATCGCATTTGAATATTGGAGATCTTCAAAGAAAGAAGACCAGCACGAATCTCAACAGAGTTCGGACATTAAGAAGATGCAGTCTCAGGTTCAGGAGCTTGGGCTCCTCATTGAAGAACAAGATGCAAAGTTACGAGAATTCAATCGATTACTAGTCGAATATGCACCATCGTCGAAGAGAAAGTGAAGATAATTAATCATTTTATAATTGTATAGAAATAATTTATCAAGATCAAAGTCAATAATTGATTTATAAGTCTAACTTTTTGCACTATTGCAAATATGATCTGCAGATTAAGGTCTCACAACTACATGTATGTAGGAAGTGATAAACTATAAAGTATATATTTTGAAAGCAGAGTGTGATAATTATGTAATGTTTATGTTACTCATATGCAATGGTTATTTATCACAGAAATGCAATATGTTGACTTATTGTGATTGATGCACCTGCCTTATGGATTCTTTATTTCTTTTACTTTTTAAATTTTCTCTTCAAATAATTCTTTGAAGAAATGTTTGTATATAAATCTGCTTTCACACAAGAACCAAATGAGAATAACATTTATCTCACAAGTACTTGGTAGATACAGGTATTACAAAATGTCCTAGTACTAAATTTAGAAAAGTGTAAATTTTACAGATCAGTCCTGAAATAGTTATGTTTGTCACAGAATTGTGTCACATATGAAATAAGGATTTTGTTCATCATGCATGTACCATACCTGCTCCCCACCATTGACAACTCTAAAATGTTTCTAGCTTTGTTAATATACTAGCAATATCTCTTGTTTCAGTAAAATAATAAATGAGGATAAAGTATATATACGTCCTAGGTAAAAGAGAAAAATCATCCAGTGATGTCTAAAAGAGATTTGCCTCTTTGTATTTCTATTTGGTTCTTCATAGTGTTTCAGAATGGCATCTGGGATAAAATATCATTGTCGTTCGTTACATCTGTACCTAAAGCAATATTTTGTTTGTTTTAGTTGTTGTCTATCTGGTTGTCCCAAACACTTCAGATGGATTTTTCAACGTGACCCCCACCCCCCCCCCCCCCAAAAAAAAAGAAGAAGATAGAAGTTACCATGCTCAACAAAGTTCGAGAATGGAAGGGAGAATCTTTAACAAGGAAAAGGAGACTGAAGGCAATCTATGTCTATTAAAAGACTTTGGGAGTTTTCACTTCCAAGTTCTTGATCCATGGTTTCCCAGCACAAAACACCATGTTTTTGTCATAGCGCCAGTGTGAACATGTTCCAAATAGGGTACAAATATGAAGAAGTACAATGTCTATGGAGATGATCAAGGCTGCAACGTGGGTGTCGCCGCAGAAACCCAAGGAGTGAACCCTGAGCACACAGAAGAGCACGGAATCTGCTGGTAATTCTCATGGTCCTTTTACAGAGGTACACTGTTTTTACTAGGTTATAAATGTACTCTGTGTTTATTACATAGGCATATCGGGAAATAACACAGCATATCAAGGAAGATCCTGAAGAGACCATCCGTGTTGATCCGTGGTGTTATCCTTGGAATGAGTGAAAGCTGCTTATAGTCATGCAGCAAGAAAAACATATACATGTATGTCTTTGATACTTTGCAACTTGTAAGAAATACATCAGACTGTCAGAATTACATAAGCTGAGGGTTCTTCCTCCAATTTTATTAACAAAAATTGCTGTACACTATTCACAAGTTCACATCAAGCTTATGAAATTGTTTTGTATAAAATGTCCATTTACAAATATATACATTTGATATGTACAAATAAAATATTTCATGTAACATGGCAACTTTCATTTCATGGCTGGTAATTACGTGTAATCAGAGTTCATTTTTGAAAAAACACGTAAGGATTCTCTTACAATATTTCATCACAATACAAGGTCTTGTTCTAAATGCAATGTTACTGGGTATATTGATAATCTATTTTGTTATTCTGTACTTTGAAGTTTCTTCTCCGACACACACAGACACAAAAAAAGAATGCTGTTTCATTAATCATAGATTGAATTGCCAACATAAGTATGCCTTACAGTACGCTGCTACGCTACATAAGGTAACGGTCTAGAAAGTGGAATACAAAATTTCAAGTTTGGCACTTCCTCATTTAAAGGGATCCTTATTTGGGCAAAGCTGGAGTAGATAACATTTATCCATATAGCCCGGCTGGTTTATTTGCTTTTTACAACTCATTCAAAATTATGGAAGTATAAATTTTGTGAAATCCTATAAAATTGAGTAAAAGAAATATCTTGAAAATCCTTGACCATGAGCTTCTACAAAATTATGAAATACGACTGACTAGCTTTCAAGACCTTTTTTTAAAGTAATGGGAGAGACAGAGAGATTGAGAGAGATAGAGAGGAAGAGAGAAAACAAATTCTTGAGTCTTCATTAGGGTGAAAGAAAGATAAATTCCTATGATCGAGTATTAACGGAGCTCTAGATGTATCATTGAACCTAGCAGTTGGAAAAAAGTACCATTATTTCCTGGGTGATGACATTTGTCAATTAAAACTTAAAAGCATGATAAAACATGAATATTGATGGAAGGCTTGAAATAACTGGAGGTGCCAGCTCTGGTATTAGACAAGAAATCCAACAACTCGTACACAAAAGCCTAAACTGACCTTCCGACGTCTCTTTATTAATAGAACAAGAAAGAACCTCGAGTCAGAAATGATTTTCATATATACTTTTCATGCATTGGTTCTATAACTGTGATAAAAGCCCTTGAAAATTAACTGCAAATACTAAAACAAGTTTGTTAATTTGATTTGATTATAACTTGATTTTTGCAAATTGCGAATTGCAAAATTAAATGCAGGTAGTATTTATTTTTCTTCTCTGGAGTGGGCAATAAGCAGATCAGAGGTGGTAGATAGTTCATTCACTAACCAGGTGGCAATCAATTAAAGTTCCTTTCTGTTTATTTCGTTTGTTGAATACCTGTCGAATCTGTACACAGTACGTGGATCCCAGGCAAATGGCCTTTAGAAAGTTGCCTCCAGCCACAAAATAGAAGATCACCGCATATTTCTTCAGGTCTGTGACATTTAGTGGCGGTAATTCCCACATTCTAATGCTTCCATATTCTTCCAACTTGCCGACAGTCTTTTACAAATTGTGTTTCATAAAATGCTGCAGGGCGCTGAGTCTTGCATCTATCTCGGACATCTCGTTGGCCTCACTGTACAGGGCAGCGCTCCGATCTGCAATGTAAACAAGATGGAAATCATCACCTTCAGATTACCTCTGCCGTTCTACAACTCCAGTCAGCTTGCGAGCTATGCATTTAACATAATAAAGAGCAGAGAAATACAATAACTGCTATTAGTTTGTTAGTAGCAACACTGTGAATAACTATTCTGTCACCCCTTTACCATCACATTACATGCAGCTTTCAGACTTGGAACCTGCCTGAGGAACTACCTGTATTGAACACTGCATTTCCTGGAGTGGTGTTTATATATAAAGCTTTGGGGATACTTTATTTCATCCCAACTTTGTACTTTCAAGTTTAAAAATCTACAGTTAACAACTAAATCATTCTTATGAATTTAATGTGTTTTTTTTCTTCATAACTCAAGAATGAAAGGTGGACTGGTTGAATTACGGCCTTCGTTGAAAACTTTTAGATGCAAGCTTTAATATGTTACATTTGCAAGAAACGTAAACTGGGACAATTACAATTTTCCCATACTTAAACAAATTACAAAACATGGTAGGGGTATCGGTATGAATAATTTAGTTAACTGTATGTACATGTGTATGATGTTATGTACCCAAAATATTATTGCTAGCTTTAACTATTGAAAGTGAATACATGTACAAACTTCAAAATTTTAGCCCATATTTGGTATCTTTGATATCGATCTTCCTACCTTGGCCATTGTATTCAGAGAGTGGTCTGCTTCTAGTCTTGCCACCAGACCCTCTCCTTGATGTGTAGTCTGGATCAGGGGTACTCATTAACGTGATGAGGTTGGTCAAGGAAAACTTTGAAATCTTCTTAATCTTTTAATAGTCCAAAGTTTGGAGGATACTCTGTTCACATCATATTAACTCAATGGGGAAATAGAAAGCATCAAAAAAGATTCTCTTTTCGTGTGATGGGACATGTGATTTTCAACACCCACATGATGTGTATTCCAAGGTGTGTGAGTAAATTAATTGCACACCTGTCAATCCATCATCTCACTGAGCTAGAAGAGGTTGGCCTTGACTAAGCATTGTGGTGGGAAAAAAAATAACCCTAACCCTAATACCTAAACTTAACATAGATAATAGCAATTTTGAATGCAGCAAAACACTGATCAGCTATTCACTTTCAAATGTATTTATTGACTCTGTATTTGCTGTATGTTCTAATGTCCTAAAACTACAATTTCTATTTTTACTCTAGCAGCTACTTTGAAATTTTGTTAACAAATAATAGCCATAAATTTTCATTCTTATACATCACCAAACACATCTAGTCTGTTCCAAATGTTATCCTTTCACAAATATATGACATATTTAGTCGATATCACTTGTCAAAATTATTATGAATTTTATAAATAAACTCCATCACACTTACAGATATTGGAGAAAATCGCCAATATAACGACTGTGCTTAAACTATACAATCAGTGGGAAAAGGATATCTTTTAGGCGCACCTCCAGTTTTCCTTCTGAATGGCTAAAAGAGAAGAAAAACATGGCATGATTAGCTTCATCACACACATGGTATCTTATGAGCATATTCATGATCTATGCACTTGAAAGTTATGTACTCAAGATTTTAATAATCAAATGAGCTGTGATATGTCCCAAGGTCAGCTAGATGGTCACACAAACATGAAGGAGGATATCAATACATATGTAGCTGATGAGATTTACAAAAAGACCTGATGCCCATCCCATTAAAATACATTATCTCAAAAGAGTTGTCATTCCATTTTAAGCATGTTACATCATTAGACAATCATTTGTACAAGGCAAAATAAATTTTTCAGAAATATATGCAGATGAGAAAGTGTTGTAAGATATTATCGCAGGTCATTTTCTGATGCCATTCATCTCTCTAAAATCAAATGAAAAACCTAAGATCCATGATAACTCACCACATTTGGACTTGCCCATGCTTTTGAGGAAGATGTTTTGCCTGGCTTCATCACTTCACGTAATCTCCTATTCAAATAAACGATATAAATATAACATGTAGTTTAGGCTTCTACCACCTTTAAATTTAGTAGGCAAGCTTTCGTCCACTCCTATGGACTTTCTCAAGCCAAGTGATTGTTTGTACAGTTTCTTGTTGTCTGCTCCCTCAAGATCATATGAATGTATGATGGCCATGTTACATTCCCTAAACCTTTACCTATATTATATTAAATGCTATGCCAGCACCTAATACTACATATATGTTATATAAAATAGGGCCTTGTTGCATAAAACTGAGCATTGATGGTAACTTCCATGGAAACCTTGATCTGATTGGCTGTTGAGTGATGTTGCCATGGAAGTTACTATTGATGGCACAGTGACCATCCGTGGTAAGCTTTATGCAATGGGGCCCCTGGACATAACTTTTTGAATCCCTTTTCTCTGCGAAAAGCAGAAGCAAACAATAGAGAAAGTCAAAGATTAACAGCTCTTGTTTTTACACATAATAAAACTAGTTATATTCACAATATTGTATACAATTTTCAAGGTTTCACATTATTTCTTCGAAGAATCCCCCACACAGAAGAAATCAGCATGCATTTTGAAAACCTGAACTAAAAGTGTAACAATGTCATCAAGGACTTTAATAGCTAGTTGTAGTTGTGGCTAGCTATTTTTGGAAGCGATTACGCAGGGAAGTAATAACTGCTTAGAAATAACCATCAATGATCAAGAGTGATAGGGAAAGACAAAGTAGACAGACAGACAGAGAGCGGGAGCCGGAGAAAGAGAGAGAGAGAGAGAGTGAGAGAGACAGAGAGAGAGAGAGACAGAGAGACAGACAGAGACAGAGCAGACAGTCAGAGAGCGAGCGCGAGACAGAGAGAGAGAGAGAGAGAGAGAGAGAGAGAGACAGAGAGCAGACAGACAGACAGACAGACAGAGGGAGAGCACGAGACAGAGAGATAGAGAGCAGACAGACCCAGAGACAGAGAGAGAGAGAGAGAAAGAACAATACAGTATAGAGATGAAAAGTCAAAGGTCACACTACCTTCTCCTTCCTTCTGAGGCATCGGAGAGCACCTCTACATCACTGACTCCTCCTGCAGAGGATCTCCTACTTCCAACGCTTCCAGCAGATGAACTCCTGGAACGGAACCCTTGGACAGAAAGATCATCGTAAACCATTAAACGGTACAGACCAGTTCTGGTCATGCGATTGCATTGTGAAAGAAACGTTGTAGAACCGATCAGAAAAGGTTGATCATCTAGCATATAAGTATTGGTGTGTACTGCAAGGTTCTGGAATCATCAAAATGATATGAAATGTGGCCCAGTCTTGGTAAAGTTACACTGTACACAGAAAGATGTTTATGGGACTACCCTATATCTATCCAGTCCAGATAGATATAATAATTTACCAAATATATTAATTAGTAGGCGGTTTCCCGGCAAAATTTGTATCATCACGTATTAGTCAAAACATATTCTTTCACATGATTGGTAATAATGGAGGCGTTTCCAAAACTGGTCTTTACCTTTAAACTTAGTAAAGGGCTATTGTAAGGAAAACAATTCTCAAAGCATACACAAAATTTAGATTGAAGATGACCACTTACAGAGTTTACTCAACAGAAATTAATTTCTGTTTGGCTATCCTCTGTCACTAGTCGGTGGTATTTATCACTTTCTTTGTCTCTGTATTTTGTTTTTGTTTAAATTCACTCTTACCTCTGTACCCATCGGAGAGCCGTTTCCTAGTTCTGCCTCTCTCCCCTGAACTTGTTAACCTTGACTTGCCACCAGACCGAACTCCACTGTTCTGTAACCTGGCACTGGTGAGAGAGATGACATCACAAACAGGCTAATGATGATAATAACTGTTTCTTATAAAGAACTTTACCAGTTACAACGTACCCAAACAAAGCCCCTACAGTATTAATACCCTGGTCACTGGATTCCGTTACGATTTTGCACTTTTGCACATTGACGTTCGCATCCTAAAGGCATTGGAAATTAGCAAGAACCATGACATATGTGATAACAGAATAAAAATCTGAGATCTAGACAAATCAGTGATCAGCCTTGTAGACAACCAAGCACCTCCAAAACAGAATTTAAGTGATGGTGAAGGTACTTTATTAAGTAGAAGCTACAAACTGAATGCCTGTTGAGGAACAATCTAAAAACAATGCATTTTCACTGCTTGGCTCACTATTAACCAAATGTCTTCTCCTTGGAAATAGGGACAAATACGAAAACCAGTTATGGCAAGACATTCAGGGGAAAATAATCATCAACATATCCCAGATAACGAAGGTTTAGAAAGAAAAAAAAAACCTGAGAGAATTTAACAGTAGTTAATGGGTGAACAGTGAGTTGCGTGTCAAGTCATCAAATCTGAATCTTACAAAGTTGAAAAAACACTTGAAATGTTATTGGAACAGAATGCTTTGGGGCTGCAGAATATTCATGTGTGTGTATGAGAGTATTACAGGAAAAATCTTCCACATTTAATTAAAGATTCAAAGACCAACCTTTTTAATTTGGATTCTTCTTCCCTGCGTTTCTTCTCAAGGGTGTAAGCAGTGGGATCAAACCTGGGTGCTCTGGCACCTGATGAATAAAACAAATATCACAGTTTTAAAAAACTATTCAGACTGTAGACTGACTGCAAAATTATCGTGGCATAAGAAAACATTTTGAGAGAAAACGAATGTTTCTGTCGATTGTAACTCACAGAGCATTGAATCGATGTAGGGTAAGCTGAAGGTATTTATTTTTTTTAACTCTACAGAATTGGCACCAGGGGCTAGTTTCTTAAAACCGTCAAAAGTCTAACTTCTTGGACATCCCATTATGGGATGTCCACAAACTTCAATAGACTCATGAGTTTTGAGAAACTGGCCCCTGGGCTCCCACTTGATTGTTTATAAGGCAAAGGGAAAACAATTCATCTTACTCTTCTGAAAGAAGTACTTTAATCTCCCTTATGAGTAACATTTATTCTATATAAAAAAAAATTATACTTTGATAATGACAAACTAAACAGACCTGCGGGTGAGACGCTTCGATTTCTACTCCCAACTGATGACAGGCTTGACCTCCGACCCCTGGACAGCGACCTCTCTCTGCTGCTTGTTTCTACTCTTGAGCGGGGCCTGGACCTCGCTATGTCGGCTGACGGTGGTCTCCTAGCAGCAGGCCTGGACTGACGCTGAGATACAGGGGTGGGGACCATCGGAGAACGGGTACTCCGCCTCGATGGACTGGTGTCATGAAATGAAAACAAAGAGCAGTAAGGACAAGATACACAATTTTATATAGGGCTTGTTATATATTTACCAAATGAATGATGAATATAACATTGACAATGTCAAGTCCGTCATAAACTCAATAAAAGTTTAATCAAAAGATTAATGAGGAGAGGTCACATTAAATATTAACATTTCCTTTGAATATGCCTTCAATCATGGTAGAAATTACATCTCTGGGTTTTTTTCTTGAAAAGAACACATTACGTTCATTTTCAAAGTAAAATAATTTGAAATGAAACAAAAATAGAAAGGGAAAATTGATTTGTCAAAGAATTACCGTGCCAAAGCCTGTGTAGACCACTGGACGAGACTTGTGTAGTGACTCGATAAGAAGAAGATATGTCAAAGAAGAGGTTTATCTATCAGAGAGTTTCATGTTGTAGATGAACAATAACAGAACACAAATAGCCTACATCATTTGTAATATGATTAAACCAATAACTATCAACATCATCATGATTAGTATCAGAAGGTATCACTCACTTTCTTCTCAGGATGCTTAGCTCGTTAGTAAGACTCTTGACTCGTACTTTGAGATTCCTCTCGCTGGCTCTCAGTTCTTCCACCTGCAAACGAATATGGTTGGCAGACATTCATCAAATGAATATGGTTGAGGGATATTCATCAAATGTATTATTTCACTGAACATGACATAAAACATACACATATATAACTGTAGGATATCTTACTGCACAACCGAAATATTTGGCACCATGAAACTTTTCTGAATTATTATTCTGATTCGGATTACTTCATGGCCTCAAACTTTTTGCAAATCTTAACCAATCACCAAATTTGCGGACATATCATGCGGATAAAAGTTTCTGGTTAACAGTACTTATCTAATTTATCATTAATCACAATGCATGTTTAAGTTTAAGTACACATGGTCATGTTATTGCATCTTGAGATCATTATCCCCATTAAAGCATAATTACAAAAATCCTAAACAGTAGCACTAGCTTTTTGGCAATTTCATTACAGTTACATAACCAAACCTGATCCTAAACTCAACTGGAAACAGGCAGAAGTACCTACCTCCTCCAGCAGTTCCCTGTAGTTCTGGCTTCTCTTGCTGGACGACCTCTGGTATTTCCTTCTCTCATTGCCCAGTTCCTCCTCGAGATTCTGGATGGCGGTCTTGAGGATGCGTACCTCCTTGGCTGCGCTACCGGTAGCTGTGTTCTTCACCTCTCTTCGGTACCGGAGAAAGGCATCCTCTATTTCTTGCTTCTCTAATAACAGATTCTCATAGCTAAATGAAGGGCAACAAAGGAAAAGAATAATTATCTAAAGCCCATCTGTACTAGTTTACAGGAGGGATTAGACCACCCTGCAAGGTCACTGACAGGTGGTTATCTGATCAGATCAGCTCTCACTTAACATAAGAAAAAGAGGATCATGGGGGACCAATGTGGTCACCGATTAGGCATTGGTTGCTATACAGTGTGAGTCAAAAAAAAGTTGCTATACAGTTGCTATACAGTGTGAGTCAAAAAAAAGTTTACACCTACAAAATTGCTAATTATTTTAAAAATCATCTATGAACAGTAAATTATTATACATCTTATGGTATCATTTTTGTGTAGTATGTGTTCACGCTTAGATGAACATGAGGCTTTGAGTGCGAGAGTGCAAAAATCGATTTGCGCCAAAGTTGCTTGTGTGATGTTTGAATAAAACAATTGGGATTTAGATATTATTCGGTCTTTGCATATCCAAATAACATCCCTAAAAAAATTAATCATGCCAAACATATCAAATATCAACGAACATTTGTGTGTGTGTGTGTGTGTGTGTGTAACTTTGCTTCTGCAAAAAGCATATGCAATGCATTACATCTGATACATTCAATTCATTCTGTCACTCCGCTAATCCCAACATATTACATGCTGTAGGCATCAATTTGGCGCAAGTCGATTTTTGCACTCTCGCAAACGATGCCTCATGTTCATCCAAGCGTGAACATATTACACACAAAAATGATACTAAATGATTTGGGATAAAACACTCTTTCATAAGATGTATAATAATTTACTGTTCATACATGATTTTTAAAATAATTAGCAATTTTCTAGGTGTAAACTTTTTTTTACTCACACAGTATAGAGGGTGCAAGTAGCTATAAGTAGTGGAGTGGGGCTCTAAATGGACCCCTCTTTTAAAAAAAAAATGTAAATGAGTTGTAGAAAATTGTATTGATGAGCTGGAACCAATTCATAGTATGTGATATCTGTGTAAATATCAACATTCAACTGCATCATCTCAAGGTTTACGAATATCATCTCCCATAAAGATGGATTCAGAATATATAGAGAAAGGAAGAGAGGAGATAGAGAGAAAGAGAAAGGGGTGGGTGGAGGAAAGGACGGAGAAAGAGGAGGAAAGGAGGGAGAAAAAGGAGGAAAGGAGGAAGAAGAAAAGAAAAGAGCAACACCAACAGAGAACAGGTGCTTGAATTCTTAGTCTGGACCAAACATTTTTGAAATTTTTGCATAGGGCTCATGCATAGAGACTGTAACAAAATTTGAACCAGACCACATTCCAAACAATACTGTGGAGCCATGGAATAGCTATAAATATAAATATAACTGTTTAAAGGTATGTCATCAATTTCTTCATTATGTGACAATATAATTATGTAGGATGGGTTTTAATCTTGTCATTACTGTCCACTTCCTTTTAATCTTTCTATCCAGGATGCAAGACAGTTTCCAGTAAGTTTAATGGCCTTACAATCACTAGACATTCAAAAGTAACAGAGGAACATATGCAGGCATTTAACTTTAAAGGTAAAGACCAGTTTTGGATATGCCCCCCTCTCAAAAAATGAAATGGAAGCTCTTATTACCAACTATTATATCTATTTGGACCTGATAGATATCGCACACATGTCGCGTAGTCCCATATACATCTTTCTGTGTACAGTGCTTGTAACTTTACCAAGACAGGGCCAAATTTCTTATCATGATGATTCCAGAACCTTGCAGTACACACCAATACTTATATGCTAGCTGATCCACCTTTTCTGATCGATTCCACGTTTCTTTCACAATGCAATCGCATGACCATAATTGGTCTTTATCTTTAAAGTGAAATAAAGCCATGAAACATTACTTACTCTTTGGTCAGCTTAACAAGCTCTGAAGATTTGCGATCTGAATGAAGCTGTTAATGAAAATATTGAAGAGAAAATTTGTTGACAGAAATTACATGAAAGAAACCTTGTGATGATTTATATTTGGACAACTTCTGCAATCTACTGGAAATGCTCCTTGTAAGTAACTGCATTTCCAGTCAGTCAGAGCTGTAAGTTATCATGCAACTTTTTGAATAAGAGTTGACTTTCCATCTCTTGGCTGTGACTCAAATTTCATTAGTACTCAGATATACCCACTCCATTATAATTATATGCTCACTTAGACCTACAGATGAAAACTGAATGATTACAATTCACCTTTTCTAAATGCAAAAACAATACCGATTGCCATATTATATGTTTGATGGCGGTTCAGCTTATATTTAACCCATTGCCTACTGGATCCGGGTGGTTCCTGTATAAAAGCCTATGGGCATGTGAGAATTCAGTAGTCAAGGAGTTAATACAAGTTAAACTCAGTTGGAGGAGGCGGCTTGGAAAAAGCCAAGGTTTAAGAAGTGTAAATAACCCATGTTTTGCATAGTTTGGTCCCCCGAAAATTTATTTGACATAGGGAAAATTCGACATGATTATTAATAATAATAATCTTTTTTTTTTAAAGTCCACTCCAAATTTTATTAAGTTAAACCGAAAATGGAAATTCTTTTTGCCCTATTGATCGTGAGCCACTGAGTAGCGCTAGATCGACGTTGCTCTATCCCTTATTGTTGAACGCCAAACAAGGTAGCAGCATCTCCCGTCTTTTAACGTCTTTTGGTATGACGCGGCCGGGGTTCGAACCCATGACTTTCCGGTTGTGAGGCGGACGCTCAACTGACTGAGCCAATTTAACCTTTCTTCATAGCATAGCTTTGGTGTCCTGGTGAGCAATGGAATCTAGGCCCCGTTCACATAAAACTTATCAACAACAGATGCTAAATTTCTAAGACAAGTCTGCTCTAGCTCAGCCAATTGAATGCCACGGTTTCTGTAGCTTATAACAGTTATTGTAACTTGTCATTGATAACAAGTTTTATGAATCAGGGCCATGGTGTCCTTCATAAGGAAAAGAGACCAGGGAAATGCAGATTCAGTGAAAAAAATACACAGGGGCTCGGGGCGACATAGCCCCCGGAATGCCCCAAAGAGCACCCAAAAATCAGAAAAGAGCCCTGTAAATTTGCATAGAGTTCAATGCAAAACAAATTTTAGAATGTTATTTTCATGCAGGCAAGCTTGAAAAGTAGCCCCCCCCCCCCCCAATTTTTTTTTCTTTCCCTGAGCAGATTAAGCCCAATTTGAACAGCTTTTGACCTACGTGTGATTCGAGCAGTTTGACTTCCTTGCGTAACTCCCTGACAGTGTCCTGCAGGGCCACAGGATCTGGTTTGCCTTGGTAGGGCAGGGGTAGGGGATAGTGGATCCTAAAGAGAGAGAGAGGGGAGAAACATTTCATACACGTAAATGTATTAGAGAATCCCTTTAACATGGACTAAGGTTTGAGCTGTACTATATATCAGAGTTTCAAAGATGCATTCAGTTTCCATAATGCTTTTATTCACCTGTATATATATATATACAGTTAACAACTCAATTATTCATACTCTTACCAAGGTTTGTAATTTTTCAAGTATGTGAACAATTTATTTGTTCCGATTTATGTTTCATTAGAATGTGCTCTTAAATCTTAAAGTAAAATGTGATATCAAATCTTATTTCTATACAGGTATTCAACTAAACCCCTAATTCTACCAGTCCATTTTTTTTCCTCCTTCTTTTTGTGGTATTTTGGTATTCTTTTTTACTGGTATTTACCACTTTTTACCGGGAAATACCAGGAAATATATTTTTCCACTCACTTGTTCATAGGGATTGTCCAATTTTTAACATAATAACAATGGTGGTGAGTATGGTTGCTCTTGTGTGTATTATTCGTGTGTGTGTGTGTGTGTGTGTGTGTGTTTGTTCGTGTGTGTGTGTTTGTTCGTGTGTTTGTCTATGTCTGTAATTATGTAATGCTGTAATGCAGGAAAAAGAAACCAAATATACACCTAATCTAGATATGATGTTCTTCATTAAAGGGAACCAAAACCTTCATACTAAGTTACTTTTATTGTAAAGTTTGAGATATTTGAATAGAATCAGTGAAAAATTGAACAAAATCGGGCAAGGAATAAGGAAGTTAAAGCTTTTTAAAATGACTAGTCACTAGAGGGCGATATTCAGTTTGATGACATCATTTGTGGACAACTCTCCATGCCTTTTGTACATCAAATTTCACAAGTCTTTCGTTTTTTTCCTATTTATTTGTATTCTTGATTGGATTTCATAACATGTGAATTAGAATATCATTTTGCATTCTATTATCTCAATCACAAGAAAGAAGGAAAAACATAAAATTTGATGTACAAAAGGCATGGAGAGTTGTCCACAAATGATGTCATCAAATTGAATATCGCCCTTTAGTGACTAGTCATTTAAAAAAGCTTTAACTTCCTTATTCCTTGCCCGATTTTGTTCAATTTTTCACTGATTTTATTCAAATATCTTAAACTTTACAATAAAAGTAACTTGTATGAAGGTTTTGGTTCCCAGTTGCTAATTACCATATTCATGAATACATATTAATTAGCATATGCACAAAATGCCATTTGTTTGGGTGTGTACAATTTTGTATGCAGTGAGGATTTTATAAATCTGTTTGTGTGTTCCTACTATGAGCATTGTGCTGCTAATTATTTCAGAACAATATTTTCAGTTATGAGGCTAAAAACAAGTAAAATTATTAATAAATAGAGAATTAAAATCATATTTCCCGTTTTTTACATATTTACCGGACGCACATCTTATTTACCGGACGGTATTTACCGCCGTTAATTACCGCCACCGGTATTTACCGCCCAACCCTGGTCGCTGGTTTAATACAAAATCAACTATAACATTTCTCCCAATTAGTTTTGAAGGTTAAGAGGACAAGCTATAAAGTCAGAGTTATCTGTCTGGGCTATTCAATTTTCAAATCAATTTCCCCCCCCCCCCCCTAAATACATTGTTATACTTCATGAATCTCTTTTTGTTACTTTAGAGATTTATCAATATTAACACCTTATCAATGCATTGTATGTTTGGAGTTATATTTGAGACGTTGACTTCACTTTAGATTTGGGTAGGCATATTCCTGCGGTGTCATAGGAGCGCTTACCTATCAAATTCCACAGTGTAGGTGACAATGAGATAACGTTTGGTGTTGAGGGCAGACCTCTGACCTCCAGGGATAGCACGGGTACCAAGACCGGCCTTGCGGTTACGAAGTGACTCGAGGTCAGCATAGGTCAGCAGGTCCAGGCTCACAGATTCAGAGTTCTGCAGGATTAAGATAGGATACAGTGAAACCTGTCTATTAAGGACGTTCTGCATATCTTAGCTGTAGCTGTGTACACATGAGCATTACTGCGGAACATCCCTCAAGGCAACCCATGGGAAACAGAAAAGTGGCCTCTGCAATAAGGTGGTCTTTCTAGACAGTTTCCACATACAAAAAATGTCTTCCTAAAGGAATTCAATTGAATGTATAACCACTATAGAGAGCGGGAGGTGGCCACTTGATTAGGTTAAGAGATGGGATTAGGCAGGGTTCCTCACTTACTGAAATGTTGGCATCCGGACAGAGATTTAGGATGACTATTTGTCCAAGGCGCCTGGGTTAGGGTTAGGTATAGTGTTGGGGCCAGGGTTGAAGTTTAGAATTTGGTAATTGTATGAAGTTGACACGGAGCAACAATCGCATGAGCAAATGTTGTGAAAGCGACTATTTACCAATACTCAATTTCTTTTGAGGGTGGAACAAAACTCACCTGCAACAGTGCAGATTCTAACATACTCAAGAAAATGGAATATTGTTTGTAGTTCCCAGTTTTGTGTGTAAGGTCTTCAATATCTGTAGAAGCAAACAACAACAAAAAGTATAAATATCAACAACAACAAATCACATAGAAATTAGAAAAAAATAAGACTATAGCATATCCTCGATATAACTGCTGCCAAAATGATTAATGCACTGAACAATTTTTTTCATAGATTTAACTTATGTATTGCATGTAAATGAAATAAAGCATGGCAAACAGAAATTAATGTCTTGCCAAAGGACATTGGTATGGGACTCAAACCCTCAACCTCTTGATTGAATGAACCACTGTACCATGACATGACTTCATTCTCTACTTTCATAAACACATTCTTCTTTAAAGACTATCAGGAGATGAAAGAAGTCTGTTAATGATAAAATGATTTCCCAGTGATTTTCTTTGATTCTCAACTGCTCATCATTCTGATGAGATCGTGAAAAAATACTAGGCTCCATGGGAAGAAGTGTTAGCTTAAAGGTAAAGACCAGTATTGGAAATGCCCAAATTTCAAAAAATGAAATGGAAGCATGTGAAAGAATATGTTTTGACTAATACATGATGATAACAATTTTGCTGGGAAACCGCCTACTAATTGATATATTTAGTAAATTAGTTTATGTATTGGTGTGTGAGAGATAAACGCACGTGTCGGGCACGTGTGCCTAGTCCCATATACATCTAAATTTCTTATCATTTTGATGATTCCAGAACCTTGCAGTACACATCAATACTTATATGCTAGATGATCAACCTTTTCTGATCGATTCCACGGCATTTCTTTCAAAATGCAATCGCATGACCATAACTGGTCTTTATCTTTAAATGGAGCCTTCCAGGCTAGCCTCTGACCCTCCTTCCAACAAACAAACAAACTTACATGCCGGTTCAAACGATCCTCTCCATTGGTCCGCTGTCAATCTATCCTCTACCTCTACAGTGAGTAGGTTGTCATCGTTCACCCACATGCCGACTATGTAGTCAACTCCACGGAATGTGAACCGGGAGCTCACCACACCCCTTTCTTCCTGCATCCTGCTTTAGTCTGTTTTCGTCATACTCTGAAATCTGGTGAAGGTAGAAACTATTTTCAATGCCCACAAAAAATTTAAAGAAAACTTAAAAGCCAATTTGTGTTTAGAATATTGTGTTTTCTCTGGGTGATACCTCGAGATGGTTTTTACTAGGTCTAGGAGAGCATAATTAGGCCAAATGAAACATAATTCCCAAAATCAAATCCATAATATACTGTTAGTTTTGGTGAATTGGTGCATCATGGTCATTGTCTTCCATACATTTCTTGGTCAATGCTAGTGCTGAGTCTCTACTTTAAAAAAAAAAAAAAAAAAAAAAAAAAATCAGTCCTAGATGACCCATATCTAGAGTCAATGCAGCACACACAAAAACCCTACATTTGTAAAGATGCGATACAGACGATCAATTTTCATCACAGAGTTTTTGGCAGTCGATTCTGTATTGATCGAGTTGAAAATAGCTGGAACTAAACAATTCACAAACGTTAGAAAAACAAGGTCGAATGTAGAAAAATCAGCTGCGATTTCTTTGGGTTTTTTTAACTGGAAAATTATCTGGAAAATACAGAACTTATACGGCGCTAGTTCAGAAGTCTATCCAGACTTTGACTCGGAACTACGACATGGACATACCCTACTAAAACATACCAAAAATCAACTAGATCTTCATCAATTGTTCAACCAATGATCATGATTTAAAAATTGTTATGTTTCTTACCTGTTTTGTGTCAATTTTCTTATCTTTTTTGGAGTATTTATCCTAAGACTTATAATATACACTTTCTCATGGGATTCTTGGCAAACAGACTGGTGCAATAAGCAATTCATCAATATGGTCGCGCCCGCACCCCACCGTCGGTACGGTATGCAATTGTATTGTGCAGCAGTTTGCCGTGAATCCCGTGAGAAATTGTATCTAATAAGTCTTCCTTTTTAGGAAAAATGCTCCAAAAAGATAAGAAAATTGGGCGCTAGTTCAGAAGTATATCCAAAATTTGACCCGTAACCCCGGCCCCCCCCCCCACTCCGAGAACGGACGGACCCCATGCGTGTTACCAAAATGTACGGTAAAGGGGTACTTTTCGTGCGACAAAGTCCGACCCGAGAATTGTAAAAAAAGGGGTGTATTAACTTTTCACCCAGAGATTTCTTTAAAAAGGGGGTGTTTTTTCTTTTTTTCTCTGATCTCTTTGGACTCCTGAGAAATTATTCCGAATTTAGTGGGGTACATTGAGCATTTTTCACGATTTAGGGGGGTCTCCAAGGCAGGAAATGCCCGCGAAAAGCCCGCGAAAGGGGGGTTCGGAAATGTTGGCAGTCCTCAGATAGGGGGTGCTTTCAAAAAGAGGGAACAAGCATATGCGTACCCTAAATAACACTGAGTGGGGGGGCCGGGCCCGTTACTCCGGCGTGGAGATACCCGAGTGCCGAAAATTGTCACAAAACAGGTAACAAACATAACAAATTTTAAATCACGACCATTATTTGAACAATTGATGAAAATTTAGTCGATTTTCGGTAGATCTATGTTTTAGTAGGGTATCTCCACGCCGGAGTTCCGGGTCAAAGTCTATAGACTTCTGAATTAGCGCCGAACGTTCTGCGCATGTGTAGTAAATGTAAGCTAAAGTTTTAACTTCTACAATGTGTCAGTTAGTGTTACTGACACTGTTACAGTCATAGATCTATACTTGCTGGAGTGCCCTAGACCTAGATCTAGATCTACATTCTAAATTTTTAATGAAAACTGTTCCAGTCAAACGGATAAACATGATAAACATGATTAAAACTGTCACAAATTTACTTTCAAAAGACTCAATCTCCTGCGTTTCAATTGAACTGATAATGAACTGATAATGAACTCCCATCAGTTGTTAATGCATTAGCATTGCAGCTAAGCACGATCACGATCACGAGATGTAGCTACGGCCACGGCCTCAGCTCCTTCACGCCCCAGGAGTTAGGGGGCACAGCTTCCTCGCAGTCTAGTCGCACTCGCAATGCAATGCCACAGAACTCAAGATTCACTGGTCACAGCACAGTCAGATTCGAACTAAGTTACATGCAAATGCTGTACAATCAGACCAATATGAAAATTCTCATGTTTATCAGGACTATGAGCACATATGCCGTACTGAATTTAATACAAATTATTTTGATATAGGCCTATATATATATACATAAGAAATTTAACTGACAATTATACTCACTATATTTTTATTTTGACCCGTTTGAAGTGAGCGCCGATTTTCTGAGACTAGGATCCGAAATCTCGATCTGGCTTATTGTTGTTGTGTTTTGAGTTATTGGCGATTAGTCAGTGATTTGACTATTGTCGCCAAATTACTTTACGGCACGTGTTATATCTCTCAATTTTGGATTTTTTTAAAAATACATTTATTTCGTTTTATATTTATCTATCTTTTAAGATAGTATCGTAAAATAATATCGTAAGCAAAACATTCATGGGCTTTGTTAGTGTTTCTTAACAGTACGTGCAGATTATTTGTTATATCACATACACACCATACATAAATATGTATAAGATAGCACCTACACAAGCTTCTATATTCAGTAATCTTATCATACCTTTTATCATTGTTGTTACTTTTTCTTATTTTATTTTCTTAATACATTATGTTATTATATTTTTAATGTACTGAGTGTAATTTAACATATTTATAATATCGTATTATGTTTTACTGTTCTTATTTTATTTTCTTATTACATTATGATTGTTATTATATTTTTAATGTACTGAGTGTAATTTAGCATATTATAATATTGTATAATGTTTTACTATTCTTATTTTATTTTCTTATTACATTATGTTATTATATTTTTAATGTACTGAGTGTAATTTAACATATTTATAATATTGTATTATGTTTTACTGTTCTTTTTTTATTTTCTTATTACATTATGTTATTATATTTTTAATGTACTGAGTGTAATTTAGCATATTTATAATATTGTAATTATATTTTACTGTTCATCAAGGGAGGTATTACTTCCTGATAGGGAACCGTTTCGTTCTGAGAAAGAACCGTACAATAGCTTTTTGTTTACTGGACTCACTCTTTTTTAAGTATTCCATAATTTTTTCAGGTTGGGATTCGTTAATTTCTGTTAGAAACATAGCCCTTTCTATAATATAGTTAGGGCAATGTACTAAAAAATGTTTTACAGTCTCTATTTCACTGGGGCATCTATTACAGAAACCAGTAGCATGAATTCCCAATCTGAGGAGATCCTGGTTAAGTCCAAGGACTCCAAAGCGGAGTCGATGTATTATTGTTGAATGTTGTCTCTCTAATGAGCATATATATGGTTTATTAACATCTTTTTGATATGTTTTCAAATACGAGTTGGTTTTGTTCCACCTTTCTTGCCAAAGGAGTTTGGAACTTGTAGTAATTAAGCTTTTCATTTCTGACATATTTAGGTTATTATTGACTTCTATTTTCTTTACTAATGCGGCCTTTGCGTGGAAATCCGCCATCTCGTTCCCTTTTATTCCACAATGTCCAGGTATCCACTCTACATATATATCAACTCCTTTATTCTTTAAGTGAGTAGTCATGGTGAGAATTTCCAGAATAAAAGATTCGTCCTTCTGTTGTTGTAATGCAATAAGTGCACTCAGTGAATCACTAAAAATAACAACCCCCACATAAATGTCTAATTCATCTACCCATCTGAGAGCAAGAATGATGGCAGCCAATTCAGCCCTGTACGAAGAGGTGAAATTTGCTAACCTTTTGCTCCGATGTACAGAATAGTAAGGGACGTAAAAAGCAGCTGCAGAGGTCCCTCTTTCAGGTACTTTTGATCCATCGGTGTATATATGTAATTGAGTCGCCCATTTAGTATGTATGATTTCCAGGCTGCTTTGTTTTTGTTGTGTAGGATGATCTGTTTTCTTTATTCGAGTACTTAATTCCGTTGACACTGCCGGAGGGTAGAATAACCATGGTGGAAATGGGGAGTAGGTTATCGTTTCTATACGTTTTCCCAGCTTGCTTTGTATTCTATATCCAAAAGGTTTGTTTACGTTTTTCCCCTTCAAGTATTCAAAATGCCAACATGGTTCAATGTTTTTTAACAACGGATGATTCGCCCATCTTTCGATGTTTTGTCTATATTTACTTGAAAGCATTTGTCTTCTTATATCCAAAGGCATTTCCCCCATTTCCACCTGTAGTGATTCTAAGGAGGTTAATGGCAGCCCACCTGCGCATATCCTCAGTGCTTGGTATTGGACAGAGTCAATGGCTTTTTTGGTGGTAGCAGCTGCACTGTCATACGCCTCACATCCGTAATCAAAAAGAGACCTTATAATTGCTCTGTACACCATGATAAGTGATTTCGAGGAACTTCCCCAGTTTGTTCCAGTTAGACATCTTAAGATATTTAATTTTCTTTTACTTCTCGTGATTACATTTTCGATATGTGGTTGCCAAGTTAACCTTTTATCAAATATAACCCCTAAAAAGCGATGAGATTTTTCGTACATTAACACATTTCCATTCAGTTCTATATCAGGCGGTAGAACGGCATTCCAGCTTTTCGTAAAAAGTACGGGCACTGTTTTGACAGGTGAGAGTCGAAACCCCCACTCTTCAAACCAACGATTTAAAAGATTCAAATATTTCTGTATTTTTTCAGTAATATGTACAATGTTCCTGCCTGATATCCATATTGCGCAGTCATCTGCATACATAGATATGCTTACATCTTGGTCTGTAGGTATATCACCCATCATTATATTATATAAAAGAGGACTTAAAACACTCCCTTGTGGTAACCCGTTATGCGTTTTATAAGTTTTAGATTCTGTATTTCCAATTCGTACTTGAAAAGTTCGTGCTGTTAGATAATTTTCTATATATCTCAGCATGTTCCCTTCTATTCCATTTTTTGCTAATTTAAAAACCAGACCCTTTATCCAAACTGTATCGAAAGCCTTTTCGACATCCAAGAAAACCGCTATTACATGTTCATTACAATTTATACTCTTTTGGATGTCATTTTCTAATTGTACAATATTATCCGTCACACTACGACCTTTCCTAAATCCACTTAAAAAATTGGGTAATAATTCATGCTTTTCAACATACCATTGTAATCTTTCTTTTATCATTCGTTCAATTATTTTGGCAAAACATGATGTTAAAGAGATTGGTCTATATGACGATGTATTTCTGGGATCTTTTCCATGTTTGAGAATAGGGATTATTATAGAATGCTTTAGTT